ATGGCTCAGAGCATTTTTGATCCAATCGGGTTTCTTTGTCCTACTACACTGATACCAAAATTGTTAATACAAAAGTGTTGGGAAAGGACAATGGACTGGGATAAGGAACTTACTCTCGAATTAGAAAAGTCTGCAAAAGAATGGCTCCAACAAGTATCATCAATTGAGAAATGTCGCATTCCACGAAGATTGAGCAAGTGTAAGGTAGGCAATACTTCTACGTTTGATTTAAACCAAGTTAAATCACCTAACCTTACTACTCGTTATATGTAGTTATATCGAAAAAATTAATACAGATCTACAACAAAGATTTCGGTCAGAATATTTATCTTTACTAGTACAAAAGAACACTAAAAACGAGAACAATCTTCAACCTGGAGATATCGTGCTTATAGGTTCAGATGATTTGAAGCGCGTTAACTGGCCTTTAGGTCTCATTTTAGAGATATGTTTAGGTGTTGATAATGTCGGTAGGGTAGCACGTGTTAAAACAGCAAAGGGTGAACGTGTTCGTGCACTGCAACGTTTATTTCCTTTAGAGTTATCGAGGTTAGAGAGTATTCAGTTTCCACAGTCATCAGGGTCAAATGATAAAGTCGCAGATCCCACTCTTGAGCCCGACAATCTTTTAACAAAGACAACACGTTCTGGTCGTCCTGTGAAACTGCCTCGACGTCTAAACCTGTGATTTATTTTTATTTTATTGTTGTTCTTTAGCATTGCGCACACGCAAGGTGGGGTGTATGTTATGAAACCTCTTTTTAGTTTAATTTTTATATTTAAAAAGTAATGTATTATAAAATTATTATTGCAAAAAAGTGACATTATATTTTTCTTTCGGAATTTCCTAAAATATTTTATTTCTATATATAAATCCATTCGTCCTATGTACCTGCTGTCCCAGAACCTATTATCATATATCATATATCACAACATCATCGAATTATCCAATCCATCACATCTAGTATACTAGAATGCGGCAAACGACAATTGTAGGTAGCACAGCACATACTTTTATTAGTACCTCTGTTTGGAGATGTTTAAGTATTACCAGCACCTAATTGGATTCTAATCATGCTACTTATTGTGTATATGAGGTCTTAGTGATTACCATATCCTAATACTCACGATTTTACACCACCATTTTCATCCAAATAACAATTAATCTCAATCAGTAGCAACTCAATTATTTAATCAATAATTGTGTCTATAACTCGAGTGGGTAGATTTTAAATTATATTGGAAGATTATCTTCATATTAATTATATGTATTATTTTTTTTAAAAGTAACTGCATAAATACTTCATTACACTTATATCACCAATAATTTCTATGAAACATTGTAGTGGTATACGCATACAGAAAAAAAAAGAAATTTTAAACACGTACAATTTCGCTCACAAACTTTCACTACGGTGGGCAAGGATAGACAGGCAATCGTACTGCTAAGGTTAACTCGGCCATAGGTAGTCTGCCTGCCTATCCCACTTCTGAGTTGAAAGGAGTTGATATAATTGAAACCCAAAATCATACTTTCCGTATAAAGTTTATTCTCCATACACGTATACAATCTCAGTACATAATGGATACCACTACAATGTTACATAAACTAAGCAATTAAGCCTATTTAACATAATAAATTAAGTAAAACTGACCTGCTTCCTTGGTTAGTGATGATCCTTTCTGTGATGTTATCCGACAATGTCTTCACACAACAACCGCTACTCGTTTTATGCCCCAATAATCCAATTATAGTTTAAAAATAACTATTATCTACAAAGTACGGTATGTGGGGTGCTAAGGTAACGCCATCTGTGTTACTAACAAGAGAAACTATTGCTACTTTACCAATGTACGCTTACAAATCGTAGTTCCAAAAATAACTATTATCTACAAAGTACGGTACGTGGGGCGCTAAGGTAGCGCCATCTATGTTACTAACAAGAGAAACTATTGCTACTTTACCAATGTACGCTTACAGTACGTACAGACACAAATTACATACACAAAAAGAAAAATATAAATAACTAGCTGACCCCGCGAACTCCGTTCCGCCTCAGAATTAAATAATATGTCATGGGTTTTTTGAAGTTTAGTAAAGCAATAAATTTCTGAACGCAGGATGCGTTTCACAAGTACGAACAGTTTGCATGGGAAAATAAAATAGTTGTTTTTATTATTTTCTATGCAATTTCTTCATATTTTATCACAGTTTAAACCATCCCTTGACTTCCACGCATATTTCAAGATTAAAATTAGGCAAATCGGTTCAGTCGTTCTCGAGTTTTAGCGAGACTAACGAACAATAATTCATTTATATATATACTACATGACCCGGTGAACTTTGTATCACTTACCTCTTAATTTAAACCATATGTATTTTGGACCCAGTAGCTTTATAAAGGCATCATCAGGTAGTCTAAGTATTGGCTAAAGTATAAAGTGGGGAGAAAGAGGGAGCAAATTACGCACACATATCCAGGATAATGTTCATGTCACATTATAGACACTTATGTTAACAAATGAGGTACCAGTCTATTTTTGATATATATGATCGATTACGCTACATTAATAAACGTAATAGTAGTATAGTAACCTGGCAACACTGACTGTCAGTGCCACTGTCACCGAACTATCCAAGAAAAAAGATTTGATATTTAAAAAAAATATACGTAAAAAAAACTGTCCCCAAGTATGGCACCACGTTTAGTAAGCTAGGTTAAGTAGTTTTTTTTATGTATATTATTTATCGCCCTAGGGGCCCAGTCACCCGGAGGTTGTTGCCCCCGGAGTAGATGCCGGGGCAAAGGAGTTCGCCCCGAGGCCCCAACCTTCACCTCCCTAGGGAGGTGCGGAAGGCCAGACAGTTCAGTGATATTTTCAAAACTATTTTTCAGAAGTTACAGTTAACTTTTAAAAAAATGCATTGTTACTTTTGTAAAAAGTGGATAGAAAGTAGTACCCTAGCTGACCCCGATAACTCCGTTCCGCCTCAGCATTAAACAATATGTCAAAGGTTTTTTGAAGTTTAATTACGCAATAAATTTCTGAACGCATCCTGTTTGACAGGTACGAACAGTTTGTATGGGAAAATGAAATTGTTGTTTTTAGTAGTTTCCATACAATTTCGTCATACGGAGCAGCCGTTTTCGAGTTTTAGCGGGACTAAAAAATGACATTGCATTTTTATATATGTATAAAATAATATTTGCAAAATGTTGCCAAATGATCGACATTTCCCCAATTGTTACAGTTTTGTTGGCACTATAATTTATTTCCGGATGATAAGAGAATGCTCCTTGTTCCAGGTTCACTGGAGCATCACGTCTGTGGAATCGATCAATTTCATTTTCTGTTGTGATCGATATGCCTGAACTCGTTCTATTCTATGCCTATCTTCTTCTTCATTGTAATTCACTCTAGAACGTAAATCTGCCATACCAATACGACTGTTATCATGTTCAGTCTCTTGCTGGTCATCAGTGCGGTTAGCGCGTGAGGTAGCTCGACTCACATTTGATTGACTTCGACGACCTATGTTAGGTTTTTTTCTTCTCGGCATTGTAAATAGTTATCATCTACTTCTTCCTTATCCCATTTATTTGGGGTCAGCGTAATATGTTTTTCTCTACCATTCATCCCTGTTGGCAGTCATCTCGTAATTTTCTCCCTTTCTTACCATATCATCTTTCACACAGTCCTTTTTCAGCCTTCCTCTGCCCTTAAAACCATCCAAAATCATATGTAACACCTTCCTTAAAATATTATCTTCATTCCTATACATTACATGCCCATACCACGACAGACGATTACTCTTAAACCTCTCCACCATCGGCGCCATTGTAAAAAGTATCTAATGATAATGTTGAAACTAACGGCCGCACTCAGAGACGTTCCTTAAATTATAGCTAATGAATGATAAGTTAAGTATAATTAAATCTGTCAATGCGCCGTTCATCCCAGAGTCAAAATTTAATTATTCATACTCACAAACTTTCGCATTTATAATATTAGTAAGATTTTGTATAACTTTAAAGGAGGTTCGCTTCTGCCTGGTTTTTTTTTTGTTTTCATTTATGTAAATTCTATATTCTAAAATTAATCACCTCTAAAACAAATACAATAACAATAATTACATTTTGTATATTAATTTAACCGATACATTGTCGTATTGTTTGATGAATTTTGTAATATACAGATATGTATGAATTGTAGATTTAATAAGCTCTAACAAGGTCTTAAATATTTATTTTCCTTTGATAGTACAGATGTGTCAAAAGTATTATATTAAAATTCTAATTTATGTTGTATATCTTGTTACTGAGCACACTGTTACCTACAAATATGAAAGTGAGACTATCTGTACGTTTGTTGCCTTTTGTACTAAATAGCTAAACGGATAATAATAAAACTTGTAAAGATCATGAGAACGAACATAGCCCCATCTTTTTTCGAAAAAAGCAGACGATGTCTCGGGTATACCTTGTTTGCGTTCGCAAATATCCTTATAATGTATTTTAAAAATAAAATTATTTAATTCGAAAATAGAACGTCACTCATAGATCATCGATATTGTTTTGTTATGATTTTATATACAGACTTCTTCTCGAAGATTCCGCAACTTCACAAATTTTAAATAATATCTAGTGCACAAAACGATTCTATATTTTTTTGTTTTATTCTTGTACTAATGACCCGTCCCGGCTTCGAACAGATGCATTAGAAGTCTTTGAATTTCTCGGCTTGTTCTATACAACACGCATGTATTATATAAACCTTCTTGAATCACTCTATCTATTGCTAAAAACTGCATTAAAATCTGTTGCGTAATTTAAAAGATATAAGCGAACAGGCAGCGGCGTCGACTTTGTTTTATACTATGTTAAGATTACAAACACAGCAATATTCTTCCTATAAACGCTGTAATTATTATGTATCCATATTTATAATTTCATAAAATGCAGTACATCAATTAACCACAAGTAATTTTACTTTTCTAGCAAAACGACCACCTGTAGAAGAGACCGCATCATTCCTACAATCGCTATTGGCATCCCACGGACCTAATTATTTGGAGAAACTGTTTGGCAGCAAGGCAAGAGATGCATTGGAGCCGCTAGGTGGTGTTGAAAAGGTCGCCATTGCTCTCTCAGGTAATTTCACTTGTGGTAATCGCAATCTATCTTACATTCCACCTGAGGTTGTGACCGTCGCTTATAGACATGAACAGTATCACGTACATCACGTTATTATGTGATGTCTGTAGTACTCCTTATGCTCACCACTTCGGAGGATTAAAATATTACGCCTCGATAGCCTGCTGATTTTACTGCGATTTCTCCCTTTGAAAGCCTACAAAGCAAGCTACTTGGCAGCTCAATTAAAAAATAAAATGTTAATAATCACCAAGAACATTTCACACAGCTCCATCTAGACCCGAGCTAAACCAAACCCTGTGTTAAGGGTACTACACAACTTAAATAAATATTTACAAAATATTTTTTTATAAATACATACATAAAATAAATAACTAACATCCAGATCCATAGAAAAACAATAATACTCATTAATACAAATGTTTGTGCCGTGGTAAGGCTGTATAGTTAATAATTGTCTTGTTGCTTTCGTGGCTCTGCTTAGCTTGGGACTAGATGACGCTGTGTAAATTGTCCAGGGTTATTATTATACTATTATTAAATAACTCATATAAGTTATATACATTTTCTTGACGAATTAAACTTCTAATTTCAATTTCGGCACATTTCATTCTTGTGTTACTGAGCATATTTATAAGTTGTTTAATTTATTATTATTTACATTACAAAATACCTACAGATACAGTATAAAAACAAATAATACTTCTGATTTAGTAAAAAAATTCTAGTTTAGAAAAAAATACTATTAATATCACAGATCAGCTTGCTTCTCTGATTTGTGAATTTTAAGTAGATATGCGTCGTTCCTTTTTACCGTATCTGTGAATTTGCTGCGTCAATTCTTACAGGAAATGTAATTTTATGTGCATAACGAAAATTATTGAAACAATATATATGAATTATAGTAAAATGTGTGCTTTTAAATATCTTTTAATGCTACTGGAATAGCAAAAAAGCTGAGGGACTATCTGATTGTGATACAAGGATACATGAATATCTCTAGAGACATCAAGTAATCATGTGAGGCCCCTTATACCAGTCATGCCTTATCCTAAAATTCAACCAAAACTCGTCTACCCGATGTGGTACTCATAACCACAGAAAATATAATATTACATATAGATATTTACAAAAAAATCGATTTTTGTGACCTTTCACCTTGAAATTTAATAGTTGCGTACCATACGCCTACCATATTATTATGTAGGTTTTGAGACAACTTTTAGGGTGTCAATATACAAGTATTTACAGACTTACAGCTGGGTATCTCGAATTCCGAGGTGAACTTACTGTAATGACTGGACTACAATAGGTTATTTTTTCAGAATCCCAGACAATCGAGGACTTTGGGGCAGCGCTTCACCTAATGCGGTCAGACCTGGAACACCTCCGCTCCGTATTTATGGCAGTTGAGAACGGGGACCTCGGCATGCTCAAATCTCTCGGCATCAAGGACTCCGAGCTGGGCGATGTCAAATTCTTCCTGGAGAAACTAGTTAACACCGGTTTTCTCGACTGAATAGCACCGGAGTCTGCCTCTGAATACTACCACGTCGTCCAATTTGCCCCCCTAAACCCCTCCTTCTACAGCTACCTTCCTTATGATTCCGTGAAGTACAGAAGAAAGTAAAGCTTCTATCATTTCCATAATCCTGTGCGAATGTTGATTATATGTGTCCGTGTTAAATTCATATAGAAATGTCGGAAGAACTGTTAGTGATCAGAAGCGACTTCTGCAACCGGCCACGTAGACTCGGTCTGATTCTAACAGTGTTTTCCCGCGCATTGCTTCGTAGAATGAGATAAACAAGAATATTGATTTTCTAATTGCCTTAGACTAGGTATATTTTTGTATAGATAATTGCATCGTTAATTAAAGAAACGTTTCAACGTTTTCTCAAGTATTAAGTATTTAATTAGACAATAGGTTATGTCGGGGACTTCTCGCGTCATCGTTATTCAATATGCGTGTTGCAACAATATTTCAAGAGAGTCGGAAAGACTTAGAGCATCGCGGCTCCTGCAAATATGGTTTGGTAGATAAATCTACTGCATACTTGACTGACGAGCCTGGCTATAACCTATTGGTTGTCATATGGGTGTGATTGTATAGAATGTCGCCCCTTTGGTGATATCTTCTCCCTATATTGTCTATGAGTCAGAGGCGACTCCGTAGCAAACGAACGTCCATTCTAAGCGAGATATAAAGCTAAAAGTCGGTTAATTTCGTTCGTGTGAAATTCCTTAGATTATAAATTATTAAGAATCGTTGAAAGAATGTATGCGCTTTATATCTGGCTTTTTGAAAAATCCAGAATAGGACCATGGATTACATATCATTGTAAACTTAGACGTAGGATAAATTACATATCATAGATTATAATCAGTAGTGAATAAAGTATATTTATTTTAATATGATGGGTATTGTAGTGTTTATGAAACATTTTATAGATCCCTTTTAGTAGGTGTTTTGTCATTGAATTATAGTTATTTGAAGCATATAACGGTGCTGCACATCCCAAACATATCAGAATTATGTGATTGATAAATGTTAGATTACTGTGTGTTTATTTTATTATTATTATCATAGGAAATACGTATCTTTAATGTAGTTGCAGAATTAGGTAGCAATTTTATCTTCGTCACAAAATATATTACGACTATTGTCAATTAGTGTTGTATATCCTTATGTCAGTATCATAATCACTGTATTCTTTTCAATAGGTACATGTATTATTCTTCTTCGGTGTTATCTATAATAAAACTTTTGTCAAATGCGGGCTAAGAAGACAACGAATTACAATGTAACGTGTTAAAATTTTATCAAAGTAATAATACGTGATGTGATATTCGATATCATTGGTATTTTATAAAAAACGGTCCATCAGTAAGGAATTTGGCAAAATATTAGAATCAGTGTTGCCATTACGGGCACTCAATTAACAAATATATAGATAAACCATTTGAAACTAAATAATAAAAAACTTTAATTCATATTACTTTTATAATAAAATATTAACAAATTGTGTAATATTCTACTATACTCTGTATGCTACAAGTTTAATTTATTACTTTTAAAAGCAGATTTCAAAAGTAGACGGTTATATCTATCCTCAAAGGACTACGTTGGCAACACTGATCAGTAAATATTTTAAAATAAGGATCGTTATAGGTGGTAAAGAATAGCAAGCTTGTGATGGGATGGATATTACAAACATTATGAGTTATTCAAGATTGCAGCCTGTATTTGTCAGAAGTTGGGTGAACCAATGCAATTTAATAAATTAATGAGTGATTTTCTATCGCTATGTCCTCAAGTCGATGACATGCACACCCATAGTTTCTCTATTTGATAAAGCATCGATCCTATTACTAGCATTTCGTGTATTTACTATTTTACCTACATGTAGATAGTGTGTAAGCAAGTTTATAGCTATCAATAGTGTAATATTAGTTTGTATATTAACTTGCGTCAGATATAGAGCTACAAATTAACTAAATGTCTACAAAAAATGTTCTTTGAACTCTAATAGTTGATATTATGTGTTTTGACTAAGTATATAAATGGCTTATTGTTCTTAATTAACAAATCAATAAATGAATCATCTTGAATTTTTGTTTCACTTGAATGTCTCGCCGTCTATCGTTGTTGTCATAAAATGGGTACAGTTTGCCACTTATATTTATAAAAATAATAACTGATCTAGCCTATGTATATGGACTGACACCCTGAATAGATTTGCGCAATTCTAATCTTGGTTAATTTTAACTTTTCGATCTTCTGTACAATCTGCCAAACATTCTTGATAATATAGCTGAAGCTGATGAGTGATAGGTATTGAGGGTTATATAATAGAATGTTACAAAAAAAATTATCACGATTATGAACACATAAGAACAGCTATGTGATAAGGTACCCTAAAATATTATAGCCCCCATTTTATACGACTTAATCTGTTCGTAATTAATTTAATGTAAACATTTATGTAATAATTATATCCAACATATTGCTCCTAACAAAACCTTAAATTTACATACATATAACGTTTAAAATAAAAGAATGATAAGAATGATACGATATTACTTATTTCTACAAACGCACTTATTTTGGCTAAAATTATATACGCATATTTATATACCAATATCTTACAATAAGCCACTGTCTATACCTCTGTGCCAATAATATGATAAATCGTATTCCTCTCAGGGATAATAGTTTCTAAAAGGCTCGTCTTGTTATCTTTCACATTATTTATTAGACTGGACATAGGCCTCTTCCAAGGCACGCCATTGGACACGATCTTCAGCCCTTCTCATTCAGTTACTACCCACAACCCTACGTATGTTGTCGCTCCACATAGCTCCGGGGCGTTCTACACTAAATTTGCCAATTCGCAGTATCCACTCTAGAACACGTCTACTCCAGCGAACATCGGTTCTGCGAGAGATATGACCAGCCCACTGCCACTTCAACTCAGATATGTAGAGCTATGTCGGTGAATTTCTTCGATTCGAATTTTATCCCTCAGAGAAACTCCAAGCATAGCTCTTTCTATAGCTCGTTGAGCGACTTTGAGTTGGTGGACTAGTCGCATCGCCAATGTCCACGTTTCGGCACCATAACTCATAGCGGGTAAGACACACTGATTGCATACCTTTTTTTTAAAGGATTTTGTTTTTGTGGAAAACAAAATTTTATTAGACATTAAAGTTCGGTACATAAAACTATACAATAAAAATCTTAATAGTAAAAAATACAATATATGAACTATGTATAAAAGTATGTAGCCATTACATCAGCAACAGCTCCCTTGGGCCAAAATTTAATAAATTTTCAACTTGTTGTGATTGAGACCTGTGCTGTGCTACAAACAGTTCATACGAATACGAGTCCAAAATATGTGTAGGATTGGATATTATACTTAGCAAAATAACTCCACATTTCTTAATCAGCAACTGCGGCCTACCGCATGGGGGTAAAACTTTATTCTGTGTTTTGCGCATTTTTCCATCACTTTTTAATACAGAAAAATAAGACAAGACTATATTATTCATCCTTACTATCCTTACTTCCTTACTAATATTATAAATGCGAAAGTAACTCTGTCTGTCTGTCTGTCTCGCTTTCACGCCAAAGCTACTGAGCCGATTTAAATATAATTTAGTACGCAGATAGTCTAGACGCCGAGGAAGGACATAGGCTACTTTTTAATGCGAAAAAAGGGTTGAAAGGGGATCAAAATGGAAATACAAGGTTATCTTTATGCGGTTGAATACATCGCACACTTATTCGTCATCTTTTCATTTCACTAGCTAACAACCAATCAACACAACACGTGCGTTTGCGCCATTCGCCATCTTTTCATTTCACTAGCTAACAACCAATCAACACATCGCATGCGTTTGCGCCAGTAAGGTATCCATCACAGAGAACAAAACCACAGATAACATAATGTAAAACGAAAGATCTTGCCGGAAACATGACGTTGACGTTTAGCGAAAATATTGTTTTTTGACAGTTTTTTATCATAAAATCGTATATCATGTGTATGTGTTTTTTCTTTAAACCTGAAATTGGCCGATTGCGAGACAAATTTGGCAATTTTTTTATTAATTTGTTTTATTTTAGCTCAACTTAAAGTTTTACAATATAAATTACAAAGTCAATGTCCAATGTCAAATAATAATAAATGTCAAATGTTGTTTCTCTGTTCTGACGAACTTATTAAAAAAAAACTTAATAACAATCACAATTTCTTCACATTTTATTATTTACATTTTTTAAATAATGTTGTAGTGTGGCACTATCCGAAATTAAATTATTTACCCATTTTTGTAGGTTATACAGACATAATGTGTGGGTGTTTATTTAAAAAGCATTAACACAAAATTAATAAAGCATAGGTATTCATAAATATATGGTTGTTGTATCAAAATAGAATTTTCTTATTTTGCACTAAAATAAAAACTAACTGCCTTTTTTATAAAATAAATGACCTTTTCATTGTGTCATATATTATGAAACTATTTAAATTATTTAGCTGATTGTAAGAAACAAAATGTTGGATTGTAGATTAATACTGTAAAATTACTATTTGTACGGAAACGACAAAAATATAAATTTTTTTTTGCTGCGACAAAAATCCTTACTAATATTATAAATGCGAAAGTAACTGTCTGTCTGTCTGTCTGTCTCGCTTTCACGCCAAAACTACTGAACCGATTTGAATGAAATTTGGTATACAGATAGTCTAGACTAGACCCTGAGAACGGACTACCAAAAGGCTACTTTTTAATGCGAAAAAAGGGTTGTAAGGGGTTAAAAGGGGGGATGAAAGATTGTATGGAAGAATCGTCATTTTTGAAGCTAGAAGCTTGAAACTAATTTTTGAGGCTGTTGATTAAATATAAATAAAAATGACATTCAATGTTTGTAAAAAATTACCCTTAAGGGGGCAAAATAAAATATGGGATGCAAGTTTTTATGTAAAATCGTCATTTTTGAAGCTAGAAGCTTGAAACTTAGTTTTGACTGTTGATTAAATATAAATAAATATGACATTCATTGTTTGTAAAAAAATTACCCTTAAGGGGGTAAAATAAAATAGGGGATGATAGGTATTATGTAAATTCGTAATTTTTGAAACTGAAACGATGAAACTATTTTCATTGGTTATTTTGGGGTAGATTTTTAAATACCCCACCAATGTTATAATTGTGAAAGTAACTCTGTTTGTCTTTCTGTCAGTCTTACGCTCCAAAACAAGATAAAAATTTAAATGAAATTTGGTACACAGTTAGTTTACACCCGGACATAGAATATAGTGTACTTTTGAATGTGAAAAAAGGATTGTAAGAGGGTTGCAATGGTACGCTGTATGGAAGAATCGTCATTTTTTAAAACTAGAGGCTGTTGTTTAAATATCAATAAATATGACATTCAATGTTTGTAAAATTGGGGGGTAGGGGGTGGGTGGTAGTAAAATGAAATAGGGAAGGAAAGTTATTGTGGAAATTTGCTGTTTGTGTGGTTGTGGAAGCTAGAACGATTAAACTTTTTTCTTTGTCTTTTTAGAGTTAGTTTATTAAATACCTTACTGATATTATACATGTGAAATTAACTTTGTCTGTCTGTTTGTCTCGCTTACACGCCAAAAATACTGAACCGATTTAAATTTAAATTTGAAACAGACATAGATAGACTAGATCCTGAGAAAGGACATAGGTTACTTTTTGTGTGAATGTGAAAAAGGGTTGCAAGAGGATTGAAAGGGTAGATCCAAGGTTATATAGATGTATCGTCATGTTTAAAGCTAGGAGCTTGAAATTTATTTTTTAGCCTATTGATTAAATATTTATTTTAATTTTTTATCATTTTTGAAGCTAAAACGATGAAACTTATTTATTTGACTTATATTGTGTTAATTGAGTTAAATATTTTTTCATTATTTACGCGGACGAAGTCGCGGGTACAGCTAGTATATATAATACATGTATACTCGTGCGAAGTCGAGGCGGGTAGCTGGTATAAAGATATAAAAAAGATAAGCTTAGCCTAGTTTATCTTTTTTCACAAGACATTGAAAGAATCTTAAATCACATTTTCGTACAAACATCAGTACACAATGCAGGTAAATAGGAAATAAATAAACGTAAATTTGTTGTAAATTATAAATCTAACCAACAAATCATTCACGTTTACATAATTACAAATATTTTTATGTGACGAATAAATAAACTTGACATGGACTAATAAATTATTCAATAAAATTAAATAAAAATATATGTATCTGAATAAATAACTGCACTTTTTGATTTAGTCATAATAGGTAGACGTACAGATTCGTTATAATATTTATCACAAAGAAGTCGTAAAAGATAAAGAAAATAGATGGTCATTTGCTTACTAATACTCTTCGATTACGTTTAAAACATCTATGTAAAGCAATTCCTTTACGTCCCTAGCAAATAAATAATCCACGTGTGACCAGCTACCATATGGAACGGTAATAAATTTGTATATGTTTGGTAATCTTCTTTTCAATCTATTCACATCTTCGATAGCATTAAACCAATCGTTGAGACCGAAGAATATGGCCAATGGCGATGTAATTTTTTCAATATTATAATCTGGAGGTGTCACAGATCCATACTGCGCAAGATTTTTCAATCCGTAATCAAATTGTCTAAATTTATTCGAATTTATTAACTGTGCATAATGTACTAATTGTTTTGTCGATACACCTGCGGGCGTATGACCAAATATTACAGGTAAAGCAGTAGCATTTATCTGACTGAAATCTGGACCGAGTAAGAGAAAAATAAGGTTGTCGCACACTATCGTAGCTGTCGCAGGAGTCCCACAAAACGTGTCCGTTAAATAATTCAGTAACTCATTTCTTGGTACAAATTCATATAAACCAAGTAATTTTAAATTTGCCCATAGAAATAGATCTATGGAACTAAAGATTCTTAAAAGTGGACTTTTGCAATGACCTAAATATGACACTGCTGCCAGTGCCACCATTATTTTAATTTTTTTATTGTATTCTGGCTTCTCCGAACACAACACGAAGTAGGATGTCGTACCTTGTGAATGTCCGATATATATCAGTTGGTCCTGCTTAGTTGCATTTAAAATATAGTCGATCATAGCCGGCAGATCGTAGCGGCCAATCTCATCCCAGCTGAAATCCCAGAATTCTGCGCAGGACGGCGACAGACTAATATGACTTCTGGAATGTTTATTACCGCGAGCATTGCCCAGCCACACGTCATAACCAGCATCAGCAAGTAGATAAGCAAGTCCACTGTCAGGTCCGATTGTTATGAAGTCATCAGAATTACTAAACAATCCGTGCATGACAAAGACCGCGGGTCCGTCGTTTGGTATCCGGAACATTGTTAGGAGATAACCGTCGCTGGTCAACACCTGGTGTTGTTCTACAGGATACTTATATTTAGTTAGTAACTGCGTTATGTTCAGATGTATATCTTCGTTATCTCTTTTGGACTGGAACTCGTTGTAAACGGATTCAATTCCTGTTACATTGAAAAACTTGTTCAGTGCTCCGCCGTTCGCATAATCTTTAATATCATTAAATATATCACTAGGAACATTAGCATTATTCTTGTCAAATAAAGTACATTTTTCACCGCAGGTTATTTTCAGTATCCCACATAATATAACTAATATAACTCTTCTAGTTATCATTATTGAAAAAAGAACTGTCTTATAATTTTTATACAGACTATAAAAGCAGAAGAAAGTACGACTAATTATTCTCTCTCATTAATATATATTTTACTTTATTTGCTCTTAATTTACTTATGCATACATATCAAAAGAATTCTTGTACCAATACATTGTTCTTAACAAAAGGTTTTTAAAGTGTGTGTCTATGACGATTATAATAAAAGAATTATACATATAGATTTATCTCTGTGACAAATGTACTTATTTTCACTATAATTGCCTACATATATTTTAATATATATAGCCTCACTGACTAGGTTTATTTCCCGGGCTTACACCCGACTATTATATTAATATATACATATACATACATACATAAACGCGTCTATTCATGTGCCTACATGTCTCTGGGTATATTTGAATGACGTGTCAGGGGGCGAGCCTACCATCGTCTTTCGGATTTTATCTCCTTCGCCAGAGAATCAGTCAGATTTTTAAATTGACACACAAAATATTTTTTTTGCTGCAGTCATATTTGAACACGGCCTTACGTGTATGTAGAACTGAAACCATGACGCTCTCTTAAACTATCTTATATATAAAATGCTGTCACAATGATAGTTGCCGTACTTTATGGTCAAAATTTATCTTTTCATATTATAAAAATACTATACATTTAAAAAAATACATAGGTACCTACAACCCTAAATTTTCAGCCATCTATCACCAACCTCTATTTATTAGTAGCGATTTTAATTTATATCGCAAATAAAGGGATCCATTAGTTCTTTTATAAAATTTCACATAAAACAAAAATTACACAAATATTCTTAGTTGTATGTTGTGTTGTTTGTAAATAAAATATAAAATATGTAAATAAAACAAAAATATTTACAAAAAAAATATCATTTTAAAAATATGCCGCTCGATTGCATACATTACACATTTTCGGACATTGTAAGCTAGCGATCTGAACAACCCCTTATATCCGATGATCACGGTTCAATCACACGACATAAACATTTGCATTCAAGAATATGAATGTTTGTCTGGTATATTCTTTGTACCTATAGATATTATACTAGCTGACCTGCGTGAATTCGTCTGCATTACACTTAGATATATCGCTATACATATATCGCCTAATTTACATAATATCTTTTTAAAGTATAACCATACATATTTATAAATTTTCGCGGTTATAATATTATTAAAATTAAGATTGTAGCGCGGTGATTATCACCTCACCTCTGCGAGTATTATGAGGTATCGCTACATGATATAAATTATTTTTTTGTAGTACCTATGTAGATAGTAAGTATACCGGTAAAATAATTGTATTATTTATTGTACGTAAGTAAGTTTATTATATAGTGTACATATTAGTAAAGCCTACATTCGATACGCAGTCTGGACGTAGACTGATTCTATATTTAAATTAAATCTGTGTTAGTTTACGCATAAACAAATGGAAGGGTCTCAATTGTTGGCAGAAATATTATAAACGTAGGCACAAGATTATACATCTCTAAATTAGACGACTAAAGCAGAAACGTGTACACAGCATAAGTATCTATTTATTTCGACAATTTTTCTATAACGTCAAAAGAGTTTAATATCTACTTTTTTTTCTTTTCCTTTAATGAACATTCACAATTTGTATATCACCTTATCAAACAGTTATATTTATTTAAGTGATCTCATAACCGTGCGTATATTTGTCTATGTATATCTGTTTCTATAGCATTATTCAAAATCGGAAGTATACTCAAAGAATATTGTAATCCCACCCCAACTTGTAATTCTAATGAACAGTCTGTCTTGGTGTATGGTGCAGCTCGCTTGCAGGCTAGTACTGAAGATGTGACATTCTGTATTAATAATATCATATATTAATTAAATAGAGATTGTTCTATAATTAATTATTCATTTATTTAATTCAGGGTACTAATGACCCATATTATAAATATCTTACAGACTAATATACATATAAATTCTATTAAAATTAATAAAAAAAATATATAAATTGTCTGTTTGTTTACGGTACTGATGGCTATCTGCTACGGTAGCGCTGATATACCACACCCATCGGCCAGCAGCCCACCTTCATGAAGTTGGTCAGCATGTTGGTGGGAACTCGAGCTACAAATGCCTTAAAACTCGCGTTATGAATCGATTGCAACTGCGTTACCCACAATCTCAGGTTACTTTTGGTCGGTATGTAATTGACAATGTCCTGCACCAAATTCAATATCCTAATATTCCGAGCCTTGGCCTATTGATAACCTTATTGTTTTTGATTAATTGACTAGAAGGGTAAAATGGTCCGAGAAAATTAATCGATTGTAAATTAAACTTTTTTTTTTAAATAATAAAACCAATGAGTAAAATCTATTTTTTTAATTAATAATGATCTAATATTCATAAATAGCAGCATCGGCGAATATGGGTGCACGTGATAATAACTTACTCATAGGTTTAATTAATGAATACGTACTTGCATTTCTATTATGTGAAACTACACCGAGTGTTTTATACTGAGGGGACATCACTAGTAATGGTGTACATTAGAATAACGTCGGTTATTGTGTGTAATGTCGAACAAAACAGTGATTCTTTGTAATATTCAGTACTTAAATAATAGATAGAACAGAATAGGTATACTATTGGCCACTGAAACATTCTAAACCCAAGTTTTAATAATTATGTATTATTCTGGTAATGCAGAATAGCCTCAGTCGATAGATTAGACTTATCATAAATATCTGTAATACATAAATATTCTGTGATATTTTATATTTGTTTGATGAGTCAGTCATGCTCTTTTGAATGTCTAGACAGGCGGTCGCGTGGTGGAACAGGTCATTGGGCTGCTTAAAACATGCTTGAGCGCAGTGATGGCAGCGAGTGGCTGACTCACCGCACCGTTATACTCATAAACGGTTGCTGCTTATAGGGACTATGATTGATGTATTTAAAAAAAAATTAATTAAATCACACCGAACAATCTATTACATAAACTAATAAAATAATAAGATTATTATTATTATATGTATAGAAATATAAAAGAAACATAATTCCAGTAATATGCAGAGGGCTGCCTTATCGCTAAATAGCATTAGCATATCTTCCATGCACTATTACATATTTTGATACTCAAATAAATATTTATTTATGTATACTTTGCTATTTGGCACTTTGTATTGACAAAAAATTCTTAAAAATGTAATTCTGAACAACTTCTACTTAAAAAAGCAATAGGTATTATAAAACCATTAACTTATTTTTATCGGTACTTTTTATACAACATTTTTAGAGACTTGCTCATTCTTCTCTCTTATAATGAGTATACGTTCTGTATGTTATCACGTTCAAGGGAGAATAAAAAAAATATGACTATATATTTATATTAATATACTATAATATGACTACAAATTCACCAGGAACTTGTCACGATGGTTTTCAAAGGGAATTGCGTGGAGGCCTACCTTTCATGGTACATTGCTAAGAATGGGCTCATTAATCCACATTAGTTGCAATCATATATCCTTATCATATTAATCCCCATCAATAACAATCCCCATGGGTATCACCTCCAGGGAGGGGTCATTAGTATTGGTGGCCCCTTAGTGTACCTAAGGGGATTTTCTGGATGGGATGTACCATTCCACCCAGAAAATCATCATTACAAATTGAGTACGATAGACGGATTGACTTAACTTCATGCTCATCTTCTCCTCCTCCACTTCCCGCCAACGTAAACCATTAACGCAGGAGATCCATTATAATAATACGAAACTGACCGAAACCGGAACCGAAAAATGAGACCCAACTGTTCTGTTGGATTTGCATAAATACAAAAGAAATTAACATCTAATTATTAATTTCTTTTTCCGTTAATGTTTTATGACACCTAAACAAACATTCGCAATCATTTAACTTACACATGATTATTGTTAGGTATGTTTCTGGGGTTTCTACGCCTGTTGCCGTTTGTTAGCCTTCTGCATTGTCTATCTGTCCGGGTAAATTGGGCATTACCAACAGGTACAAAAAGTCAAGCTGAATGAATGGTCACCATCACGACTACTTCTCGAGAGACTACAGCATAGGGATTTTCAAGAAGAGTAAGGTTTCTAAGGGTCGGCAACGCGCACTTGACACCTCTGGTGTTTCAGGCGTCCATAGATTACGGTAACCGTTTATCATCAAATGGGCCATATGCTTGTTTGCCACCTACGTGATTTAAAAAAAAATCACGTCGTCCTGACTGTGACAACCGCGGATCCCCTCATTGTGTTTCCGGAGGACTATCTTACATATGCCTTCATACCCTGTAATTCCCCTGCCTTATCCCACGTGTAATAGAATTACAGCGTACAAACTGAAAATAAAAACCTACAGCTATGTTCACCTAGGACATACATTAAAGCTGAGTGGAGCCATTTCAGTGCATATATGGATGTAAAAAATGATTATTTTATGATTATTTTTAATTATCTACACGGTAAATTAAGTTTAATTATATGTACATTTTATTTGCTCTTTTTTTTCGTTAGTTGTTTATATTGTATTTTTTACATTGCACTGAATAAAATCTTTTTCTTTCTTTCAAACTTTACTGCTTGGCCGCAAGGTACGCCAGAAGCACTCACGCAAATACACAATTGACTTTGGACAAGATATTATGCCTATTCAAATCACGTCGGTGTCACCAATTGTAGCGCGGTGGTTATTCTCACCACTGTACGAGGTGAGAGGTGTCGCTACTTAATTTATTGTTTACTAACTGTTTACTAATTTCACGCGACTTCTTCCGCGTGAAATTGAACATTATTTTTCTAAAATAAAAGTAGCTTACTCTTTACTTACTTAAAGTCCCGTTAAAATCGGTCCAGCTATTTCAGAGATTAGCCCGAACAAACAGACAGACAGACAAAATTGTAAAAAATATTATTTTGGTGTATGTACCGTAATTATATTCGTATGTATGTAGTAAAACACGTTTATTTCAATATTACAAACAGACACTCCAGTTTTATTTACATGTATAAATGTGATATGTAGATAGTGAGTATACAGGTGAAATGATTGTACGAATTATTGTACATTAGTAAATTTATTAGATAGTGTGCTATATGCCTTATTAATGACGTGTACATTCGAAGCCGAACCGTAACTGGAACTAAGTTTACACTGAACTTAAATCTATGTTACTCGGAGAGGTAAACTAATGAAAGGGTCTCGAGTGTTGGCAGAAATATTACAAGTGTAAGCACAATGCCCTGTAATTTCATATCTCACCTTGGAACAGAAATACAGCTAACAAACCAAACTTAAGCCGAAAGGTAAGCCATAAGCACCCATGTAGACTAGACTTTGTATAAAGTCTACCTGTATAGATTAAAAATTGTAGCACAGATACCTCAGACAATATTACATACAGATACCCCATCACATACAAAGAGAAATGGTTCCTTCCTAACTCGGGCTATTTTATTTCGCCGGCGTAGATGCTAGGTGTCGCTAGATCTGAAGAAGTTCAGATTACTAGTGAGTGTTTAGTAATAAAGCATGAAAATAGATGGCACTCAAATTGATCTATATGACAGTTATATTTTGCAGATGTACACAGTACTGCCAATTCATTTATTTTTTTTATAAATTAATTACTCATTTAAATTTTTATTTTACTACTGTTTTATTACTGTTGTTGTTGTTGTTGTTGTTGTAGAACAGTTGTAGTAATAAAAAACAGGACATCATTTAATAATGCGTATAATATTAAACTATATTTACAAATTATACTTATATAATGACGTAACAAAATTGTAGTCAATGTTATAAAATTATATACAATACATACAAACACGTCAAAAAGGATACAAATTATACTTCATCAAATGCAACGTGAAATACAATTAAATTATATCCTTCTTTTCAAATATTATAACTGCTAACCTATCCATGTTTATAATTGTCCTTACAACTAAATTTGTTTTGCATAAGGTCATGTGTTGAATATGTAGCTAATGCTCTGAAAAAAATAATACCACGAGAACAATAAAAATAGATGTCAGTACTCCTTTCAGTCCACGAGTGTAACAGAATAGCAGCTTGTAGAGACAAATAGCGAGCTGTTATACGGCGGAAGACATCAGCGTTGTACCCCACAACATAATAACCATGATCGTTCTGTTAAGAATGTATTGAATAACAATACTCTTTTCAATACCAGAATATTACAAAAACCAGAGGAATCAAGCATAAACAATAACGAGAAAACTCTAAATAAAACCCAATAGTTAACAAGGTGATTACAAGCGTTGCATCTTAAGTTTATATGAAAAAAAATTATGCCATTAAGTGGTACATGAATATATTTTTGTGATAGAGTAAATTGCAAACAGATTCCTTTTTGTTTTAATCACAAGCTTTAATAGAATGTTATACTTGTGAACGGGTGATGCTTGTAGGAACTGGTCTGCTCTAATAACTATGACTGATTTAATTTGTTATTCAATTAACTATTATATTTATTTACTTTTCTGTCAGTCTTGCTATTTGGCAGTTGACTGAACGATATTTATTTAAAAGAGCAACACGCAAGCTTCTTGCTTGTTCTAAACTGCTTTCCGAATGAGTGGTACAATAAAAAAATATATTATATGACTATTTAGAAGTGCTCAAGTTTATTTGAATAAACATTGTTTTTATCTCTATATTGTCAAATAAAGAATTAATAGGACAAAATAAAAAAATAAATCTATATATATATTCAATATTTTATCGTCTATTAGCACAATGCACATAATATAAAAAGTACATTTGACGAAATTAGCATTTATATAAGTTTAGCGTCTGTAATATTCGATAGAATTCAGTAGAAATTTATAAAGATATTCGTAACGATAATTATAAAACATTCTTATTTTTAGGTTGGTTGATTAATTTAGTCTTTGAGAACAGTTTTTATAAACTAATTTATTGGATATATTTTATGAAATATATATATTTTATAAAATAGGTCTAAAACACATTGTCCGCGTTTATAACATGCGTGAAGGCTGGGAGGTTTTAATTATTAGTAACGTGTGCAAGTCCATTATCATCCACTAAAATAATAGTAAATCAGTATGACGGAGGAGTAGCCCCAATACTAGCAGTGTACTTTTTTTAATATCAATGGTGCACCCGCCAGAGCTAACGGTGTGGGGCACCAGTGGAGTATGATAAGATGAACATGAGGTAAGGTCAGGTAGCCCATGGCGATAAATTACAATTTACAGGAATTTATCATTATGGTTTCCAGGTGGAGATTAACCAGAGATGGTAATTTGCTATCAAGTAGGTCCTATAGTCCTCATTACTAATAATCCCTTTTCCCGACAATCAGTGTATTAGGTTGTCCCTGCTGGAAAACATCATGCTATCATCCTCTACTAGGTTCAAGAAGTTCTACCGGTGCATTCACTGATATTCATCCAATGCAAAAAAACAACGATGAATTCTGAAACCAATAGTACAATAAAGTAATATTTATAATTGAGAAACTAGGAGCGAAGGGTGTGAATTCTGAAATACAATTAAAGTTGTACAAATGGCAACTACTTCTTGTTTTCCTCTTTATACACATATAAGACACCATACACTAATAATAAATCTTATTCTTACAAACTAAACGTAATCAATAATAGCTTTTATATTAAGGGCAGTCGTAGAATTTACATCAATGTAAACATATAATAATACAATAACAATACAATGCATACAAATGTACATTTACAATTAATGTAAAAATAAGAAGAGATTCATTATGTAACGATGTTATTAATAATTCTCATTAGAAACGGATAAAAAGATAGATAGTTATTAAGAAAGAGTAACAATCTGTAATTATTCCAATATTGAAGTACTATAATAGAGTCTATAATTGTTCAAATATTGAACTCTTCTTTCCAATATATCTTGACCCCTAATTGTGGTCGTGCAAGTACTATGAACAAACACATAAAATGCTATTCAGACAAGTCTAAACACAAATCTGGAATTACTAGGAAACCCCAGCATTACTGTACACTAACAGCTTAGTATCAAAATTTGATACAAGTCAATGATTCCCTAGAATTAAGCAAAAACACACAACAGAATACTTAACCAGATCACTGTCTAACATTCACACGCAATTAAGAACATCTATTAAAGCTCGAAATTTTAAAACGTAAACAATACTTTAAAGAAACAATATAACAATACAATAAAGGAAAAGAAATTTGACAATTATAAAATACAGTTGTTACAATTTTTACTTTGCACGACGCCGCGCCGTCTCTGTGGGTACCTTTGCCGAACCTTCTTCAGCCACTTGGTGGCTGAAGAAGATAAGGCAAAAGTATCCACAGAGATGGCTTGGACAACAGGAACTTGCTTTGAAAACTATGTTTCAGCTGACATATGGTAGTATAATTACACTGATGCCGGCAGCGATAGTAAGGAGGTACAATGTGCAATTTTGGTAGGTCAAAATCCCACACTCGCGTTAATTAAACTCATAAATTCTAAAGTAACATTAAGACTTTACATTTGACATTATTAATAATAGAGAAATAATTTTCATGATAATGCATGCATTCTCTGAGTGGCGTCGTATTGCTAAACATATAATATTCGAATTCGTCAACAAAATAACATTTTCTATCAAATAAAATTTATTACTAATTATTATACTTATCTAATATAATCACAATACAAACATGGCGTACGACGACAAAGAATCTTATACAAATATAGTTGCGTTCATTCAATTTATAGTTATGGAAGTATTGTGTTATCTACATAAAGATTACTGAATTATAATACTATTTTTTATAATACATTAACATAAAGTATTTTATTTATTCACTTTAACATCTCTTATCAACTGTTTCTAGTTATCTTTTTCTTAGCTGAAAAAATTTAGATAACATTTAAGAACCTCTAGGTCCCGGCGGCATGCTATGTACATGGCGCCTTACATTTGTAAAGGTTGACCTTTAGGCGCGGTACATGGCAGCGTGTTGCGCTTGATAAAATAATCTGTACTATAAGGGACACAAGTCCAATAAAATTAATACTATAAGAAAATGAGTCCACCCGAACAGAAAGATAGCCATAAGCCATGCTTATAATGTGATTGTAGCTTTTATTTACACATTTGTTTTTAAATGTCTATAAGGTTTTTTTTAGGTATAACATCTCTAAAAAGTAATGGTGTTCCATTCAATATATTAATTAAAATATCTAGTCATTATTGTAGAAATATTTTAAAAACCCATTGTTTTATACTAATTTATTGTAATAATTGGGATGTAAATAAGCTTCTGATATCAGTGTTTCAACACCTGAGAAATTAATGTTGTGTATTTTTCGATCTTAGCAGTAGCTCTTAGCAGTAGTAATGTACATCTCACCATTGTTTCTTTATTAAAAACGCAACATAATATTTCCATGAAAGTTTTTTTATTTTCAAAACAATACGGTTTTTTATAGCAGTCAAAACATTGACGTATTATAATATGTACAATATTATTAAACTACATACTTATGTATATCAGACAAGGCTATGGAATTTGACTATTTGGAATATATTCTACTTACAAATATCGGACAATATTAGGAAAAACATTTTGTAAAAATGAGAAATGGCATTCTAAATCAGCTACACAGTCATTCTTACTAAATTGCTTATATATGCTATTTACAATAAAAAACATTAATTTCGTTTCCCTCTCTTTCGTGATATACTTTTCTCTGCCCTTAGCTGATCTTCCTCATCCATCTTACTATAATGGGACTGAATATGCGCGAGAAGTTTCTTTTCTCTAGAAAATGTTTCACTACACATATTACAGGAATATTTTTCTTTTTCCTTTGTCTGTGCTGTTTCCTTTACTACAGATGTAGATGTGGAAATTTGTGATTCCTGAATAATATTATCTGTAGGGAGTACGTATGAAGGTTGTAATAATGGATCCACATTGATAAATGTGAAAAATCCAGAATCTTTCGTATGATTAGCATCCTCTAAGGTTACCGAAAACGGTTCTTTTACCTCCTCATTACGATCTTTTAACTTCTTAGATTTTTTCTTTGGTACCTCCTCTACGGGAGCTGGTTGTGGTTTTGTAGAAATAAGCAATTTGCTTGGATTACCAGTTTGGACAATGGTATAAGACTGTTTTTTCATAGCAGGAGTAGTAAATGCAGGTGGCTCTTGAAGTGGTGGTGCCAAAGTGCGACGACTAACTGTCTGAAACAGTCCTACGGGATATGGCTGATCATTTGAGGTGGGTTTTGTAACGTCTGGTTGGTCTTCTAAATCAATAATAGTAGAAGAGTAATTTGGTACAGGTGCTCTGCTTTTATCTTGTTTATCACTTTGCATGTTACTATTTTGCATACTCTGTGTTTTATTAGCATCATCTGATTTTCTCTTCTTCAAATTTGAGATTGGTTTATTAGGCTGCGTTACACTTTCGCTCGCTTGTGTGTTATTAAGTACTATTTGACTTGTATCTTCAACAAGAGTAAATGTGTTATTGGGTCCAGGCATCAACTTGTAACGCCCTTGTAAACTTGGCATATTAGGAAAATTTATAGTAGGAGCAAGTGTGTTTTGAACTGGTGCTGCAGTTTGAATAGGCAATTGTGACTGATTAACTTTTATTGGGACATTCATAGTTTCAGTAGTAGAGGGAACTGACGAATTTAAATCATTTCTCTCTCGTCTAATTTTACTGGCAGGACCTATTTTCGGTTTAGACTTTTTTTCTGTAACTAGAGGTGTATTAACTTCAAGGTCTATTGGTTTATTTAAATCATTGTTAACTTTCGTGTTTATATACTTAACAGTACTAACTTTTGGGGGCTCTGGTGCAGGCAATTTTACAGTGAAATCTACTTTAGGAACACCATTTTTAGCACAGGCATGGATCATAACAACTTCTTTCTTCAGGAAATTCCGATTGCATAATTGACACTGGAATAATACACCTACACCATTAACTTTAATCATGCTGATATGATCCATAATGTTGAATGCTTTTATTGGTTGTGTTTCAGGATTACTTTTAACACTATTATTTGTTTCATTTTGGTTCTTAATGTTTGCTGTTTCTTCCTCATCATCACAATCAATGCTAATACTAGTGATACTAGCAGGGTTTGGTTTATTTTTTGATAATCTATCTAAGCTTTTCCTTTCATTCACTTTATCAGAAAAAGAATTACTCTGTTCATCATTTAAATTCTTCTCTTCAACATTTAAAGAATCACTAGGTAATTTCTCAGAATTATTAGAACGCAAGCCCCTAGTTAGTCTTTGCTCACATTTATCAAGTTTTAAATTCACCTGCTTTAATGCCTTGTCACTTTTACTATCGGTTGAGGTTTCACTGTTAATTTCATCTTTTGGTGTTGGATTAGGTGAAGAAACGCTTTTTTTTACAGTTGGGTCTACTTTAGGTATTACATTTTCTTCATCTAATGTTGGAGATTTCAATGGGATATCTTTGATACCTTCCATTGCCTTTTTAATCAAAGCATCACAAATGTCATCATTGGACATATTTGATTTATTTAATTTCTCTTCCCATAAAATACGTGATTTCGGTTTCATAACCGGAGCATTCTTACCCATTGTCTTGTGTAAATTTTCTTGTGTATTTATACATTTCTGTACAAATTCATAAAGTTCTTCCACTTTTGCCGAGCATCGAAAACAAATCTTGTGAGGTAGATCATCATTTTCTGTAATCTAGAAAAAAACTACTGTTAATGTTGTTTTACAAATAAATTAAACATTAACAACACTAAAACAATGGACACCATGAAGCTGTATATCATTAACATAGACAATAAATAGTGCTCCCCAGTAAAAGGTTGCCACTTTTCTTTCAGTGAGAAGTCAGCCTGTGTGCTATTCCACTCACATAAAAAAAATCACTTTCGACAAAATATTAATACCCCTCATGCATTGCCATTCCAGACAACTATGATGCTATCTCATCAAGCTGCTTGGTAGGATGTCTATCACACTAAATATTATCACAGAAAATATATAAGATAGAGAGAGGATGGGTAGCTCTCCATACAGAGCACTTAATACAATTATTAGACTTTGCCGACATCATTCTATTCTGAAAATATTAGATCTAATTAAGTTTACAAACCATCCAGGAACACATTAAAATATACACACAAAATTTCATCCAAAGGTCCAGCTGCCTAAGAAGTGGTAAACACACGTACAGAATATATAAATTACTGTTACTATTATTACCAAGTTTATATCTTTTTTACTTCAGTTATATTAGTTTAATGTTCCTTTTTTTAATAACTTATTCCAATAACATTTAATTTTGATTAATTACTCATTTTCCAACTAGTGTAGTGAATAGTTTACCATTCTTATTAAACTATAGTAATAAATACAGTATAATAAATAAAATACTTTGGAGTACTGATTGTCTTCCTAACGACCACCCTTACACTAGAAAAGCAGAATGTACTTATACATACATAAAATAGCTAAGAATACAGCAATTGGCAATGCTTAATCAAGAATAAATATAAACTATAGTCCCTTTTTTAATCCCGGAGACTAAATTGGTGTAAATGTCAAATTTTGAAATAATATTGCCAACTATAGCAGGGTAGTGGTGTACCTAAGTAACCAATTTGTTTAAACGGAAACTTTTATTTTAACATATTAGTTTTAAAGCTTTAAATGACGATTCCACAACAGAATTTTAAAATTTACATACATTTACTAGTGTTTTGCATTACTGTTGTTGTATTATACAGCATAAAATAAAAATTTAATGTTTTCCGTACAAGTACTGTATTAAGCTACAAACCAACATTTTTTTCTTTCAAACAGCAAAATATTTTATATATTGAATTTAATTGTATTGAAATGTAAAAATTAACCTCCCAACTAATTGAGTGACCTAATAGAATTATATCAACCTATATATCTATATATATATATATATTTATATTGAAGTTGACTATTTTTCTTTCTAACTACTGCTGTAAGATGATCATTCTTGCTTTGTACAGTGGTAAAGTTGGCTTCCTAGTATGTAAAGATAAATATACAATGTGACTACAGTGTTCCATTGTCTTTTTATAAAACCCTATTATCCTATAAAATAGATGTTTGTTTTATGATAAATGACACTATAAAAAGGGTTATTTGTATAAAATATCAAAATATTGATACAATAATCACAAATTTATTAATACCTATGCTTTATTAATGTTGTGTCAATACATTTAATATAAACACACACATTATTTCTGAATAACTTATAAAAATAGGTAATTAATATTAATTTTGGATAGTACCACAACCTTATTTAAAAATTGCAAAAAGCTGGCAGCATCAGAAACGTCAAATTTGTCTCCGAGATTACAAAACAGACTATATATAAATATATATGACAATATGACAGCCTTGGTTGTGTAACAGTTTATCACACCACTTGCAGTAATTGCAGCATCAATTCCTTCTACAATTCAGTAATTTGTAATCATGAGCACTATTGTTTTTATTAGTTTGGCTGTTTTCTATGTATATATTTATTAAAAAAAGTGTATTAAAATTTTTCCCTCAGTTATTACATACCCATGTCCTTTGCTTAACTTGGGACTGGAAGATGATGTGAATTGTCCAGGATTATTATTATAAATACTTATATTATGTTCTTATATATAAAACACATTCAATATTAATTCTCAGACAGGTGTACCATTCAGTTATCATCAATAATAAAAAATATCTTTCGCATTTAATGGACTAAGTATAATTTAAATTCAGTTAGTCTTACAATTTATGGAATCAATAAACAATTTTATTAACAAAAAAAAATTTAAACTAAGTAATTCAACAATAAGATATCCAAAAAGCCAGACCCGTTTCAGTGCTCACCTATATTAAAGGAATGTATGGAGAGGTTATAAATTAACTTAAAATTTTACCTTAAATGGCATAAGCTGGTCCACTTTGCTAGCAGTGACCTGCTCTGGATCAAAAATATTCAAAAACGGACCGTCTTTGGTACCACATAATCTGCATACTTTCATCAACACAGGCTGACTGGGTACACTCAATGCAGCGACTAATATATTGGAGTTTATAGAATCATCAGTAGATGCTGGAGAGGCTTTATTTGTTTGAGGTTTCGCAGATTTAGATTTCTTTCTTGATTTAGCCATTTTGTTTCATACAATTCCCAAAAACAAAAAGGACAGAACCACTCAGGTCGTCACAGTATTGTAATGTATGGACACAATTTAATTTTTACTATTGAAACGTTTCTGCACAATGATATTTCTTAAATAACATAAACTTATTTGTTTCACAAATAAAATAACTGAAAGCACTTCAGAGATGAGTAAAAAAAGACTGCTAAGACTGTTTATAATTAAAAAAATAGAATATATTTATTCTGTGGCAAAGAAGAGCAACCACCAAATGAATGAATGAATGAAAGAAAGAACAAGAAAACAACATGTAGAACAATTACTAATATTTGTACTTATTTTGTCTGTTCAGAATTTTAGAAAACCGTATAATGACAATGTAAAATATAAGATCTATTGGTACCTAATTAAAATTAGAAGAACGTTGCAGTAAACCATATTGAAATAGGTACCGCATAATTATGTTATATATCCGAATTTACAAAATTTATTTATGTGACTTCAGAACGATTCTAACTTATAATATACTTTATAAATTTTACTTATGTTAGTATTAAAGTACAAAATACATTTGTGATTTGAGACATGATCAATATTCTTGCGATGCTTCACGTTCGTGAATAGCTAATTAAACAATCATTAAATAATATAAAATTGTTCGTTTCTAATTTTTCATACAAATTAGAAACGAACAATTTTATACAGAAAATAAATAAAAAGAATAAAGAATTTTTTATCCTGCAACACAGCGCCAACCATAGATTATTGGTACCGAGTGCCAACTGCCAATCAGTCAGTTAATGGACGCCATCTTGAATTTAGTATAGTGCCAGTCGGGGGGGCGGTGACATATTTTACCCGTCATCGTCTTAATTTTAGTGAATATCTCGGGAAAAAGCAAAAATAAGTGACGTTTTAAGTGTAAATAGTTTAACAGGATTAAACGTGAGAATGGCGGGTCAGACTATTAATGATAGGCTTTTAGCCGCTCGTCACAGTATCGCCGGCCAGGGATTAGCAAAATCTGTATGCAAAGCTACCACCGAAGAAATGATTGCTCCGAAAAAGAAACACTTAGATTGTGAGTATTGTATACATTTTGAAGCCATAAAATTGGACTTATCGGTTGTACGCAGAAGTATAATTTTCCGTTCAATAATGGTGACAGTTAGGTTGCCACTTATAAAGGTCGATAAAATTTCATAATCTGGAATAGATGGTGTCGATAACTCGATAGCATTCAAGTTCGCCGGACATACCGACATCTAATATAATTAAAGCATTACACAGAAACATGTTTAAGGTCAAGCCATTCCTCAGTGTTGAAACATTTTATACATCATCTACTGTCAAGACTTGTAATGTAACTTGACACAGTTTTCATATTATGTCATGTGAGCATTGTGAGCCGACAGAAGGATGGCATGTAACAAGTTGGTAGGCAATCTGCAAAAAAGTTGATTGTATTCCACATATAGTTTTATATAAGAAACTTATTAAGTTTATATAAGAATCTTACTAGACATACCACTAGCTTGACTAATGTAACAGACAGTTTCAACACTTTTTATATGATATACAGAACTATATTTACCTTGTTATACTATTTATACATTAATAGTTATTATAGTGATAATATGAAGAAGAAAACATCATCAGTAATAGTCATTTCTGAAGAAAATCATTAAATGAGTCTGGCTACCCACTAACATTTATATGTGCTCTTTGACTACTTACCCTCTTGTTATTTGACTTATATTTATACCTGCATTTCTAACAAATAATATGCAAATTGAAGAATATATTGTTTTTTCCAACTAATTGCATACAATGTATTAAACATGTATCATAGCATGTGTATGTATCACATATATTATATGAGATATAATATAACTGTTATGACATTTTATTTCATATTTAATACTTAAATTTTTGTGTTCATGAATGGGTAGATTTTATTTAAAGACTTAATCAATTTTTTGTAACAGTGAGAAAGAAAGAGTCTTACTTTCTTTCTGTCTGAAAAACAGGACAAAAAATTATTTTACTATTGTAATAGTAGAACACTAGTGGAAGGTGGTAAGATGAGCTTGAAATTAGACCAATTAGTGCATAGTGCCATATTCATATGAATTTACAAATTAATTAGGACAAATTTGTAATGGGAATCTTGACCATAAGCTTAGCATTTTATTAGCTATGGTGTCACAAATTTTCATATATAAACAATCTACTCCTACCAATAGAAATATAAACATTTAAAAATGTCTGCATGCACACAGGCTACCTCTAATGTATAATAAATAGGGAAGAGTAATTTTGGCACCAATAGCTGTGCTTCATTAGCTTTACTCTCTTCTAAATCAAGTGTTTTTTACACTGGCCATAAAATGGAATGTTAACACACTGTGTCACCATAGATAACTTATACATAAACTATTTGATTTCACAAAGTCGGCTGAAGAAAATATTTATTAGAAAGGGCTTATTAGACAATATTAGATTAGATATGTTTTAAAATGGGAAAGTACCGTTGTTAATCAGGATGAAGTGAATCAGGTGTTGCTTGAGGAGCCTCCTGACTTTGTTTGCACATGGGTATGAAAATACATGATGTAAAGTTATGCCTACATATTAGAGGTTCATACCATTCAGTTTTGTCTATTTTTCTAAGGGGTTGAGAGTAAAGTTAATACCTAAAACCGAACCACATTAGTAGGGGTGGGAAAGAGAATTGTTAGTAATGTGGACTGACTGTGCCTTTCCTAGCAATGTACTGTATCAGTTTGACCTCCACATGGTTCCTCCTGGAAACCATCCTGATAAATTCCTGGTGAATTTGTCATCATTGACAATTATCCTCTACTGGTAACCCCGCCAGCGTTAGCGCAGACAGGTTCACCATTTCATTACCTTCCATAAGAAAACTACAACCACTTTAGTAGAGGATAGTTATATATATATTTTAACTTTTTTGAATAGTGGACTATGATTTCTAACGTTTACATAATGCGCATGGTCAAGTGTCGTAACTCCAATTGCCATCGTCAAAGAAGTTTACCTTTCACGTTAAAATCTAAATAGAAGCTTAATGTGTGGATTTAAAGTATTAAATAACATGTCACTTGTCCAACCCTAAAATGATGTTGTTATCACATACGCCCACTTTTACCGAAGTATTACTGATTGACACAATTTCTTTCAATTTCAATCAATTACCTACCATGTTAATAATTTGGGTCATTTATTGTTTGGTACTGATATAGTGTAGTATCAGTGTCAGTTCTATGTACTTGGAGTGATGTGCAAAAATAAAATGGCTTATGGAAGTATACTAGTGTACTTCCATCAGCCATTTTATGTTTATTGCTATTACCTATAACATATTGTGTATTTATTTAACAGCTCGTATATACTAAAACTACATGATTTATTAGTATTGTATCCTACCTACTGTAAAGTTTCATCAAAATCCATTCAGTAGATTTTGCGAGAAAGAGTAACAAACATCCATACATACTTACAAACTTTGGCGGTATAATATTAATAAGATTTACAAACCAAAGTAAACATATTCCTCACGCCTATATGCAATTGGGGTAGACAGAAACAATGGACTGTGAAATAAACATGACTTGCAAACTAGTGTTGATCATACTTATAACTTTTTTTTTCTTAATTTATATTTTGATCCTGTTCTCCACTCATTATAATAAATATTTCTGCTTGTGAATGTGTGAAGGATCTGTATTTTCAGCATACTTTAATTATGTTATACTTCCTTATTTCTAAATGCGTAATCTATTAATATTTGTGTCCATGTCATCTTTCCATATTAATGTATGTATGCTCGACGGTCACTGGTGGCAATTAACTAAATGAAAATGTATTCATATTACCTAGGTTAGGGATACTGTATTTTGTATTTCTAATTTTTAAAGCATTAGAGAGATGGCCAACTTTTTAGGAAGATGAACTATTTATCATTTTTGTTAGCTATACTTAAATCTAGTTGGTAGGGGATTATTCGTATTGGACACTAGTGAATCCATAACTAGCAATGAACCTTATCAAGTGGATATTAACACAGCCCTCATGGAAATCATCCTCATAATTTTTGACGAATTCGCCACCTTGGGCTATCTGATCTGTCTTACTTACTTAACGGTTTACGCTGGCGTGGCACTAGTGGAGAACGATAAGATGAGCATGAGGTCAGGTCATTTGGCCCATTCACAAGGAATTTATCACGATGGTTTCCAGGGGATCCGCGTGTAAGTCAATGTTTGGTATATTACTAGCGATAGTTAGTCGTTAGTTTACATTGCTAACAATCCCTTTCCCCTGGGCACTGGACCGCAGTATTCTACAATATTAGTATTATATAACTGCCGCGATATAATTGGTATTACTCTATATTAGTGGTTCTGTATCTGCTTAGAGACAAATTGTTTTGATTGCAGAGTGAAATATGATAAACAGGACAGGGCCATTTCCTGTGTTATCATATTGTACCGATCGTATTTCCTATACCATATTAGTGATAATTTCTCTTTGTTTATGGTAAAATGTATTTATATTTTTAATATGCCTAGCATAGGTATTCATTTTTGTAAGCTTGGGATTTAAAAGATAAAAATAATGGAACAATATTAATAGCAACAAGCAAGTCATCTCATCGTTATTGGCTGAAACTGCGAATCGAATAAGCGGTGGAATAAAAAAATTCTCTTTTACAGTGCTTATTTTGGATATAGTTTATATCTGATTCATGCTTTCTACCGATTTTAAAACGTAGAAGTTTTTAATGACCACTTCTAAGCAATGTCTACAATAAAATCATCTGGTATATGATATTTGAGAGAAAGATCCTAATCTGAAAAATACTGTGTGCGATAAAGGAAACTATGTAATTGTCGTAGAAATAATATAGATATAATATATGTATTATCAAAGAATAATATAGGTATATCTGCATTATCAGAACACTACAAACTAGGGCCAGGAAGGCAAACTGGAAGGAATAATAGAATGAAGTGAAATAGAATTTGGTACTCTAAATATAAAGATTTAAACTATATTTATAATAGTTTATAGATCGACTAAGTAGCCTGCAATAGTTAATTTTAAACTTTCCTGTTTAATATACATAATTTAAATTATTAACCGGGTCTTAACACGAATAATTTTATGGCAAATATACACTAACCGTGGTCTCGAGTTTCGACTAGGTTGCACTAGTTGTCAGCTCGTAACCACGGCTAGTGCAACCTAGCCGAAAGAAGTAAATAGCTTTATTTGCCATAAAATTATTCGTGTTAAGACCCGGTTAATAATTTAAATAAGTAGCCCGCATTTCATAAATACATTACTTCTTAGTATTGGTTTACCTTGGGGTTTTTCTATATTACGTAGGGGCATTCCCTATCAATATATTATATGTTTCATATCATTTAGCTAACTAATATTTGATATCACACGTAAACTCTTTTCTGTGTGTATAAATTTATATGTAGGTAGAGATATATGTAGAATACACAGAATGCACTGGCTGATACTAATATTGGCATTATGCGGGTATCGAACCCGCGACCTTTGGAAGGTGAGGCAGTGTGTTAAACTGCTACACAATCAACATCATTTTCTGTTTACTTATTTCCATATGTATTTAAGTATGTTTTAATAATAAATATATTGTTTATTAGCAAGAAAACTAGTATCCCTTTTTCAAGTTTATTCGATTTATTGTATTATCTGAGTGTAACAGACTGTGTTACGAACGTTAAAAAGAAAAATAATTAAATCGCGTATTGCAATTACTTCATCTGTGATTAACCATTGTTTTTTTACGATACCTAACCACAATCGAATTTCCAGCGTATCCGTTTGAGTTTGTCATGTTACTTCAGTTGTTTGTACTTGTTATAGCATTGTCGTCGAAAATAATAACATAAAAAAGAGGATATTTTTGAGTTACGTTTGTATTGATTAAACTGAAAATATACTTAACTTTACAACGAAAAAATCTTTGACTCAAAGAGTAATATAGAATGTATGATACACAGGCTACGCCGCTGCGTAAAACTAGATACGATGGAGAATTTATAATCTTTCAAATATCAAAAAGAAAGATACCAAAAATCGGTAAATAACAATCGGTATTGAATAATGAATGTCAGTTTTACAAAAGTCTGCAAATAAATTTACTAACATGTGTAAATGTAAATAGTGCTATATTAGATATATTTAAAATGTGAACAATGATATGAATATTTTTGAATGAAAACAACACTCATTCATTGTGTATTATTTGCTCAGGAAGTTGTACATTATATCATGGATATATTTGTTTTTTAACTGTGAATTTTTTTATGATATCCTGAACATACATATTTATGTAACCTTCTAATTATTATCGAACGGAATTTAGATACGTAAAAACTTTATAGCTTATTGTAAGCACAATTTAGGCCCTAAGTCGCGTGCCTGTCCCAGCGCGTTTTCTTCAGGGAAGAAGGGGGAAGTGAATCCGCAGAGATGGGGTCAGCTACTAGAGTGTGCCACCACACGGGTTCACGCTCATCTGATCATCCTCCACTGGTACCCCGTCAGTGTAAACCGTTAGCGCAGGCGGGTGCACCATTCCATTATCATCCATAAAAAAAAATACGCCACCACACGGGTTGCGGTGGACTATCATTTCTACCCCGCGGTTCCGGTATATGTCGTTGGATGAGGGACATCTAAAGTTTTTAGGGAGCAGAAGTCCCAAAGTATGAGGATTTGCTCCAAGTAAAAAAAAAAAATGCAATTGAACACCTATAGCTTCATATTCATCCAACTTTTAATTAGATTGTAATCTATTTATTAATACGTAAAGCAAAAACTTTGTACCCTATTTTACGAATATTACGCATGAGTATGTTTCGCACACTTATTTCGTTTATAGGAGGACAGATACTTTAAAATACATTAAATCAATAATAAAAACATTACACACACTATCATGTATGTAACACACACACACACTCTCTTTTGATAGCTGTTATAGTATGTGGTCTAATTTAGAAGAGATTAATATTATTTATCTATAGTCTTTGACCATAGGACCTTAATAAAGTTTAAACAATTTAAATAACCATGGTCGAAAATCGACTACTGGGCGACCTCTAGTAAATTACAAAAATATAAAATGTGAACGAACTCCTAGATGAGTTTGCTATTTCCTCTAAAATCACGTACTGCATACATGGTTTCAGAGTATGTAACCTAACAGCCAATTGATGAGATCTGGCGTCTATTTATTATACAATCTACGCTCCACTCGCTTCCAATCTACGTTTTACTGTAGGTACTTGTAAGTACCCATCTTTGTTTACCTTAGGGAGACTTCGTATAAACCCGTGTTCATACCATCCCCTCCGATCGATCCCCCGTACAATTCAAACGGGGATCGAAATTACGACAGCCTAAGCCGAGGCTCGAAACCCTAGGGGTGGCCTCAGACTAAAGTTGAATCCGTCAGGCGGGAGTTGGCCTTCAGCTGCTTCATACGTCCTTCCGCGGGTTTGGAGTGCCATCTGCACTCGCTCCCCTATCGTTCGGTGAAGCTGTATAGGCAAGCTGCGGCTAATAGCATTCATCAGATGTTGACGTTCAGTGCCCTAGTGTCTTCGGCACTCGGCTTTATTTAGCTCAAATAATAATAATATCCTTGGACAATTTACACATCATCTAGTCCCAAGGTAAGCAAACAGAGTTTGAGTTATTGGTACTAGAAAACTGATATAAATTCTTTAGATTTTATTTAATACTCTCTACTACACTCTATATTACATCGAAAACACCCAGGCCGATACAAACAATTATACTCATGAATACAAATATTCATACCGTACCAGAAATCGAACCTACCATGGGAAGTAAGGCTGTGTAGCACACAGCCTTACCACACACAGCTTTACACAGACCGCTACCATGCAACAAATACCCATAACGCAAGCTCTGCTTACATTAGGACTTTTTTTTTTATGGGTGATAATGGTATGGTTTCGGGGCACCAGTGGAGGATGATAGGATGAGCATGAGGTCAGGTCAGTTAACCCGTCGTGGTAAATTCACTAGGCATTTATCACGATAGTTTTCAGGGGGAACCGCGTCGAGGTCAACCTGCCATGGTACATTGCTAGCGAAGGTATTATTAATCCTCATTGGTAACAATCCTTTTCCCCCTACATTGGGAACTACATTACGTTGTGAATTGTCCAGGGGTATTATTATTTTCTTTCCCCCACTTATAGATTAGGGTTTCTACATATGGGTGAAGGAAACACCACAGGTGTAGTTCACCTTATACGCTATTTATAGCTAAGTAGGTACTTAGCCTTTCATCGGCGTTAAAATGAATCCACATGATTGTTTGTAGTTTATGGGGTCAAGTTCAGGCGAACAATAATACATTTTAGCTATGCTGTTCACTGGCCTTATACGATTTATAATAACGGCCTTGTTTTCTAGTACCAATACGCTTTGCGTATTTTTTTAACTGAATAATTGTCTCGTGATTTTCACGGGAATCCAGTTTTTTTATTTGTCATCAAAGATCATTGCGTTACGTCCGTGTTTTATAATACATTAACAGTATTTAAAGGAAAGAATGAATTCAATTTTAATTATATTGTATTTAAAAACAGATAGTAACCCAGACCGGATAGTCTTAGTTTTATATAGCAGACCCGGCCACGCGTTGCTGTGGCTAAGTTTAAATAATATTACGACTATAAATTGAGAGCTAAGCTATCCTATCTTTCAAGTTGGATCAAATTGCACACAATGTGCAAATCAAATTTGCAATCGGTTCAGTAGTTTAGTAGTCCATCGCGGACAAACAACGTGATACGTAATTTTTATATATAAAGATATATTAACCTAATATAAGCAGAGCCTATTTCACTTTAAAATAATGTACTTTTTAAACAATGAAAGAAATTTTCAATACGACTCTGTGGTTTCTGAGTTTGCTATCTTTATAAGAAAATTCGTTCAGCAGACTAGTTGTTTCATCCCATTGAAAAGTGGACATGTAAAGAGTAGCTTTCATGACGAAATCGACACTGAGTAATGGTCTGACTATCCCATCTGGGATCACGGTTGTGAAGGTGAGAACATAACTTTATACAGGTCTCATAAATATTGATGTATCCACAAGTAGTAAATTATAATTATAATTGACTGCCTCGGTGATCTGGCGGTTTAGCACACCGCCTGATTTCTTACAGTCGCGGACTCGATTCCTAACACGGTACAAACATTTGCATTCATTAGTAGGATTGTTTATATCGGTGTGTTTTTTATACGTATATTATACCATGTCTTTTTGTAAATGCATTATAAAATTTATGTATTTGTATGGGTCGTCTAATACCCATAACGCAAACTCTGCTTAGCTTGAGACTAGATGGCGCTGTGTGTATTGTCCTGAGATATTATTACATATTACCTTACTAATATTATCAATGCGAAAGTTTGTGAATGTAGATGAATAGGTGGACGTTTCTCTTTCACGCAAAAACTACTGAACGGATTTTGAAGGAATTTTACAGTAATAAAGCTTACACATGAGAATAACATAATTAATTTACTAGCTGTTCCAGCGGTTTCACTATGATATTTATAGCCTATATGTTATTCTTATATATAAGCTATATAACTGTAAAATTGCATCAAAATCCGTTCAGTAGTTTTTGCGTGAAAGAGTAACAAACATCCATCCATACTCACAAACTTTCGCATTTGTAATACTATTATTAAGATATAATGTAACATTAATTGTTATATCTTTTGTTTCAGATTTAGTACACTGCACAAATGAGCCGAACGTATCTATACCACAGCTCGCGAACTTGCTCGTCGAGCGCACGCAGAACACCAACTGGGTGGTAGTATACAAAGCACTGATCACAGTACACCATCTACTAGCATATGGCAATGAGGTGAGTTACTTTTTAAATGTACTATTTTTTTATTATGATCTCATCCGTCATACTCGTGAACGGGTGATGCTTGTGCGTGGTCTGTCGGGTTACAGCTACTGCTTACATTTTCCCTTTTCACAAACATACAATAACATACCTGTGGTCATTATGTTCTCACTAATTGAATTTCAAAATGAATCTACATTTTTGTAATCATGTACTACAAACTCGTTTGAAAAGAATAAGACCTGAGTTTCTTGTCAGTTCTTAGCTTGAAAGCACTCCGAACTGATGGTAGATTTAACATGTCTTTAAGAGTCTGTAATAAACCTATATGAATAAAGATATATTGATTTTATGGAGTTAATATAAGTCGTAATAATTCCAATTATAATGTGATCACAATATGTACAACAAAGAACATTTGTGATTACAATAATAAACATCAAATTGTTCCAGGCTCAGAAGTCTGGCCGAATTTTGGACAATGATTATTAGGCTATGGCCTAAAAGTAATAAAACTAGTGCACAATTAAATTAAAATACACATAATATAATCTCCAGAAATAGACTTCTTCTTAGTTTAGTTACTGTATTTAAAAAAAACACTAGTACACATACTATTATATTATTTATATTTATTGGTACTGCTCTGATTATATTTATGTTCACATTGTATTCCACACCTTTTTGATGATTCTTTTTATAATCACGAACGTGACAAATAAAATCAGTTTATTTGTGAAACAAACAGACGAAGCTTGTCAAATTTGTGTGTATACAGTACGTGTTTATTTGCATTACAATGACCGGACCATTCTCTAAATAAAGAACATCCGCTAAGTAATACCGAATACCCATTTTATTATTGACTATTATATCACAATTCACACCTAAAGCGAGAACAATATATAACCCTAAGGCCAACATTCGTTCATAAGCGGCTAAAATGTCCTACATGAATTAAATTATTTTAGAATTTTGAACAAGGTTAGACCTCGGCCTATATCATTGAATTGTTCTTAGGTACTAATTACACTATCAGTTGTATCAGATCATATGTAAAGAAATCTTCCTAATTTACCATGGCCCTAGGACTGCTAGCTCATGCATAACTCGTCACAATATAGATCATACATTCGTCCTGTAAAGGTAGACATTACTAAGAGTACCACCACTGATCTTATTATGTACATTTATATGTGACGCGACGTCCTCTTTAATGGCTTTTTCAAGTGTATCAACTAGTACTATAAAAAATTCAGACTGGGAATCAATCCTGAGAGATGTCGGATATTATCTGTATTCAATTAATATATTCAAATCCATTACAGCACTTGGATTTTACAGAGGCGAGTCACGGCTTACGCTCGTTAAACTATTTCCATGTACATGTTTTAGAACAGCGGCGCTCAAAGTTTTTGGGCAGGCGGTCTGTTTCGTAATAAATGAATACTTTACGAAGCTCTACTATAAAAAATAAATCAAACGATAATAAAACATAATAAATAACAATATATATTTAGCCACGACACCGACCTCTAATAAATGGGGTAAGGACGAAGCAGATGATGATGATGATGATGACGATGATGATGATGATGATGATATATTTAGAAAAATAGACATATTATATAACCTTTTCAAACTATAATTGGTATATTGTAACCCCACTAGCGAATAGGCTTCGGGTGGTGGTTTTATTTTCCTTCTGATGTTATTGCAACAAAACGCTAAAAGTATTTTGCTTTATATACGTATACTAGCTACTCACCCCGGCTTGGCATGAGTTTACATGTATTGTATATAAAACTTCCTCTTGAATCACTCTATCTATTTAAAAAAACGCTTCTAAATCCGTTGCGTGGTTTTAAAGATTTAAGCATACATAGGGGCCGACAGACAGCAACCGCGACTTTGTTTTATACTATGTAATGATGATACTATAAATCATTTTATAACTATATTTATACACGTGAGATTAAATTAGCTTCAATTTCATCGTTTTATTATAAAACACTATTGTAGACTGTTTCCTGCATAATTTATTTTTAGGCATTATATGATGAAATAAGAGACAATCCATAAATTTATATATTTTGTGTTATCATGTTTAAATTTATCTTTCGACTCATATCAACGGCCCATCCCAAAAACTTGCGGAGCACTTGATAGGCCTCCACGGGGCGTACTTTGAGAAGAACTGTTTCAGCATCTTGACCGTATATAAGTGTGAGTGACGTAATGGGACAAGCATATAATTCCAATCACATTGAACATGTTCTCTGTAGTGTCACATGACTCTAAGTTTATTAGGTATTGATTCACACAAAGTGTGTATGAATGATATATTGATGTGTCCTAAAATTACGCGATGCCCAATAGGAACACAGGGTTAATCGTAAATCATAAGTACCATAGTTACGATAGATCGTACACTTTTTATTTTATCGTGTGGAAAATTCTTCAAATGATCGTCGCCTTGATAGATCGTATACTAACCCAACCTTAATCGTAGGGCAAATTTTTTCATCATCGTCCTGTCCTATTCGCTTCATCATTTTGGCGTGATAACAAGATCATGTATATCATAAAGAAAGTATAATACTAGGCCCTGGGGAAGCAGACCTCAGTCCTAACAATGGAATTCCTGGCAAGGTAGGTTGGTCTGACAGGCCATTAGTCATTAGTCATGTGGGTCTTTTTGAAAAGTACTAACCGTTCATTTCTGGTGAAGACTTGGGTCTTTTTGAAAAGTATCGATCACAGTTAGTTAACTGACTGCCATTGCTATTACATAAGAAAATGTCGAAACATAAGGTTAATCTCTACGCGGTCACACATGGAAATTCCGTAGTAGTAAATTCTTGGTACATTCGCCATGATGCTAACTGGCCTCACTTTATTCTCATTCTATTAAATTCCACTGGTTTCACCCCGCCAGCGTATACCATGAATGGAACCAACTACACTATTCCGTCTAGTCTATTAAAATATTGTGTAAATTCAGAATTATTTAAATGTATTTCGTGTCTACAAAACTCTATATTTGTTTCGTCCTTTTCAAAGTCACTTGAAATTAATGTTTCAGACTTAATTCAATCGATCTCGTGACTGCGTTGATTATGTGAAAGTTTTAAATTAACTTCTTACTTCTACTTTGAAGTAAGCTCTTCAGGTTATAAATATTTATCACTAGTATCATAGATTTTATTTGATGGAATGGTGCACCCGCCTGCGCTAACGGTTAACGCTATCGGGGCACTAGTGGAGGATGATAAGATGAGCATGATGTCAGGTCAATTAGCCCATCGTGACAAATTCATCAGGAATCTATTACTATGGTTTCTACAGGTAACCGCACGCAAGTCAACCTGACATGGTATATTGCTAGCAATGGAGTCAATAGTCCACATTACTAGCAATTCCCTTCACCCCAGTGTCATAGGGTTGTGTGTGGGTGGTTCTGTCCATTGAGAAGGGCAAAATAGGTCGCCCCAAGAAACGTGTTGGGGTGCCCTAGTACTCCCATCTACAGGCCGGGCGGCTACGATCTAAATATGTTTTTTTTTTTTGTTATTCTGAAATCAATTTGATTTACACACATTCCTCGCTAATGGATAAGGGTGGTGAGAGATCTAATTTATGGGAGAGATAGTGTAAAATATCAACAGGCAGATAATGTAACGCCTTATGTCTTTCCATTCTAAAGGACTGAGGTGACATACCTTATTCTATATGTTCAGTGCCATATCTCACCAAAAACAAAACTTGGCGACAAATGTTAGATAACCCATATAGACTTTGACTTTGTACAAAGTCTTCCGCAGTAAATGTAATGTATTTTCAGACAGCGACCGGTTACAGTTTTATTAATGTGTATTGATGCGAATACCGGAAACTATGCGTGTCGCGATACCTAAAAATAATATTAATTAGGTAGCTCAAGGTCGAGCTGTGCCCGTTAATGTAACCGAACGGGGGAGGGGATTGTTAGTAATGTGACTCCATTACTAACAATGTACTCTGTCGACCGCCACGCGGTTCCCCCAGTAGCCATTGTGGTTGAAATCGGCATGATGTTCATTCTATCATCCTTCACTGGTGCCCCTCCTGCATATATTTTAGCGCAGGCGGGGCTGCTGCTACCATTCCATAATTATCAAAACCAATAGAAATATTGCTGATTGGATTATTATGGCTGAATATGGTAGATTCGCCTGCGCTAATGGTATACACTGGCGGGGCTGGCTGGCGGAGCCTGAAGTCAGGTCAATTAGCTTATCGTACTGAATTCACCAGGAATGTATCACAAAACCGATCGAGTGGTAACCCTGGAGGCAACGGTACGCCTCATAATAATACCGACGTTACTACGACAGTGTAACCACTTGTGTCAATAAAGCGACGTGGATATTGATGTCCTTCTTAATTTAATAAGAATGTTGCTCAAGAAGATGGCGGCCATTTTTTTATTTAAAGTAAAAGTAATGTAAATTAATATTCGATACATATTGTTCAGGGTTAGGTGGTAAAAGTAGAATAGTAATGAACTGGATCTCTTTTTAAGTAACAAACTAGAAATCTGGTAATATATTTTGTACTTGTCATACCGAAACGATCACGTGTCACCGCAAAATTTGAATGGATGGTTTCAAAAAAATTTTATATTTTTAACTTCCCTTGGGGAAATTTGTTCAGTGAATGCTTTGAAAAACCTTGTAGGGAACTTTAAAGGGCCTTATAAGCTAAAATATTCTCTCGTTACCTCTCATAGCTCGTAACTCGATTTAGTTCTAGCTATCACTGTCATTATATAGTGAATGAACTAAATTCTTTTCTTTTGTAGAAGTTTTAATAAATTAATAGATTTTCACATGTTTTCGTCATTATGCGCACTGCGCACCTTATTTTTGAATGACGAGATGTGATCTAATTTGATTAAAAAGAATATTCTCCACTGAAAACATTCGTTTAGTATATATTATCACAATGTTCGCGAAAATGATAATGATCGAACAGTTTGCCCGTGACCACGGCTAGCGCAACCTAAGACAGTGCAGACAAAGACAGGTGAATTATTTTCATTTAAATTCTGTTTTTCTAAATGTCTATGATGTATGTTTTTTTTTTTAATTTAAACACAACCTATGTCGCTCGATGATAATGTAGTATAAATTCTTTCTTATTTGATGTTGTTATGTACTAGATAAACTCGAAACGTACTTAACTGATTTAAAATAATATTAATACTACACCTTTAAAAACTACGGAATCACACGGTTTATATTAAATGAAAAAAAAGACCTTACATACATTCTTACGACAATAATTAATAATAATTGTAGCCATGCGAAAGCGGGGGTAGATCTTTCTAGTAAGTGATATTTATCGTAGTTAACTTAGCCTTTTTCTCTTTCTTTTAAATGGGATAGAATAGTATAAGAATAATAAATGAGAGACGTTCAATTCACTAGAAAACACATTTTATTCTATTTTGTTATTTTATGCACAATATGTAGGTATATCATATTATACAAAACTTATCGCAAGTTCGTAGGTATGTTCTTATGTTGTTCGTTCGTAATTTGTATTTTAAAGATAGTCTTTTTCTGTTTTTTTTTTCTATTGTATTAAATTTACAATGCTTCATAAAACAGGAAATATTATTATTGTTTTTGTTTTAACGACATATTTATCTAGTGCGTCCATCCAAGAACGTTTATATATTTTAATCTTTCGTATCGACTTTCCAAGTTTCAATGTAGGTACAGCTTAGTCTATTTATAAAAAGGCATGAAAAGGTTTCTTCATTATTGTGAATCCGTTCGCAATACTCGTGGGATGGTCCACGTCCATGTTTAGCATTATTTAGGCCACAAATTATGTATTTTATTTACGCAGTAAATATATCTGCTTATTGTATAGGGTTTACCAGGCTAACTTTTTTTTCGAACTATTCTAATGCTACTGGCCGCAGCTGGCCTTTACAGCTTCGCCGAACGATAGGGGAAGAGTACAGATGGTACTCCAAACCCGCGGAAGGACTTATGGAGCGGCTGAAAGCCAATTCTTGCCTGACGGATACGACTTTAGTCTGAGGGATCCCTACATACAAATTTTATGAAATTTCCATGTAAACAAATTCAAGTAGAGCAATTAGAAATATTAATTATCAAAATCTGTTTAAATCGTAGTCTCGAATATGATCGCTCTTGACTCAAGGCTTTGTTAAATTAACATATACAATACGAAATATCAATAAAAATTGCTCTAAAAGGACAATTACATTATTACAACTAAAATGTTAATGAAACAAGTTTATTGCTTTATATATTACTCAATAAGTTTCTATTTTTATAGTAACTAGTGGTCGCCCAATGGTTCAATTTCGACCATAATTAATTTAACATTCAGTAAGACTGTAGACAAATAATATAAAAAACAAACAATGTTAATCTATTCTCAATTTGACCACAGACTTTACAGTAAACAAATGAGTATATATGTGTGTGTGTCAAATATATGGTTTTATTGGTTTAATGTATTTTTTTTTTATTATTTAAAAAAACATAACATTCTGCACTCCTCCATATAAACTATAAGTGTGCAAAATTTCTTTCTCCTCCGTAAATTTCTGTAGATTTACTAATATACGTATGTTTCTTTCTGTTTCAGAGATTTACACAATACCTCGCGTCGAGTAATTCTACGTTTCAACTAAGTAACTTCTTAGATAAAAGTGGAGTACAAGGTATGTTAATAAATTTTCTATTTTTAAATAAATTTATATACTGTAAATTAAATATGATATTGATTTCAATAATGAAACGATGTTCTAATAAGTTAATAATTTCGTAAGACTAAAATTTTAATTGGATATATATTAGACAGACCGTTATGAGGTCTAGAGTAAACAGAATTTATAGTATGAATAGTATACAATATATTTAAAATATATATATAGCAATAACTAATAAAATAAAGTATTTTTTAACATTAGTACAAAATATGGTCCGAGTATACAGTGTGTTTCTTATTATATTCTTAATTTTTAGGACATACATAAACTATGTATGTTCTATAACTTTCGATAACATACGAGTTTAAATCTATCTTATATAATTTAGATAATGTTGGTCTAGTCAAAAATATTTTCAGTTTCAAATTAAAATTTTGTTTTTTATATAAGTTTAAGCTACCTATGTCACTTCAATATAGACCCTACAGTATACAATTAAAGGTTCTTAAAAGATTTTCTCTCATACCTACATGTTGGCACCTTGAATTCGCATTTAATCCCATTTTCAGTTCGTCCCCTGCATAAATTAAGGTGGACGTTTTACAGGATTTAATAATATAATGTTGTATATACAAGTTATAACAACAGAAACCATTTTAAACTCTATGCTTATAATGAATAAATAATATATTGAATCGTATATAATAAAAAAAAATGGAATTTGTGCTGAGAGACATAGTAGAAGTGTACGTTGAAGGTCTGCCGTTGCCGTCCTCTCTCCGCCGCCATTAGCCATGCGCTTTCTCTCACAATATATCATCTCGCGATATATCATCTACCCCCTCCAAGCGACGGTAACGCTTTTTCGTAACCGAAATACCCTACATACACCCCGCTTATATAGAAGATTCACTTCAAATAAATACAAATTATGTTTGGTAGCATGTTATTTATATTATTACCTACACTTATTATTACCACAATGATGCATTGCAGCGATGATAAGACGGTATTCGATTTTTTTAATGTTTATAAAACTTGTAAGCACAAAGAACGTAAATATTATACTGGTAAATGTATTTATAAAAACACGGATATTAGGAAGAGAAAGTATAATTAACGTATCGAAAGTCAGGGAGATAAAATAAGAAGTGACAATATACAATGGTTTTTCTATATAAAATAATAAACAATAAAAATATATATATAAATGTGCATCGTGCACAATTCTTTATAGCACTAACGTTAGAAATAGAGTGAAAAATAAAACAAAAATTGAATAAAGAAGCAGGTACAGGCGGTACAAGGCGGTCTTATCCCTATCGCAATCTCTTAGAGATAACCTTTGGTAAGAAGGTTTACTAAAAATAAAAGTAGGCGGCACCTTAATATGAATAAAAGTTAGTGGTAACCATGGTAACGTGGCAGGGACGCGTTGTACAACATCGAATGCAAGCCTACATTGTTCAAGGCCAGAAAATTTACGTCATTCTGCAAACAGGCGATATCTAAATTCATGTTATGTATTGTAAAGATCTAAATTCATGTTATGTATTGTAAAGAATTGATTTATTGTTTAGTAATGGGAAATCCATAAGACATCTTAAAATTTATTACATCTGTAAAAATTTTAAATTAGAGATACCTAGAATAATTAAAATCGTGCTAATCCCCATTGTTCCATAGTAAAACTGTTATTAATGTGGACTGATGATCTTGATTGCTAGCAATGTACCTTGTTAGGTTTACCTCCACGCGGTTCCTTCTGGAAACCGTCGTGATAAATTCCTGGTGAATTCCGCATTGTATCACCTTCGACTGGTGCCCCGCTAGCGTAACCCGTTAACGCAGGCGGGTGAACCATTCCATTATTATCCAAAAAACTAGTGCGAAGCCGAGAGCAATAACTAGTTGCCAAATAAACTTGGCGCCTATTCCAGTACAGAATCATAATACTTCATTCGGCATGTGTCGTATACTTTATTGACCAATGACCTCCGGGTCAATGACTCGTCTCGACCTCGTCCTGTGATTTTTTGCTATCATTTATTATCTCTTTAATAAAGTTTGTTTTCCTTTAACTGTGATAATGTTACGTAGGAGATTTACAAAACAAATAACAGTATTAGTAGAGAAAAAAAATTATTTTATGCGGGAACTGAAGTCGGAACTGTCGGAAAGTATAGCAGTGTCTAAACCGGGTAGACTATGGAGGTTGTAAAGTAGAATAAGTTAGTCGACTTTTTTACGAGTATCGTATCCTAATATTTGTTCTTCCGCTGTATGAAATCGCTGCAGAATACTAGGAATAACAAATGTAATATTATATATTCAAGGAAAAAGTGAAAAAAAAAATAAACAAAATATATATTTCCTTATTTACAACCACATTTGTAGTTTTTGAGACAACAAGGAGGTAAAGTCCAATATTTTCTATCATATGGACCTATTGGGCGGTTTTTTTATAATTGATTAAATAATAATTATTCCCAGGATTTACAATGCGACATTTATAACTCAGTAAACAGCAGTGAAGCTAGTCAACGATAAAGTAATTTTTTTTTTGTAATAGCATACAAAATATACATAAAAAAACTAAACCATTTTTTATACTACGAAGATGGCAAACAGCATACATACTATCTGAAGGTAAAACGGTTAACGTAGCCTATGGACTCCTGGAACACCTGGGGTGTCAACTGCGCATTGCCGACCCAATACAAGCAATAATTCTTACTTATATTTGTATAATGTGTAATGAGATGTTTTGTCGTATAAGAATCGAACCCATAACGATCCGAAGTAAACCGTTAGACCACCGAAAGCCTCTTAGTCATGTAACATATTCAATACTGTTATTGTAATACGTGGAAAGTAAAGTGCATACAAGCAACTTCGCAAGCACGGAGACTAGTATTATTTATTTTGTTTCTTGCTCGTTCTTCTGGTGATGAGACACCTTTCCGAATGATCGGTAGATTAAAAAAAATGTGATGACTATTCAAAAGTGCTTTAATATAAGTTTATTTGAATAAATGATTTTCTATTCTATTGTACCTATTTCCACCACTCCACAATTCCTATCAGTAACTCAAAGGTTGACTGAAAATAATCTCTCTCGGGATAAGTCCGCTATTGCATATTCTTTAAGTGGACTGTGTCCTTTTATTTATAATTTTATTGTACAATAAATTAATACAAACAAACTAGTTTCAAAATATATTCAAGTTTCCAACACTCGCAGTAAATAAAGCCATAACAAAACAATATTATGCATATCGTATGCAACTGATCAACATAATATGACACTGACCTGTTTACACCTTCATATGCGATTAATATAGATTACTAACTTATACCGGCGGCTTCATTCGCTTTAATGCTGATTTTATCAAATCGGTATTTTATATTTTGACGGCTTCGGTGGTCACCGCCTTACTTCCGATGTTCGATTCCTCGCACAGCACAAACATTTGTATTCATGAGTATTGGTGTATTCTGGTACCCATAACACAAGCTTTAGCTAGCTTAACTTGGGTCTAGTTTGCACTGTGAGAATTGTTCTGAGATTATTTATTCATTTACTAAGGAGTTTTATTTGAAATGATAATGGAATAATGCCTACACTAATTGTTTACGCTGGCGGGATAGCAGTGGAGGATGATAACGTGAACATGAGGTTAGGTCTGTTAGCCTATCTGGAGAAATACACCAGAAATTTATCATGATGGCTTTCAAGGGAACTGCGTCTTCTTCTTTCTAACAATCCCCCTTTCTCCTCCGCCAAACCCCCTAATAAGGGTTTGGCGCTTAGACCTGTAGCACTGCGACAGGCAAAGTTTTCAGTGTAAGTACCTTTTTCAGTGTTCGCTATCTAAACCTACTAAGGATATTCTTAGGAGCGATAGTTTTTATATTTTTAATTTTGTACCAAAACAATCTGGAAGGAGGTTTAATAGCTGCTAGTACTATGTATTTGTTTTTACGTCCTCAGTAATGAGTGTGTACTTTCCAACGGCATTTACAAAAATTACAAGTCTATTTTTTCATACTACGGGTACTGCTTACCCTCAAGTGTTCGTCGGCTTTAACATATTTAAACTCCGTCATCGCACAAGGATTACCTAATTGATTTTAATATATTTCAACGTGTTAATGAACGCAATAGTTTAAGTAAATAACCGTGTTTGCGTTGATCTTAGTATGGAAAATACAAAATTTCTCAAATATTGACACTAAAAATTCATACACAGATTATGCAAACGGAACTTACGGAGATACAGTTTTTAATAGTCTGAACGTTAAAATGTATAGAATAGAATAGAAAATCCTTTATTCAAATAAAGCACTTTTAAATAGTGATATTTATTGTTTTTTTAATCTATCGCCCATTCGGATTCTCATTACGAGAAGCTCCCTTCCTGGGAATGTTATAATGTGGACTAATGACCCCATTACTAGCAATCTACAGTCAGGTTGACCTCCACGCGTGTCATGGAATTCATTGTGATAGGTTCCTAGTGAATTTGCCACGATGGTCGAACTGACTTGACCTCATACTCATCTTATCATCCTCCACTGCTGTCTAATAAGCGTAAACCTTTAGCGCAAGCGGTTGCGGCAATCCATTATCATCCATTAAAAACATTTGTATGGATTGCTCGTTTAAAGTATTAGAGTAGGTATTAGATGAGTGGAGTATTAATATTTTGTATAATTTATTCAATAACAATGTTGTCCAGTCGCTTATCAGTAGATAGATATGAATGAGGCGTGGCGGATGATATAACCAGACATTTTATGTTTCATGTGAATGAATCGCAAATGGCTTTGATAACCTTGTACATTGACGGGGGTAGTCGTTATCTGTTCGGATTATACATAAATCTGTATAGGTTAGCTTTGAAAGTGTTTTATTTGCTTTTAGTTTTGTAGAAATAATAATTACAGGACGTCTAGCGGTTTACCACAGCGCTTTAATTCTGAACATGGTGGATTCGTTTCCTCGCACGCACAAATATTTGTATTCATGAGTATGATTGTTTGTATCGGTCTGGGTGTTTTCTATGTATAGTATGTTTGTATTGACAAAAAATTGTATCTAACTATTTATATCATTCATCTTAAGTATTCACATAATATAATTATGGATTTTTCATTGATCGTAAGCTACTCGTATATAGAACAGGAAAACTCTAAGACCTTCCGTTATCAGTTCATTAGTCATTACAATTACTTGTAATTACTGTATCGTATAAAAATCTTTTCTTTACATAGTATTAACATAGTCGTCGACGCTGTCTGTTCGCTTATATCTAAATATATATAACTCAAAGGTGACTGACGTAGTGATCTATCAACGCACAACCCAAACCACTGGACGGATTGGGCTGAAATTTGGTATGCAGGTAGATGTTATAACGTAGGCATCCGTTAAGAAAGGATTTTGATTAATTCTACCCCCAAAGGCAAAGCAAAAGCTAGTCTTTCTATATTATGCAACAGTTTGTGATGCAGTTTTCAGCAATAGATAGTGATTCAAGAGGAATATTTATATGTATAATACATGCGTGATGTGGTATAGAACAAGCCAAGAAATTAAAAGATTTTTAATGCATCTGTGCGAAGCCGGGACGAGTTCGCTAGTTTTAAATAATACGGAAACTTAGCTGCTTCTATATTTCTAAGAAGTGGTGACGGTGCAGTTTCGAAAGTACTTGTATGAGTTTGCTAGCCACTTGCTAGACAAATTATACTCACAAAATATGATGGTCATACGTGTCTATGCTTCTATCGTACTTGAAGTGTACAAATTTTTTTCTCTCTCAGTTTCTCGGGAAACTAGCTGTCGCTCGTGGCTTCTTAATATCTTTATTGACCAGATAAATATATATGTTATATAAATACATAATATAGGTACTTAAATAGATTATGGTATATCTAAATTAATAAAAAAATACTTGTGTGTGCCTAATTTTAGGACAATTGATTAATGCGTTAATATAAAGGACAAATATACAAATATTTCTAATAGAAGATAAAAAGTACGATCATATAAATGATTTTTTATAATAACAACAATAAACCCTGGTTTATTGTTGTTATTATAAAAAATCATCTAACGTCGTGGGAATTGTCAGGACAATTCCGTTATAGACGTTAGTCACATGCTAAGCCGGTACATTAAATACTAAAGTACTTAAATACATTTTTTTTATAATCATGTGCACAGAAAACACCCAGACTGATACAATCATACTCATGAATATAAATGTTTGCATCGTGCGAGGAATCGAACCCGCAATTCGTAATCATCCGTACCGACCAGCCGTAATCAATAGGCACGTTAAATTACTAAACAAGTTCTTTAATATAAAAGCATTCCCATTAACTCGACAGTACTTCGTAGTGTATGCTCTTACGTTAATAAACTTGACGTCTGTGAATATGACGAGAATGTAGAGCCATGTCTAGACTAGACCAAGTATAGTGCGTCACAGTTAGGCTAGCCAACTTTATTAATGATTTTCTCAGGACAAAAAATCGGGACAGGCAAAGAAATAATAATTCTACAAGAATAGTTTTGTAATTTTTTTGACGTTATTGACCTGTATGCCGGGTAAACTACTTGCCTACTCAGAAAATTCTTACCAACTGGTCATTTATTTTATTAATTTTACATATTAGTACAATATAGTTGTTATTAATTGAAGCCCGCACTTAGCGAACCTATGTCGCGGAAGTCCACAAAAGAATTACCAAACGATATTAACTGTTACAGATTAGTGAGATAGATTACAAAACATTAAACTCATTTAATTATAAATTATATATGAACAATTAAGTTTACACATTTACTTTAGAATACCAAGACATAGGCCATAGTCACATAATAAGTGTCGCGATGAGAACGCAACTAGCAACGAAGTAACGAAAATACCATTTATAAATATATATACGTGAACAATTAGCATCTCATTAGATTAGACTCTTACGCGGGACACGGGACAGCGCTCAGAAATCGGGACATCCCTATTAAATTGGAACAGTTGGTAACCCTAATCATAGACATGTGTCTAAATTAAAACGCGGTAATACATTACTGACGCCATGCAAGCAATAATGATTAATTTAACACATTCTTAATTGATAAAGAACGTGGACTTAAAAAAATAGAATTGAAAGAGGCATAGGCGGATTTAGATTCAGCAAGCGAATCCAAATGTTTATAGGTTTTTATAGGCACTTCTCTATTTGTCTAGGTTGTTTGCAAATACAATTTAGTCAGTTAAAATGATTTTCCTTTAAATAATCTAGTTTTAGTATTTTTAACAATATATTAAACCTACCTGTTTACCTGTGTACCTATTCCTTTTAGCTCTGGTTCTATGCTATCTTTTATGATTATTTTTTTACTTTTCGATGGACGGGAAAGTGAGTTTTCAGTAATGGATGACAAGTGCTCCCATTTCTTAGTATTTGGAAATAATTTTAGTTTAATCCTACCTGATTCCTTTTAGCTCTAGTTTTATTCCAACTTTTCTTGTCTAGTTGTTCTATCTTTTATTAGTATATTTTTACTATTCGAAGGACGGGGAAGTGGTTTTTCGGTGATCGTTGCTCCCATTTCTAACTATGTAGGGTATTTTATAAACTGGGTCCTTTCCCTCCCCTAGAAACCACCGTGGTTAATTTATGGTCAGTTCGCCACTATGATCTGACTTCATGCTTATCCTATAATCTTCTGACTGATCTCTCGCCATGCAAGTGTGTACCAATCGTGCAGGGCAGTGCACCATGATATTAAATTATTGAAAAACTATCTAGTGAAAAGTGACGGCAAGAAATAACACTGCTTTAAGTAAAAAAATGCAAAATGAACTTTATTCTTTTACATTTGAAGTCGATTTCATATTTTTGTTAGCGTAGTGTATTATTATAGCCTGCTATATACATCAGTTTATATTATATTATCTTTTAGCCTAATAAGAATGAACAGGTAAAAATACACCGAAATGGACTTTTATCTATATTTATCAAATTTAGTTTATTCATTACCTATGTTATCTAAATTGATATGTACATAAGTTTTGAAATTATTTCGACGTTTATTGTAGACTAGCGACCCATCGTTCGCACGGATGCCTTACAAATATTTGAATTTCTCGAGTTGTTCTATACTATAACACGCATGTATTATACATATAAACCGTCCTCATGAGTCACTCTATCTATTGCTCAAAACTGCATCAAAATCCGTTGCGTAAACAGGATATAAGCGAAATGACAGCGGCGGCGACTTTGTTGTTTAAAATGTAATGATAAATAGAAAATTATAGATAACATAATATTCTAATGTCGATGTTAATAGGAAACTGCCAAGTAAGTATAAGAGCAGTTTGTTGTTTTTCATTAGACGTAATCAATAAAGTACGTGACATGTTCAGGGGAGAGGCTTGACGGAGTGTGACCTAGTATGACAAAGAGTGGCAGAGTCATAAGTTAAATATATACGCGAGATTTTCTTAATCAAAGCTTGTCGTTGGGAATATATTAAACTAGTATTTCCCAACGTGGGGTAGTACGCCCCACATGGAGACAATTTAATTGTTAAGGGGGCCAATGGGGCAATTCGAAAATTGACTCTTTATTATAATTATATGGAATGTGAATTTAAATTATTTAATTTTATTATTAGAGATTTTCCATCGGGGCATAAGAATGGCACTAAAAAGGTTGGGTATTGGAGATATGACACTACACTAAAGAAGTTATGTTTGTGCTGTTCATGTATATAGAGCAAATCAAAAATCATTATCATTTCCATTGTATACTTATGTAGGTGTCTATGTCTAACATTAATTGAAAATCCCGTGCATGAACAACTATTGCCATGCACCTTTGTCATTCAAGTAATCGTATAGTGGGTAGACTTTGTTTGCCATACTAGTTATATAAAAAAATCAGCCCGAAGGAAAAAATATTCAATACTGTAACGGTTTTTAGAACCTACCTACTGTATTAGGTCTTTTAGTGGTTATGTTACCTACCCTTATAAAGTTATCAAATTCCCTTATTTGTTAATATTATTGTTTATATTAATGTTATTGTTAGTCTAATTATAAGTTTATAAAAAATTTAAGTAAATAGCATTAGTGGATTACACATTGAACTGAGTCATGAGCTTAAAAATATCTTAAGCTCTTCTGACACAGCATGCACTATGCCAGTGATTTTTAACCTTTTTGAATACGCGACCCCAAACTTCAGAATTTCTGGCGACCAACTAAGGGCCTATGATGAAACTGCGGCCTAAGTTAGTGATTTAAAGGCTATCCCTATTGGGGTCGCGACCCACAGGTTGAGAAACACTGCACTATGCTAACTGTCTAACTGAATTTTTCTATTTTCTCTCGCTTACGGAAGGCGCTGCCGGTGCCCGAATTGGTGAGTTAAAAATACAAAATGGCGGCTTTTGTGATTGTCCGTCTTTGTAGTGTAGCTACAATAGCGACACGCTTGGCTCTGGGTGCTATATTTTTTCATAATCATCAAAATTAAAAAAAAAGTATTGTTTTTTTTTTGTTTGTTTAATGGTGTACTAAATATATATATTGAGATGTTTTACAGTTTTCGTTTTTGTTTAATTAATAGATTTTTTATAGTAATATTCTGTATTTTACCAAAGGTTAAATACCGGGCTATAAAATATAGTTACGAACTCAATTTAGTTTTTAATTTTTTCAGTAACCATTCTATTGTTTTGTAGGCATGTATGTGCTTGCAATGTCGTTCTTTGGTTACGGTATTAGCCGAAAACACGATACAGACGAACTGGGTTAGATAAAAATATCTTTGTTACGAATTTTATATCAGTATTTTAATAGAAATCAGTTCACCAGTAATTATTTATCTGCACTGTTCCGCATACACAACGGCATCTACAAAATTGAAATTTGAAGCAGATTAGCAGAAACAACTGAAAAAAGTTGCTAACTGTAAGTGGTGTATTGGGCAACACAAACCTATTGTCAAAAAGATAAACTAAAGAAATATAAAAATTTTGACAAAAATGATGAATCTTACATCTAATAATATCAAAATTTTGGTTTTTGCTGTTGTGTTTGTGGAGTGGTATTTTATTTTAAATGTTTAAATTAAATAATAGTTAATTTATCTTTAAAACATTAGACATCATGTAAACTTTGTGTATTTTGTAAAATGATCAAAGAAGGTTATAATATATTTACGCCCGCTTATGTGTATTTATCTCGTTCTGTTGCACCATACAAGTTTTCATACATTTTCATTGCTCAATTTATAGTAGAACCATGCCTTCTGTAGAACTATAAGGCAGATGCTGGACTAAGGCCAACTGCACCATATAATGTTATGGCTAGATTTCTCGACTTGGCTCGGTTACAATGAAAACTAAGGAAGTTACCATTCTGTTGGCTGATATGCTATATTCAGTCATAAGTAATATGATTATAAATTTTATAATTTATTAATTAAAATTAGTAACAGAAATTAAAGAGTACAAGTTTGAACATGATAAAGAACGTAATAAATATATTCTTATTCTAATTTTTATTCAGAAATTATACAAAATACTTAATAGTATATCTATAATTCTTAATATAACATATTTAAAATAATTTTCTTTCAATTAATTTATTAAATAAATAAACTTATTTGCAATAATCTATCAATTATAGTAACTATCCCTTCCAGTTAAGTCAGGCTGATTTAAATATCATATTTGCGTGTATATACCTGTTACATGATCTGTATGTTTGTTTTCTATGTAATATAAAAAAAAACTGGCAATTAACAAAACATTAATTGATTTTTAATTGTAATCAATAGAGCAATGAAAATGATAGTACAATACATTAACGTTGGTTTAATTCTCGCACCTGATTGATTAGCACTTAAACCTCGTTTATCATGTTGCATTAGTTTGCACTCGTATTGTAAACATGCACTCTGTAATGCATTGCACGTTTAATATGTTTGTTTGTTGCACGTTTGCACTATGCATTATTATTAAGTTCATTTAGGCTGGCTGCATATGTATTATAATAAATATGTTCATAATTAAAAAAAAATCTCAACCACGATCATCTGTGTTAGAGTGAAATGGAAGTTTCAATCAGGCATGTAACTGCCGTTTGTGTGACAGGGATGTAAATACTCCATGTTACAAGCAGCACGTATCGCACTAGTACAATACTGGACTAACTCCGTAATTTCAGTTTTTGAAATTAGACTTTAATGCTAAAGCTTTAGAGTGTATTTTCCAAAGATTGTAATTTTTCAGTTATTTCAGTAGTGTACTAGGTCTGCGATATGCGTGTTTGATTCAAACAACTTGACAGTTTACAGGCTTCTTAAGAGTTAATGATACCTAGTAGCTATATAACACGTATTGGCTTAGAATTTTTCTAACAATTGAATATGCAGCTGGCCTATAAATTGGACTAGTTTATAATGTGAAGTCGTACTAAAGGGGGCATATACCAAAAATAATATTACTAGATTCTTGTATTACCTGTCAAATTTCAAAGGAAACACTGTTAATATGTAAAGCTTCGTTAACGAATTAAAACTACAATCCTACAATGTGGTTTTAATAATACCAAAACATTCATAAATTTTCGAATTTGAATTGAAATTCTCTTGAGTTTCAAAAGGGATAAGCGTATTTTTCTTGTGATAAATTATGACTTATGTCTGTAAAGACAAATTTATCTTAGAATTAATACAAGGCAACATTAAAAAAAAAAAGAAAAAAAATTGCTTGTGTTTGAAATTTGACAGATAACGCAGACTGCATTTTTATGAAATTGAAAAGAGTCTGTAAAATCATTATGAATGTACTTACTTTTTTATTTCATAAAAAATGGGGAAGATAGAGATAAAATATTGATATCTCTCTCTCAGAAATATTCAAAGTCGCAAAAGATCAATGCACATTTTCTCAAATTATGGGTCTCATTAAATTCTCATCGGGTATACCATTAATTGTATGAACCATGGAAAATAAAGTCTTTACGTTGACATATTGTTAGAGTAAAATTTATATTGCAAGATAATATATATAAATAACATGAAAAAATATAACAATCCGTAAAAATCACGGGATCTTAACTACGTTTTATTTTTATTGATCGCCATGATGACGCGGTCATTAGTAGACCTGGTCAAATTTAAAACAGTGTATAATCTAACGATGTGTCAAATTAAGTAACACTATGTGGTCCATGGTTTGTTTTTTAATAGATTGCAGACTTATATAATGAACTATGTCCAGGCTATGACATGTCACCGTTCATCAGGCGTTATGCCAAGTACCTCAATGAGAAGGCGCTCTCATACAGAACCGTCGCCTTCGACTTCTGCAAAGTCAAAAGGGGGTAAGATTTATTTTGTATCTATAATGCTGCATACTGCCTCGGTGATCTCGCGGTTTGGTTGTTAACTAGACCACGCACGGGTTCGATTCCTCGTATAATACAAACATTTGTATTATTGAGTATGACTTTGTATCAGTCTGAGTGTTTCCTATGTACATAATATGTATGTATTTATAAAAAATATTAAGTTTTTATTTCAATCTGTTGATTGTATGATGTAGAATCAATGACAGAAATGATTATGAACGTAATTAGTGTATATTACTGTTATTTCGAGGTTTGTTCTGAAATTACAATCAATATCCTGCAAAACTCCTGTAGGGGTTTGACTGCAGGCACGTAGCTCTCTCATATTCACTAAGTACATATGTAATTTTGAAAGTATTTTAAAGCACACACAAAATAATTAAAATATATTAAATAATACAGTTTATGTTTTGTGTACGCAGGAAAGAGGAGGGTTCCCTACGCATGATGAACGCAGAGAAACTGCTCAAAACGCTGCCAGTACTGCAGGCGCAGTTGGACGGGCTGCTGGAGTTTGACTGCACGGCCAATGATCTCACCAATGGAGTTATCAGCATGTGCTTCATGTTGCTGTTCAGAGATCTTATCAGGTGTGTAAATAATCTGGGGATATTGGGAATGATTGATAATAGAATGGTGCACTTGCCTGCGGTAATATAGAGATAGAATGAGCATGCAGTCATGTCAGTCCATCGAGGCAAATCACCAGGAATTGGGTGGTTACTAGGAGAGCCGGTAGACCTGACCTGGCCGGTCCATTGCTAACAATGGAGTTATTAGACAGTGTTACTAACAATCACTTTCCCCCTGGGAGTGGGAGTCTTGGATTTAGATGCTTAGGATACTATATATTGTAGGTCTCAATGGTCTAGTGCTATTGTACACAGATTTACTACCGATGATCTCGGATTCGATTTCTTGCACGGTGCAAACATTTGTATTCATGAGTATGATTGTTCGTATCAGTAATATACACCCAATATTATGTACGTATTTAAAAACAATGTATGTATATTGTATCAGTTGTCTTGAACCCATAACCCAAATTCAGCTAACTTGATACTAGAGGGTATATTAATATAAAATTGAAAAAAAAGAAAAGTTTATTAGGAAGTTAATTTCATATTATTATAATATATATCATATAAGTAAGAGTTGTTTAAATTTATATATTTAAACAATTCTTAGTTGCTATTACTTGATCGATTCTTTACTTGTTGTACCGATTAAAATATAGTGTATGTATTTTTTTAAAGTAATCTTATAAAAACATGATACTATGTTTATTATATTATTTATTTATGATTACTATTTGTAGATTGTTCGCATGCTACAACGATGGCATCATAAACTTACTAGAGAAGTACTTCGATATGAACAAGAAGAATGCCCGTGAGGCTCTAGACCTCTATAAGAAATTCCTTATCAGGATGGATAGGGTCGGAGAGTTCTTGAAGGTATTGTATATTAACTTGAATTATTAGTGTGTGAGATGTGTTTCGGTTGTAGGTTACCATTTACCATCAAATGGGCTATCAGCTTATTTGCAGTTCCAATTTCATATACATAAAAAGGGCAGGATATTGGTCACAGTTTTATGTATCTAGGTTTATTTATTTATTTTAACTTTATTGAAGCAGTGTAGAGGCGATTTAGTATAAAATTTAATTAGATAAATATAATACATATCATCATACCGTTGACTCGTCTAAAACGATATATATAGTTATATACATATATATTTGTATAGTACATACTAAATACTATACCCTCCAAATTTACAGGTAGCAGAGAACGTGGGTATAGATAAGGGCGACATTCCTGATCTCACCAAAGCACCAAGCAGTCTTCTGGATGCTTTAGAAGGACACCTCGCTGCTCTCGAGGGCAAGAAGGGCTCAGCCGCTAACACGCCCACACAAACCGCCAGGTATAAATCTCTGAATAACTTGAAATATAAAAAATATTAACTGAAACAGTTTGGAATTTTATATACCTGAAAAGAATGGGCAAGAAACTCTTTTGAAACTCATACTTAGGCTCTATGGAAAGAGATGTGTTATTTTGAAATTGTTTTCCTAAAATGTTTAGAACCAAATGAGCTTTATGAGGCTTGACACCAGGAAATTGGCTGATCGTAAAATAGAAATCGATTAATTGGTCGTCCAGCGGTCAAAATTCGACCATAATCAATCTAAATTATAAGTTTGAACATTACATAACACATATTGCTTGAAGCTTCATTTTGCTTTAAACTTTTCAACAATTTTATATATTTCAAAATATATCTTTCTTCCAGTGCTCAGAAGAACGTAGCAAGCGTGATGGGTGCCCTATCGTCCACCTCATCATCATTCGGCAATGCAGCCGCCTCCACACGGCTCGATAACCAGCCCAATGGTGCTTCACCTCTGTTCATTGATGATACTCTGAAGCAGCAAGCCTTGGCTGAAGAGGAAGCAGCCATGAACCAATATAAGGTATGAATTACCTGGATGATTGTATCAAAATAAAATAAATCATGATAATATCAATATAATATCTATGATAAATCATAACAGTATCTTTATATTTATATCAGTGATCTAGTATCCATAATACAAGCTCTGCTTACCGTAGGATTAGATGGCGCTGTGTTAATTGTCCAAGGTTATCTATTTATAATAGGCGTAATATCTTAGTCCTATAGAATGGCGAAGCATAAGTAAAATATCACATGATAACGTGATGCCCACAGAGCTGTTCTACTATATAGGAGATGGTTACCGCTAACGATCAGATCAATCGTCAGCTTATTTGCCATTCCAGTCACAAAAATAAATATATTAAATTGTATGATTGTTTACATAGTATAAAATAAACTTGCCGACGCTCTTTGATTAGTTATATCTTTTAAATTATGCATTAGGATTTTAATGCAGTTTTGCAACAACAGATAGAGTGATTCAAGAGGAAGGTTTACATGTATAACACATCGAGATAGTATTATAGAAAATGTTTTACAGGCTTATGTGTTACAAGGAGAAATATCGGCCAGCGAGGAAGAACTGTCTATTATCTTAGTAAGAAACAGTAATGGGGAAGGCTTTGTGTTTGTTAAACATTCGCCAATATATGTTGTTTCGTAATAAAACTATTCACCAAATATTAATACTAAATATCAATATGACACATTGGCATATTGATATATGACACATTGTCTTCAACAATGGCAATTAATATTGGCGTCACATGATAACGTGGTGTACAAGGTGCTATTCATGTATGTTTGTAAGAGCTAAACACAAGTTACTTGCTCATTCTTCTGGTGATGAGACCGCTTTCCGAATGAGCGATTTAAAACTTTGTGGTGACTATTCAACATTGCTTAAATTAAATTAATTTCAATAAAGGGTTATGTATTCTGTGACGGTCAACATCAAGTTGGCCGCCAACTTGAATGCCATACCTATTATGTAAATAAAAATATTTGCCTTTCACAGTAACAAGTTAGGGCCCTGCACTATCAAACATTTGGGTATATGAGTATCATATTCGTGTTTGTATTTAGGTGTTTTTCTATTTATATTGTCTCTAAATAAATGTGATTAAATGTGTTCAGTACCCATAGTACGAACTCTACTCATTTTGGGACTGAATGGTGTTATTTTTTATTTATTTAAATTTATTATAAAATATTTAAGTCTGTCGCCATTAATACATTGATTTTCAATAGCAATTAGACATTTTTCAATTACTTTTACTTCATATATATAAGTTACATATTTGTATGTATAAAAATATATAATACAAAACAAAATTATATTTTTAACTATGATTGTTTACTAAATATGTTACTTATCGTAACATAAAAACATCGCTCCTAAGAATATTCTTCAGTACTTTTCTCTGAAGGGATTAGGTAGCGAACTTTGAAAAAAGGGCGTGTACAATAGATCTATGTAGGTCGCAGTGTCAGGTCAGGTCTAAAGCTCCTGACAATAGCCAAATAAACAAACATACTTATTGAAAAATAAAATATAGCTATAATTTATTTAGTAATATATGAAGTAGTATATTTATTTACCAAATAAACTTGTGTGACTCATTAATACTGACTCACGCTATGTTACTAGTGTTTTTAACATTCTATTATAAATTATGGTGAATATTTATGTATTTTTTCTTCACCTTAGCCTTGCTTTTGTTTCATTATTTGTGTTGTTTAAATATCCACATAAATAGCCACATACGTCGGAACCAAGTGTCGTCTAAGACAAGAATTTAAGTTCAGAATTTGAGATTTTTTTTTATTTTTCTTTAAACAGTTTTTCTCTGTCTCGTCTTTTTGGGCACCTGCAATGGAGTTCTATAAGAAGTGTATAATAGCCGTCACGTGATAATGTGATGGGTGCTGTTCATGTATATGGGTGACGATTACCACTTACCATCAGATGAACCGTTAGTTTAATTAGAAAACAAACTAAAGGTCCGCCTGAAAATAATAAAAATAATTTGTACATTGTATAAATGAGATCGCAATGTTTCCGGAAATCTTATATTATAAATATTTCCTAAATAAATTAATTAATCATGTCGTGGTATTCTAACGTAATATGTTTAAAAATAATTAAATATCCTTCAATGTCAGCGTCACGCGATTGTATGACGTAAGCTATATGTGGTTTTGGCTCTATTTTCATTGTTTTCAGAAAGTTCATCATGCTTACATCGGTGATGGTATCAAAATAAGAACTTGCAATCGAATAAAAATAAATCTTAACGTTTACAGAATAAGGTGCAATCCCCAACAAGCGCAGCAGCCAACAATCCGTTCCTGTCTGCCGCGCCAGCAGTCAACCAAACTCAGTCTATTGTAGACCTGTTTGGTCCAACTCCTTCAGATACAGCCAGCCAGACAAGCAAGGCCTCCGATGATCTCCTCTCGCTAGGAAACCCCTTCGCAGATATGTTTGGAGGTAAGTTCAATATATTTTGGTTTTGGAAAGTATATATTGATCTAGAATTGTTACATATATTTTTATTTATAATATATTTAAAAGTACTTATTAATCTTACTGTTAATATGATGATAAAAAAAGTTTATTAAGAATGCATGTATATGTGATGGATAAAAAATATAATTGTACAATATAATGTGGATTTCTATATATAAATTTCGAAAATGATTAATAAATTAATTATATTTCTTGATTTAATAACGAACATTACTAATGGCCTAAGAAAACAGAAATAATGAATTAAAACAACAGTCTACCTAATTTATTGTTTTAATACAGTGCTTCGTAATCTAACATTTATATCTGTAAAATACTGTAATGTAGCATATAAAAATTAACACAATACGGACATAAACAAAATTCGTACTATAGTTTGATCTATATATTGTTTCAAACACTGAAATTTACTACTAATTTATAAATACGTCAACGTCATCGTTCCATTAAAGCTCGATTTCTCCCTATTCAAATAAAAAAAACTTGCCATTTATTTATATAAATAACGCAACTGTTTAAGAGCAACACTCTTGTCTGTGGAGATCTTTCTCTTCTCTCTTCTACGATCTTCTATCATACCTTCTTTAAACCTTGATACGATACTCCAATTCTGTCTTATATAGTTAGTTATTATAGTAATGAAACAATTTTACAATACGACCTTACTGTATTTGTCCATACAATGTTATGATTGTCTATACACAATCTCATTAAGCCACTATTATTATATGTTCAAAAACTATTGTAATTCTTGAAGATTATTTCACAATATGACCATATGCTTTATATATTTATTTATTAATTAAATTTATACAATATAAACTTACAGATTAAGTCACCAGATATTAAAAAGATATCTTAGATACATAATGTACACTAGGATAGATCCCTCACACTGTATTATAAAAGCACATCCCAAGCTTCTGGGGATGGTATGGTACATGCACATAATTAAACACAGTCACATTTGCGTAAAGACCAATATTTCTTAGCAAGTACAATACTAAATATCCATGCAGTACATAACAACACTAAAACTGTACCTAACATATTAGGTTACATAAAGGCGAAAACTCGACATTTTCTGGGTACTGCATCGTTATTTACGTATGGCAACACTTTTTAGCCGCCCCACAAGCAGCCCCGCCCGCGCAGCCGCCCATTTGGCAACAGCAGAGCAACGGTTTCGGTGCCACGTTCCCGCCGCAACCCGCGAACAACACATTTGTGTCCGAGGCTAACTTCTCTAATGTTTTCAGTAACACTGACACAACAGGTGAGGCGCTTGTCCTTGTAGATACACGCATAGGGTTGCCATATGATTATTCAAATTACCTTATTTTTGATGAAAATAAATGTGTTATTATTTCATCTTCAACTTAAAATCGCGTATCTAAATGCCAGTGTCAAGTAATTATATTAATTCTTTAACCATATGAACCACAATAAGTAAAAATTATGTTAACAAACAGATTTATAAACAGCAACTGTCGAGCACTTCAACCAGTTCTGCTCTGCTGAAACTGCTTGCTGAACTGGACAGTAAGGTAAAAGGAAAGAAAATATTATCATACATAAGTGGCGAAAAGTGTCTTCTATGAATAAATATAAATAAATAATCAAATTATTATAGTTTTAATATATGTGAAAATAAAACTTATTTTTGTATAATATTTTGAATAATAATATCCGCGGTTAGTAAAATTATTAAGTGTCTAATCATAACTGATTTTACTTTAAAAAATATGTGTTTCATCATGTCGATTGCTTCGCAAATATTTAATACTGCATTTTCTTTTATTGATTTAACATTTCAATTTCATTTTAGTAATAAATCATATGGCAACTCTTTCCTTTTTCTATTAATATTAAAAGTATAATCATTCTATTTCTATTTTTGGTGTTGGGTAAATAATTATTTTTATAATCTGTACATCCAACTTTAATAATAATATAAATTTTCTCATGCAAGCTGCAGCGGCTAACCCGTTCATGGGTATGGGAGACCCCTCTGCCCCGATATCCGCATCCCCTGCCCGTCCCCCGCCCCCCGTCCAATCTAAACAACCCAAATCCGCGTTCGATGACCTCGAGGACGTAATGCGTATGTCCCTCGGCGGCTCTCCCGCCAAACAATCCAATCAAGCGATCACACAACAACCTCAACCAATACCATCGCAGCCGTTCAGTGACGTCATGTCGATGCCGATGGCCCAGCCAATGATGTTTGGTTCTCCGGCCCGACAACCGATGATGCCAATGACAGCCATGGGTTCGAAATTTGAAATTTAGATGGAACGTTCGTTTTAGTTTTTTATTTCAAGCCAGACGCCAGTAACACTTTTGCTTTGCAGGTTTTTTTTTTAATCAAGCCCTGCACTGTTTTAGCGCTGCGTTGTTAATTTATAGTCTGTGTAAATAAAGCTATTTCGTTGTGTTGTATATTTTATGTTGTGTTGTAATAGCATATGTGTATTTATGTTTAATAATACATAACACTTAAATTTTGTGGTCTGCAACAAAATATGAGTTTCTCTTAAATTATTTGCACATACATTTGTACATGTAAAAACGTTGATGTTAATATAGTTGTCAGTATTTCTGCACATACATTGCACCAAATATTGTCATTGAAATCTTATTCCATAAGAAATATTTTACAATAATAAAAATCCTGTTATATGCATAAACTTTATATTTACAGGTCAACAACCTCAACAACAACCCGGGAAGGTCCTCACAGGGGATCTAGACTCATCCCTCGCTCAATTGGCCAATAATCTATCCATAAACAAGAGCGCCACAGCACAGAAGTGAGTATTTAAAAAACAAAGCTTGATACTATGGTCCGGGGCATAGTTATAGTGCGACCCTGTTTTATAAATTCGTTTTTACATTTTAAAGTACCGCCTGTATTGAAAAATTTTTATATATCCAAAACAATGAATAAGTAACATTGTTTTATATATTAATTCCTCATAAAATTATACAAAAATATTTTATAATTCGATTGTTTATACTATCTATACATAAATAGATATAGATGACGCAAGTATCTCAATTTTTAAGACAAACATGTCACAGACTACTTGTCTTGATAGTATAAGACACGAGTAGTGACTTGGACCTCAACTCAAAAACCCTTAGGGGCCGAAACACCCTATTAAGGACATGCTTCTAAATGCATCATGACAATTCAACACATAAACTGTATTGTAGAACTCAAGCGGGGCAGAACATTACGCGGCTCTGCCCCAAACACCGCTTTACCGAGTAGAAACGAACCCCCCCTTAGGTTATCAATAATATTTATTAATAACAAACTCCATTCACTTCATTTATTTACATCAAGTGGTAAAATTCATATATGTTATTATATTTTTAGCAAATTCAGCATTCCGTTATGAAATTTTACATGCCACATATATAAATATAAATCAAATTAATTATTAATTAATCAAGTATATACTCGATACGCCACTAAATAATTTAAAGATTAATCAAATATAAAATTATTTTCCATACGTAAATCATGTTTGTTTATTTTTAAAACTTAGCAACTTTTCCATATAACCTTTAACTGTTTTAAGCGGGAATTATTTATTTATATGTATTTAATCACAAAATATATTTACAAGCATCGATCGTAGTAAATTGGTAGACGTCAAGTTGCCTCTACTGTGCCTAGTACAGTATAGAGTACTACTATAAACTTTCCTTTAAATGTATGTATGTAATGTAGTTGCGACATCTATTCTATGTCGGTATTGGTTCTTAAACTCACTAATAACAATATGGACGGTACTTGATATTGAATTCTGAAAAGTTGATCTTCGTATGTCTTAGATTGCAGTGTATATTAATGATGTTAGAAACCACAGAAAGTTCTAGATTAATGCATCAACTCTTAGATCAACCTTCCAGAATTTAAAGTAGATTTTTTAATATAGCTTGGTTACATTTGTTTATAGAATGACGTAATTTGAGTTCATATAAATCATTAAATTTCCAATTATTATTTCGTAGACAAAGTTTCTAATGAGAAATTGAGAGAGACAACAGACAGAAATATACACAGATTATTAATATATTTGTATGAAATTTAAATTAAATTGTTTCTCATTAGCAACATAATTGCGTGATATTTACCTTGTCAAGTGAAGTGTATGTGAAGATATTTAGAACGCTAATTTTTATAGTTTTTTTTTACAATAGCAGATGTACACAAATAATTTATAACTTAAAAATAAAAATCATGATTTATTTTATTTTTATATAATGACATTTATATCATTCTATATAATGTATATAATTTATTTATTAATATCTTATAATAAATTATTACATAATTATATATGTTACCCAGTAATATTTGATTAGTACATCTGCTATGTAAATTACAAATTATTACAGCTACCACATGTTCTTTTGCCTGTTTTTTTCTAAATAATTAAATGTGGTACCAGTAATAATGAGTAAGAAATACTACAGTGGTTCGTGAAAGCATCTGCAACATTAGAATCGAAGTAAAAAGAGTTTTATTAATTTTTAAGCTCATAAAAGATGATTATGGGACGACCTTTATTACTTTTTTTGTACGCATCGAACAATAGTTTAAATCTCAGAGCCAGAAACTTGAATCTTATTTTTTTTTAAACATGTATAAGGAACTATTGTTTCTATACTATTATTAAAATTGGAATTTGAAGAATAAACTAAATAAATTTTCGAACTTTTACACTGATATCAATATTTTGTTAAGATTTGTATTCATCATGATAAGTTAGATTATTAAACTTAATATTTTTCTGTAAAAAATATATAAGCATTATTAACTATTTTTATAAGTTGTCCGAGACCCTCAGTACAAACTCGGCTTAGTTTGGGACTAGATGGCCTTAAAATATCTAGGATTATTTATTTATAGAAAAAAAAAATAAGTCAATGAACCATTGAGAGCCTAGAAAAACTGTTGGCCATTGGTCACTGGAGATCCAAAAAATATGTAAATTACATGTACATTTTACACAACACAATTGTACAAACACGCTATCTGAAATCAAGCTTTGCACAACAACGATCTCTTGCAGGATGCTTTCACTTCACACACTTGCAAAATGCTCGGCTTATACGGTTGTTACCTCACCTCATTATTTGATTATGAAGCTATAAGAATCATTAAACGAGTGTTAGTGTAAGATACAGAGGAAACATTGAATTTGCACCATTCTGCGTGATATCTCAAACGCTATTGTAGGTAGCGGCTTTCATTACAAGCTGTGATGAGCAATGGCAGGGAAATTACAGTATACAGATACAAGCCATAGTCCTTAGGAATGGCATACCACAGGTATCACAATATACTTTGTGGCGTGCTGTTCATAGACGATGGTTTTATAGTCGCGGCAAATTAGCGTTTTGCCATTCCATTGAAAAAAAAAAACAAAACAAAAAACATACCGTATAAGCCGGGCATCCTCGCCCGCATGACTGACCGGTGCCGTGTCGCGTAGACCGATGCAGTGGAACTCGCCGAAGAATGCATCCAAGCCTGGAGCCACGTGGACCCCGCAGCCAATGCAGGCCACCACCGGAGTCGGATACAGGCCTATGGTAAGGACTCTGCGTTTTCTGGCCGGCTGATAATTTTATATAAAAATTTACACCATGTTTGAGGTATACCAGCAAACTTTGGAAGTAGTATTTTTGGTAAAAGTAAAATTAAAATTTCTAGTCCTATATTTAGTTGATAGATGCAAGTAATTTAATAATAATCTTATTGTTTAGTCGAGCCTAAATAGTAAAATGCAACACTAACATAATTAGTCCCACGAAATAAATTAGGAAGGCAGTAGGCCATTAAATTTCTAGAATTTTATTTACATGTATGCTTCAATATTTTTTTATTTGGTCATACATCTTTATAGTTGTTGGTAGATAAGTGCTTTCATATCGAAATCTTTTTTTATTCCCTAGTCTAGTGCTGGGGGATGTTCTATACGAGTACAAAATAATATTTAAAGCGCTTTATACGATAAAAACCTATTTATCTAGTCTTGTATTATAATAAATTTACCTTACAAACTACTCTACACCACTCGTGGTAAACTACTAGACAATAACGACACTACATCTTAAGTCTGTCCTATTTTCTACTTTATGTACATATGTATAAAGTGCATATTACATAAATACATATAATTTCCAATTCGCCGGCCAGAAACTGTTAAAATTACATCAAATATATAACTATTAAAATTATATAAATATTGATTTTATCTCAAAAAATATCATAGCAGCCTTTCAAACATGACAAATATAACACAGAACATATTACTACAGATATACATTTTAGCTAATATGGCTATTTTAATATCATATTGCTACGGCCCATAAGTTGTGAATATATTCGTTTCTAAATATTTGGTATTCGGCATTTTACGAATGTCCATACTTTCGCATTGTATTTGCTTAGTTCCCAAATTTTAAAATGATTAGAAATCTTTTAATTTACAAGAATTTGCAGACAAAACACCTCTTTGTCTTTGGTCGGCGTATTGCAGGTACGCGACGCATTATAGTTACCCGTGATTCTACTCGTGTATATATGTTAGACGACAGTTGCCGCTTTCCATCAATTGGACTGCCAGCTTGTTTGTCATTCTTATTTCATTAAAAAGATATATTGAAAGATTTTAAGTAAAATTCTGAAGTTATTGCAGTTAAATTTTTTAGGATAATTTTGACTTAATTTTTTATGAAGAAATTAGACTTTGTGTATTAAAATTTAAATTTCGCATTACTTAACTTTTGACTGTAACATCAATAGACAATTATATACACAAATTAACTAATTTAAAAAGGGCCATACAGATAACATGATCATATGATCTCATTGATCATATGGTGTTTTCTATGTATTTACAAAAAAAATATCTAATGTATTTATATGTATTGTTTAGCAATCCATAACAAAAGTTATGCTTAGCTTGGGATTAGATGGAGCTGAGTGAGTTGTCATGAGATATTATTATTGCTGTCATATTTGTTGAGATTACCTTTACTATCGATAACAGCGACGCCTGACCTTAAGGATCATTTTTCTGTGCTATATTCAAAACTACTCATACTTTGGTCCATCAGTAGCCTTCAAGGAAGCAAGCACAAAAGATTTTTCCTTAATGTAGAATTGTCTTGTACAATACACAAGTAATTTTCGAATTGTCTAGTAATGTTACAGTATAAAGTCTAAGATAACTGCGAACAGGGATGAATGGAAGAGAAAAATCATATTACGCCAACCCCAAATAAAGGGGATAAGGAAGAAGCGGAAGCAGATGTTACAGTAAAAACTTGTGGCCGTAGCATATGTGAATTTACTAAATGCTAAAAATAATAGCAAATATGAAGAAAATCTGTATCCCCCATTGTTTAAGTTTGCTTTAATTGTTGCATTATGATTTTCTAAACGTATGTTGCGCTATAATAAACTCTATGCTATGAACTTAAATCTCAGTATTCTACGCTAATTTTTCTTTGTGCATTTTTCTTTTTTCCCCGTAGCATGCTTGCATTATTTTTTTTCAGGGCCCCGGCATGACTCTCCCATCAATGCCTCACACCTTGCCCCATACATACCACCCCCCGCATTATATTATGGTAAGTTTGCTATTTTTTTTTTGTTTTTTTTTTCTTTTTGCTTCGTATTAGATTAGTCATACATCTGTTTTCTTTCGCTTTTAGACGTATTATAATTGGACCCGTGCGTAGCGAATTAGCGTTATATTTTAATTAACTTCATTTCTAAAACTATATAACTATATTTTGTTCTGGAAATCTTATAGAACAGCAGACTAAGTTCCATAGTTATTTATTTAAAGATAAAAGGTGAATTCTTCCAAACAAAATTATTCGTTTGATTTTAAACTTTGTGTTTAATAACTAAGTTATATATTTGCAAATAAATGTCTTTATTTATTACTAATATTGTCTAGTACATAACACAAATATTGTTTAATATGTACTAGACGTTACTCTGAGATATATCATGTGTTTATTTATTTCAGTTACTATCATATTTTTTTTTTAATGTTTTATCCTTATTTCAAAACTTTTATTGTCATATGACAATAGTCATGTAGGCATTTTCAAGGTACAGTATATAAACATATAGACAATAAAAAACCTACTCTAAGAATTATTTTCTTACTCTACGCCCATAATAAAATGCCCGTTTTGACAGTAAGAGGGGGGGGGGGGGATTATTATATTATATTAAAAAGATATATAGTATGATGACATGGTTATAGAGTATCTCTCAATGAGCATTTAACTCAGGCTTTAGGTAATACCAACATAATACAAAAAGCAACAACTGTAATGTAAGTAATCTATTAATATGTTTGTTTCCTCTTAGCCATAAATATGGGTCAAAAAACAGATTTTTATCTCTATATTCTATTGACAATAAGTTTCATATTACAAAACGGTAAGAAATGTCGGCCTTGGTTGGCTTAGCACACCGCCTTACTTGACTATGGTCGCGGGTTCTATTCCTCGCACAGTACAAAAATTTATATTCAATACTATGATTGTTTGTATCGGTCTGCCTGTTTCCTAAGTATATTATATATGTATTAGGTAATTATATCAGTTGCCTAGTATCTATAACACAAGTTCTGCTTAGCTTGTGATGGTGCTGTGAATTGTTGAAGATTACTATTATTATTATTTATGAAACTTAAAAAGGTATTATATGTATACATATTATTATATTATATGTATATTATTATAGGATAAATGCAACTATGACGTAATTTGTTCATAAATTATGTTTAGGAGCACTAAATTAAAAATAACTCTATAGTAACTATGTACAATCTATATAAATTACTACTTAGTAGCTATATCTATAAACTGTACAAATTTAATTTTAGTCAGCACTATGCACTACCTCTGTAAATTAGGATCACTGTGTACAAATTAGATATATCAATAGTATTTATTAAAATTTCTTAGAAAAATAATTTAACCTGTGTAAATTAGAACTTGGGTCAGTTTTCTAACTTGTATAAACTATGTACAGTGTATCTATTTACAACATATGTAATAAACAAGTACCTACAGGTGTCGCGAGGGTGATATCTATTAAAAAAAACCAAAGAAAGTAAGAGAATTAGCTCAGTGTTCATATATAAGTAACTAGCTGGCCCGACAAACGTTGTTTTGGCATGTAAATTATTTCTGAACGAGACCAAATTTATTACCTTGAGTACCAAAATAGTCTACGACCTATTCCTAAACCTACCAAATAGTCTTCAAAACGTTTATGAAAATCGGTTGTCTCATTTCGTAACCACGTACATTTAGCCTCATTAGCTAAGGACTATAATGATTATATTATCAGACCAGTATATATTCTCAGCCGTACCATATGTACATCAAAAAGTTGATGAAAATTGGTCAAGATTATTCGAAGGAGTTCGAAAATAAAAACAGTAACACGACATTTTTATACATATATTTGTTAAATTACTTCTGAATTTTGACTCATATAAGGTAACTGTGTTATTAAAAATGACAAATTTGAATGACTCCATGCATGGATGTGAAATTCGCATGACTAGTTGTCTGTGTGTGATGAATAGATACATGTGTTCGCACGCGTTTTTATTCATAAATGTACTTATTTTTACTTCATTCTTCTCTGAATGTGTAATACAGTATGATTTTAAAATATCATGAGTTCATTCATCATCTTTATATGAATTATCAGATTTATTGTTCAGCTCCTCTTGTACCTATTTATAGGCTATTTAATGATAAGGCTAGGCTACTTAATAATAAGATTAAACTACATTTAATTATTAATATGTACAATGAAACCTATACTATATGTATATTTCACGCTTACTACTAAATGCATTAAATAGAAAATTAAAATTTTGTTATAATATTTTCCCCAAAAGTTTTAATTTTGGAATTAATGACAATAATAATTAAATTAATAATAAAAATAGCATCTAAGAAAATTGGAAAGCCGTCTTGAGTGACTGGGACTTCAGTTTCAGACGCAGCTTGCTTTGTAAGTTATTTCAGTGGTAGAGTGAGATTAGGCAGTGAAATAATAAAAGAATAAGAGGCGTGACATCTTAGTCACCTATAATGGTAACACATGAGTCACAGTCGTCAAATGGTGACGTCAATTTTTTGATATAGGCGATTGTTACCACTTACCATCAAGTGGTCAGCCTGTTTGCCATGCCAATTACAAAAATATGCAGTTTAGTATTAAGCGTGGGATATACATATTCAAGTAATGTACGTATAAGTACAATTTTATCGAAAAAAGAGGTTATACATGTTCAATATTGACATGTAATAATTGTATACAAGTTCAATATTAACATGTACATGTATACATGTAATTTATTATTGTTCATAATAACATTACTATTCCAGCAACAGCCAGGGATGGTAATGGGCATGCCCGGTGCCCAAATTATGCCGATGGGGATAGCCCAACCGATGAGACCCGGCGTACAACCACAGACAACCACCAACCAGTTCAGTTAAATTGGTCATCTCCCTTAATCGACCTGAATGCTTCGCGTCTAGAGGTATACGAATGACATGTTACAACATGTTTGCATCAAATGTTTTCTTTTGATACATATATCAAGTCTCTAGAAACATTTGCTTTTTTGAAACATCCTGTATAAGTGTTTACAAGAAATTACATGTATCAAGCATTATGGTAGCGCAACATGTATTTTTGTGGATACGTGCACGAAATTTCTTTAAATTATTTGTCTGTACTGTCAATTCGGTTAATATTATTTATGACTGGAAGAACAGTTAATAGTTGTTATTGTTTCAAAACATAAAAGACATACCATCGCGACTATTGTCCTAGGTGGGGTAGTCAGCCTCTGACGCCTGTATGCCAACTGTTGTTTCAATTGGGTAAAAAGAATCACTGATCTAGTGACATTAATTTCATCGCATTATTATATTTGTATTTAATAAAAATTTAAATGGTGAAAAGCAGTCGGGTCTTAGGAATTTATGTAATATTTTGAACGTATATGTATTTAGTTTAATCAAAGTAATAGAGGGACATTTCAGGCGGTTCTTCTAACGTTACTGTTTGCCCAATCCTAGTTATGCGCTTCGTTCAAAAATGTGTTTTATGTTACCGACACAATAATAACTTAGTTACTCAATTATTATAATATTTAGTCATTAAAAATAGTTAATTAGTTTACTAATGTGTGAGTAACACTGTTATTCATATAACAGCATGGGATTTCTTTTGAAATTATAAATATTTGAGGTCTTTATGAATTATTTAAAATGTTTAGTTTTATTAATCAATTGTTACTCGTCATATCTATGAAGGTACGTCACTATTTAATGATATTTAGTAAAAAAAATTAACATGGTGTGTATATTGTTATCATTAGAAATGTTAGTATCAAAATATTGATTTGACATGCAAATTGTAATTGGTAAATGTATTTATTAAGAGGAATGAGTCAATAGAAATGTTTATTTTTAATTGATTTTAGAAATATTTAAACATTTCGCTAGTTCATTGTTTTGGAAGCATTCTTTTTTCAGAATTATTGTCTTATGAAAACGGTGCGCGCTATTTTTATTTCATTCAAAATTCAAACCGACATCACATTCCATAATTGTACAAAAACATAATTTATTGTTAGCGACATAAAACATGAAATATATTTTACATATTTCCGATTCATTTATAATTTTGAGTCGGTATTTATGTTGAAGCTTAATGCAGGCAATTCATAGCCGCGTGTGATCTTTACTTGAAATGAAGCGTGTACAATACTCAGTGTGGTAGTGTGCGTATTTGACACATTGACAGTGTTGCCAACTTATGGATTTCCTACCCAATATTAAATGTTTTTTAAGTATGAAATATATATTACAAAACAATTAGAATATTTCTATTGATTATTATAGAAATTTCATGTTTTTGTTTTCAATTAGTAATGATTTATTTATATGTCATGGTGCTAGTTTTCTGAGCAAATAATTTGATTTGTCCTATTACCACACGTCACTAATGTTACTAATGAATGTATACACAAAAAAATATATGATTATTACCATTCATTTCCTATTTTATTATGAAATGATTTTTGATATTCCTATTTTTATTTTCTTTTTCAAAATGACTTGTAACAATTACTCAAAGGGATAGACGAATGTTTACAACACTGTAGTGTAGTTAATCATAAACCTACGCACACTTACACATTAAGACACAAAATTACGTTTATTACAAGCATAGTCCACACGCGCTCTTCAACTATACTTTTAATTCAATCAATGAAATTTGTAGTACGTAGATACACGGAAGTAGGTCCTTATATACCCCTAATTATAATATAATGAATGTATAAAATGCTATAATTTCGTAATCAATAGATAATTAAGGTTAAAGGTTTGAACACCGGTTTAGCTGGATATAATCTAGTATGAATAGACTAGAATGTTAAACCAGTGTTGCCATATAATTGTTAGTTATACGACCCAACTTGCTTATAATAAAATGCGTTCTTGAAGTACCTTAAATGTGCTATTTCCGGCAAGTTCGCATATTGTCACGTAATCATATGTAAAAACTATTTAATCTAGATAATGTTCTATTATGAATTAGATTGATATCAGATTAGTGTTACGGGTCTGATGTGTATGAATGCTGTTGTGAATATATGGACTAGGTTCATTCCACGTGACCATTCCCTATATATTGTGATGAATTGATGATTCATCTTTGATCCTGTATGTTTAATAAATGCCAAATACTTAGGTATGGTACACGTGTATTGTTCTGTCCTCTATTCTACTCTTATCGGTCACCGACAATACTTTGTACAAATGTTCTATTTTGTAACTATAAAAATATATATGATTAGCTTACGTGTGATATTATGTTCTAAAGACTGTAACGCAATTCATAAAAGTATTACGTATTTTTAAACTTTTCTTTTTCGTTTGGACAAAGTATTGTAGGTACAAATAAATTGTTGCCATCATACGCACGATTAATAAGAAAATGCATTAACATTAAAAAAAACTGTTTTTAAAATCGACTTAAATTTCGAGTTAAAACTTCAATGTCGATATTCCAATTTTTTTTGGAGTTGATACGTTTTTTATTTTACGTGAGACATATGTTTAATTTAAAATATTATTGATGGCAACACTATCGATGTTGCTGCATTATTATTTGAAATGTAATCGTAATCGAATAGCTGTTTATGTAAACCAGTTAGAATAGATGCTAATATGCGGTTTACAATTGTCGATCAGTAATTGATTATTATTGTAAATAAACTTTTATGATCATAATGCACAGAGTCAATGTGAAATTACGAGCCACTTACTTTATTTGACTTTTTTAATAGACACCATGAAAACTTTAGTTTTATAGGCAAACAAATTATCATATTTTATTTTTTTATGCCGAGTAACCCTGATATATGTACGTATTTTGTAATAAAGTTTTCTGGTGTCTCTGTAATTATAGTCAGACATTATTGCTTATTATGTACCTATGAATTAGTTGTAATTATAATTTCATAGTTCAATTTAATGATATATAATATCATTTACAATCGTGTGTGAAGATCTGTTGCTTGAGATTTTGTTTTTGATGGTTGATAGTATTTTTTGTGCAATATATATTATTATATAATTTTGTAAAATTATTTTCGTTGAATAATCACGCAATCATTTTATTTCAAAGTATTATGAATTGAAACATACTTATTGAGACTTATGAATTTATATTTGCCATTAAGTAAATCCTATATTTTCAATTGAGCGGGTAGGTTTTGTCTAAGCAACACTTTTTTTATTATTATACTTTTAATATTTGAATACATTAACGGGTCTAAAGAATGAAAATATACAGCTATGAGTATTGTTGTGTAGTTTAAAAATTATTTTACAATATTGTGCTGATAGAAGCAATCGGCACGACTGATTTATTTAATAATACACATTCACTAGTGTAAAAATGAGAAAATAAACAGTAAGCCTTTAAAATTTTAAGTTGTACATTTTATTGTTTTAATATGTTGATGTAACGTAATAATGATCTTTATATGTAAATATTCGCTGCTATATTATTTTGATTTTGTCGCGCCTTGCATATTGGAGTAGATTATTTATAAAAGAAATAAATCAATTCTAATTATTTTTTTGTTTTTTATTTTTATTTTAGTGTTGCTAGTAGTAAAAATTTTTGTTCTTACATAATAAATATGTATGTAACGTACCTATTAATGTCTATGTACCTCTAAATCCAATGACAATACTTATCAGAAATCTACTCTTAAAATGGTCTGTGTGATGTTGTAGAAGTAAGAAAAAGGGGAAAGCATTATACAAGTCTGTCCTATACTTAGATTTCTGTCATGAATAATAGTTATGTTTACAAAATTAGAAGTAGTTTTCCACTTTATTGTTATTTTTAGGACAGACCAATATGCTAATTCTATTTGTATATTCATTGTAACTTTCATTATTCCTACTGTAGGCTGGCGGAGGGGATGGACGGTATCTAATACCAACATAATAGATTACTAAGTAATTTAAATAATTTATTATTCCCAAATTGTAAACCAATAAAAAAAATATAATCTACTAACATTACGGGCCTCAATGGAAATTGTTTCTACCATCCCCAGAAACTCAGTAACCCTAGAGATAGTGTTAGTGATATATGCAAGATTGCGCTTGATTGTGTGAAGAGACAAAGGAAATATATTGATCTTACCTAATAATGAGATGTTATAGTAGCACTTTTTCAATAGATATCTATCATAAAATATTGTTGATAATAGCAGGACAAAGTAGACCCACTTGTAAGGTATATAATTAAACAGACGATAAAGTAGGCGACAAAATAGTTTAATCATAATAGCTTGTGGTCATAAATGTATTATAAAATATTTTTCCAGTGTTGCCGTTATAAAATATCGATTATCAAATAATAAAAATATGGATTATGATATGACTATGATAAAATGTTTAATGGGAGTGAAACTTTTATTAGATTGTGTTCTATCTAGATTTTTCCTAAATTAAGATCACAGATAACAAAATAGAAGTTCAAATTAATAGAAATAGTTCAATTACATATAATAATTTAGTCCAAACACCACAACCTTCAAACTTAGTACAATGTATCCACTATAATAAATATATAGTTAAAAATCTTGTTTTTGTTTGTTCTGTGATAACTATACACTCTATCATAAAGCTTTCGGACGTTGTGTAATGTATCTTGTTGAATCGCCAATAGAGGCGGTTAATTATTATTACAACCTAAGTACATACAATAAATTAATAAAGTTGAGAATGGATATTTCATTTATTTATTTTTTTATATTACCTTAAATTCCTAATTGAGTATAATACATATATAGATCAATAATAATAATAAAAAAAAAGAATACTACCAGGAATAATTCTCAGGTAAGTTGATTTCCCATTTTTTTACTCTGCATAGTATCACGTCCATATAGGCTATAACTACTCGCTATGGAGGATACATCCGCGTTAGAAGTTAGTTAGCTCTAGAAATTATGAACTCGTGATCATTGTCTTACAATGGTGAAATCACCAGAAATTGAATTCGGTGATTTCCAAAGAAAATCATGGAGGTCGATCTATCAAAATACAATACTAGATGGATGACCATTATTAGTTAGAATTTCTTTTCTGATGGCGTTTAGTAGGCGTTTGCATTTCTATATAATATATGGCATAGATTTAACTAGTAAGTCATCATCGTCATAACGATTCAGTATCGTTACATTTGGATATACTACCGCCTGATACCTAGTATTATAAATAACATAAGTCAGCTGCTTACAGTTGACGCGCGATATTTTTGTAATATTTAAGTTTTTACAATACTTTAGGTGTTATAGTTGAAGTAGTAATAATTTAAAATAAAATAAAATGTTTACGTTCAATCTGGTATATAGCTGTAGCTTTATTTCTACTTTAACAATAGTATATAACATAATGTAGGTATCATTAATACCAAGGAGATCTAAACGATAAATACGCAAATGTTAAGCAACACTTGGATAAATATGACCGAATGACAATTAAAAATGTAAACTGCTAAGTGTATAAATAAAAACATTAAAAAGCCATAGATACAGTTCCTAATGGCGGAGATGAAAAGGATTAATTTACCATATTGTTTTCTTCTATACAAGTGTCGTGTGAAATCGTGTAAAAGTCGCTTGCATACTAAAAAAAAATTAATACATAGTAAAACGAAATACTTTGAACGCATCCATAAAAATTTTTTTAACAGGCAACACTAAACCAATCGATGACAGCGACGACGAGAGATTTCTCTCGTCGCTAATGCCGTGACGACATTTTGTCAATATAATTGTAAATTTAATTCAAAATTCAGTGAATTTTCTTAGTGCTTAGTTTTATATAAGCCACAAAAATGGCAGACAATGAACAAAAAGCATTGCAGTTGATGGCCGAGGCCGAAAAAAAGTTAAATTCGTCGAAGACGTTCCTAGGATCGCTTTTTGGGTGAGGACAATGACTTTAATCATATTTTTGTTGATTGATATCTTAGCTAATTCTTACCTAATACAAATAAACATTTTTAGTATTATATCAAGAATACTTGTTTCAAAATTAATCATTAGTAAGTTATTCAATAATGGCTAATTTTGATATATTAATTCCCTAGCTTGCCTTTGTTGCACTATTAGATTTCCTGAAATTGTCTAATCTGTTTTTAATTAATATATAGAAACGTAGTTTGGAGTTACATCATGTAGTTCAAATATTTATTATTACGAAATATATGGTATTCATGTTTTGAAACTAATATTTGTCATAATTAGCTTCTATAACATTATGATTAGCATTTATTTGGATGACTAACGCCATCCAAATTTTGTTTTTCTAAGTCTGCTAAACCGTTTTCAATGTCACACAATTCTTTTGTGTACTTATGACTAAGTGCTATTAATTTCTAACATGCAAATTTTCCTTTATTTTGACCAAAAATAAACTTTTTACCTTCATGATAAAAGGACTATTTTTAGCCAATCCAATTAGAAATTAGAAAATATCTATATCATGAGTTAATTCTAATAAACTTGTGTTCAAATAAAAGAATACACAAGAAAATAAAATTATTCAATTTCATTATTTAACACAATAAAGTTATGCTGGAACTAGTCTTCAAATATTTTTTTTGCAACAAAAAACAAAAGCAATTTCTGAAATTTCTAAATAATTGCTTTTCATTGCTATGCATTAGTCTGTAATTCAAAAGAACTCTCTCAAAGACAAACTTTGCAAATAAATTTAAATTTATTTTATTTAATTAATTGCAAATTTAAATTCTAAATTTGCAAAACAAAAGGTGAGAGACCTGTTGTTTATTTGATAAAATAGTACATACATAACATAAAATAAAAAGTAGAATTGTTACAGACCACATGTATATGTATAGTCAGTTTGTTACTTGTTAAAACAAACTAGAACAAACATTTATGACTAGGGATAGAGATTAAACTGCCTTTCTCTAACCATAATTTATTTACTATAGCATGCAACAAGTTAACCCTTGACCAGACTTGAAGTCTAATCATTCTTCTGCATGCCCAAGGTTGCCTGGAAGAAATCACTATTTAGTGTTAAGACCCCCATTGTTACATTTCTCCATCTTTTTTTCTGTTAGAGGAACAGTGAAGAGTTTTTCATTCATTCCTTAATTTAAATTGTAAGCTATATAATTATTAGTACCTATACATCATATTTTGAAATTCATTTTTTTTATATATTTTTAAATTTTACCAACACTATCAGAGATACTGCTTTGTTAACTTTGTGTCATAATCTCATTTGTAAGTTCACTGTCCAAGCTGTATCCTACAACCGTAATACAGCTTACAAAGCAAGCTGCTTAGGTGCAGAAATAGGTGAAACTGAAATAAGTATCCATGCAGATAGCTGGTAAAAATAATCTATTTCTAGTCATTTACATATAACAATAATTATTACAATGTTTAACTGTGCCATTTATCTCATGGGTCATGGCTCTAAACATTCTGCAGAATTAGATTATTTTATTGTTACTATAATTACAGCTTTATCAAACCTTTAACATGACTAGATGTTGGTTCCTGGTAATGCAATATGTAGTATAAATGATATATAAAACATATTACACTTATAAATGGCATGTAGTATGGTATGGTACTGTAAAGACATCTTCTTGTAGTTATATTTGAACATTACTAAAATATAATCACTTATAATAATTACATCCATTTGTACAAAAATAGTTATGAATTGTTTCAGTTAATTTGTACAAAAATGATTATGAACTGTTTCAGTTATTGACTAACATACACTTAAATATACATAAATACATGATATGGGGGTTTAAGCCCACAGTTCCGTGATATTGAGTAATGCTTGCTTGATAACACATACAAACTTTAATTATCTCTTCTACAATATTTTTAAGTGAGGGTTTGGTTTAACTTTTGACTATAATTAAATGCTTGTGATAGGTCAAAAATCAATCTAAAACATTTTTTCTTTCCTTCCCTCCTTCTTCAGTGGGTCTTTATTTAAAGGATGATAATGTGATGGTGCACTCGCTGCTCAAACGTTATATGCTGGCGGGGCACCATTGAAGGATGATATGATGAGTATGAGGTCAGGTCAGTTAGCCCATCGTTGCAAATTCACCGGGAATTTAAGATTATGGTTTTCAGGCCGAACCGCGTGGAGGTCAATAGGAGGTACATTGCTAGCAATGGGGTTATTAATCCTACTAACAATCGCTTTGCTCCTCATCAGTGGGTCATCAAAAGTAGAAGAGGCGGTGGACTGCTACCTTCGTGCTGCCAATCTTTTTAAGATGGCTAAGAAGTGGGCACAAGCGGGCCAGGCGTTCTGCAATGCCGCCCAATTACACCTGAAGGCTGGGGTCCGTCACGACGCGGCAACCAACTTTGTAGATGCTTCCAATTGCTACAAGAAGTGTGATCCTAATGGTAGGTTCATATTCTATAATAATAATCTACCGACCCAAAAATCAGCGTTGGAATCTATATTTCCAGCATAGTTGAGATGTGGTTCACATTGACTCTGTTTTGTAATAATTTTATGTCATTTTTGTTGTTTTAAAACGAGTCAATCAAATTCTATTCTATTCTAATAACCCTGGACAATTCACACAGTGCCATCTAGTCCTGAGCTATGCAGAACTTGTGTTGTGGGTAATAGACAACTGATATAAATAAAAATACTTAGATTTTTCTTTGTAAATACATACATAATATATATAGAAAACACCCAGATCTATACAAACAATTAAACTCAAGAATATATAATGTTTGTACCATACGAAGAATCGAATCCGCGACCTTTCGGACAACCTGACAACTGACAGCATGTATCTGCAGCCTACGATGAAAATAGTTTCAGATATTTACAGCTTTTAGAAACGGACGACGGATATCATGGTCGGTCACGAACTATAATAATATTAAATCGTTAGTCGATTTCCAGAGCTACACTACACATATTTACCTGTATTTTATTGGATTTTCGTAGGATGGCAGTAGATTTTTTAAGAAATATGTATTTTTTTATGTTGTAATCTTCCTAAGTGAGCCTATTAGGCTAAAAAGCTCGCTTAGTTTTGATGTCAATAAATAAATAATCTAATAATAAATAAGAAAGTGATGTATATCGCAGATACAACTTTAATAAATTAAGTGTAACTTAGTACCTACTATGATAGTGTTTGGGTAGTGTTTTACTATATGGATGTCATCCGTATCTCGATTAGAACAAATAATGCATGGAGCCTGCTCGCGCTACCCCACTGCTCCTCCGATCGAACAGGCATCAAAATTACGACAACTTAAGCTTAGGTCTGAACTCCTAGCGGTGCCCACAGACTAAAGTCGTAAGCGTCGGCGGGAGTTGTCCTTTAGCCGGTCCTAACCGGGGCACAGTTAGTAATATTATAAAAACGAAAGTTTGTTAGCGTGGATGGATGTTTATTACTCGCACGTAAAAACTACTCAATCTATTTTAATGAAACTTCACAAAATTATAGCTTTTACATCAGAATAACACATTGATATGGTAAGAAAAGGAGTAAATAACGAGATGAATGCGAGTTGGCCTTCAGCCGGTCCTTAAGTCCTTCTGCAAGTTTGGAGTGCTATTTGCACTTGCCCTAACAGCATTAGAATACTACGTAGTTGTTATCATATAAACCGTTATCAGGTAAATCTGATGATAACGATACTTTACTCAAGCGCGAGGTCACTATTCTAACATTACGTGAATCTTCCTAAAATGAACGCATATTACCTACATATGACAGGTAAACAGTAATTTTGTTTTATATAAGAATATGACTTATCTATGGTTTATCTAATAATATTATTATCTATGACGACAGAAACATCACGTAATTTACGTTGTTATGAATCTTTAACTACTTTAATAATGGCTCATCTAGACCTCGCCCGGATTGTAAAATATTTGTACAAATAATTAAAATTGAAGCGGCTGTTTGTAATTTTTAAATTAACAGTTTTTCACGTAATGCATATGAAAGTATATGCAGTACTTACATCAAAAATTAATAAATAAAAATTATCTGTCTGTTCTTAGTATTCTCTAAACGTCCTATTTTGACGGAACTTTTACTTTCAGATTGTCACTACAGTGTTGTAAGGAGAAACTTAGGCTATTTTTATTTTAGTTTTTTTTTATTATTTTGTTTAGTTCCGTTACAATTAGCATGTGAGAGATCACAAATATTCAGTGAGGAAGCTAGCTAATCTACCTTGGTGACCTAATTCCGACCATGTTTCGTCTCTGAACGAGGCGTTAAATAGGGTTCGGATATAGCTTGGAAGCCTAGTATTGACTGTTTGGCGACCAAACCGAGACGCCGAATTGAATATTTGTGGTCTCAAACATGCTAATTGAAGCGAAATTAAATAAAAATAATATAACTCCATTAAGTAGTGAAATGGACTTCCGCAAAATAACATCTAATTCGAAACAAACTGACAGAATTCTCACTCTTTATTCATAAATAACTAGCTGACCCGGCCACTTATTGCTGTGGCGCAGTTCTAATATTGATTTTACGAAGTATAACCATCCTATTTCTAAAGCTGAACCAAATTGCACACATGGTCCCAAACATATTTTTTTTTGTGGTTTTACAGTTTACCTCTTTCAGTTTTTATTATAAACTAATATTATTTAAAAATATTATTAAGTTAACAGTCGACGTCGGGATGACACTTGACGCGCCCATATTTCGCTGAGTATATTTTAATTTAAAACTAAAGTCAGAATGGACTAGCCTACTACCATCTCTCATACATACAATGTAACACACTAGGGGTACTCGTATAACAAATAATGCGTGGAGTAAGGCCTGTTCCACAGATCGATCTCCTTCAGGGAGATCAGGGATTAAATTTACGACGACTTGAGCCAACGATCGAACCCGTAGCGGTGCCCTCAGACTAAAGTCGTATCCGACAGGCGGGTAATCCTTCAGCTGCTCCATAAGTCCTTGCTTTGGTATGGAGTGCCATCTGCACTCGCACCTATAGTCCGGTAAGCTATAAAGGCCAGCTGCGGCCAACAGCATTAGAGTAGTCCAAAAAAAAATACTAAAGGTACTGTTTTACCTTCTGGGAACCCAAAAAACTAAAAAGGAATTTGGGAGTTTCTCATATCGCTGATTGAATGTTTACTGGACTCAAAAATCTTACAGCATGCTCTCGGCGTTTACCAAACATTGCTGAACTATTTCTGATAAAATTAAAAATATACACATATTATTGCAGAGGCTGTGTCGTGCCTATTGAAGGCAATCGAGATCTACACCGACATGGGTCGTTTCACCGTCGCTGCTAAACAACATCAGGTAACATAATTAGTTTTAACCCATGAAGGCTACTTTTATCCCCATAATTTGATGGGCCTACCCCAAATACCAAATTATCATAAAGATAATTAATTCATTGTTTTATTTAAATACACTACCCACATAAATATCTTTTTGCCCTATGACTGAATGGGAGAAATTGCCTTAAGGATTTATGTCCGCCTTTATTTATTATTTGTTGCTGCATTAAAGTATTAATAAATAAATAATTAGTTAAGTAACACTCTTATTGAGATTACTTTGGACACTGTCATGTATTGATAACTGCAATACTCGCTTCCATCGTTGGACGACACTAAAGGCCAACTGTGGCCGACATTAGAATAATAGTTCGCAAAAAAATTCGAATTACGTCCATTTACCTAATGTAATACACAATATTATAAACGCGGAAGTTTGTGAGTGTGGACCATGCACATGGTTGGATAATTGTTACTCTTCACTCAAAAGCTGCTGAATGTATTTTAATGAAACTTTACAAAATTATAGCTTATACATTAGAATAGCACATAGGCTATAAATTTCACGCTGATGAAACTGGGGGCAGCTAGTAATATTATAGACACTAAAGTTTGTTAACCTGGACGGATGGATGTTTATTACTCTCACGCAAAAACTACTGAATGTATTTTAATGAAACTTTACACAAAATTATAGCTTATACATCAGAATAATACATTGATATGGTAAGAAAGGGAGTAAAAACGAGATGTCTACTAACAGGGATAAATGGAAGAGAAAAACATATTACGCCGACCTCAAATAAATGGGATAAGGAAGAAGCCGATGATGATGACATCAGAATAACACATATAAATTTCATGCGAGTAAAACCGCGGGCACAGCTATTACACGATATCGCTTTCAATGTTTCCAGAACATCGCAGAATTGTACGAGACAGAGTGCGTCGACTTGGGCCGCGCTATGCAGCACTATGAACAAGCAGCCGACTACTTCCGCGGTGAGGAGTCCACCTCGTCCGCCAACAAGTGTATGCTGAAGCTGGCCCAGTATGCCGCCCAGCTCGAGCACTATGACAAGGCCATACAGATTTACGAACAGGTCAGTGTAACATACGATATTGACAACCTCAAGAAAAGAGCTTATGATTTCTTAAAAGGCCGGCAACGCACTTGCAATTCCCCTGGTGTTGTAGGTGTCCGTGGAGGGCGGTAATCACTTACTATCAAGTGTTGCAGCTCCCCTGATGTTAAATAATAGTAGTAGTATAAAAGAAAATGTAAATTAAACTCCTCTGCATTATATTTGATGCGGTTAAACACCACCGTACTTCCGATCGTCGCGGAATCCATTCTATGCATGGTGCAAACATTTATGTTCATGAGTATGATTGTTTGTGTTGATCTTGATGTTTTCTGATATAAAAAAATATATTTAAGTAATGATATCAGTTGTCTAGTACCCATAAAACGAGTTTTGCTAACCTTTGTTGTTGTTATTATTATTACTAGTGTTTTTGTCCTTGATTTAGCAACAAGCTATCAAAGTTTTTAATATCCGTACTAATATTATAAATACGAAAGTGTCTGTCTATTTGTTACGTTTTCACAGCCGAACTTATCATAATAAAATTTGACGAAATATAGTGTTCAAAAGATACTAGATCTTTTATCATATACATCTAAAAAATGTAGACGAGGTACCTGGAAATGCAAAATCTAAATAAACAATAATTTGCAGATCGCCAAATCGTCCTTGGACAACAGTCTTTTGAAGTATAGCGCCAAAGAGTACATGTTCCGAGCGGCGTTGTGCCATCTCTGCGTCGATATACTGAATGCCCAGCACGCCATAGAGAAATACTGTGGCCTGTACCCTGCCTTCACTGATACCAGGGAGTGCAAGCTTATCAAGGTATGTAATCTTTACATCGTATAAAATGATAACTTCATTTTATACGATGTAAAGTGCTCCCACCGTGTGTTCGCTTAGATCTTTAACTAACTACACAACGGACATGCCAACATGTCTCTGACCATTAAACTATCGTGGAAGATTCCAAGCCTATCTTAGCTCTACTGCGCTCTTATCTAGAGGACTAAGATCATGCCTCTTATCCTGTAATGTCACTGCTCCCTACTATAACACAACTTACAAAACAAACTCACAAACAAATCTTTGTTCGGTATTGGGTGTTTTATATATAGAATATGTATGTATTTTCGAAATAAATGTATCTATGTATTTATATCAGTTATCTAGTACACATAACACAAGCTCTGCTTAGCTTGAGGCTAGATGGCGCTGTGTGAATTGCCCTGTGATATTATGTGAGACCAATATAGATAGATATCACTTCTAGCTTGTAACATACTGGTATGCAGCATTCCATTATAATTAAAAAAAATAGTACATCTATGTTTATTTACATTTCTTTTTTAGGAATTAATCGAACACCTGGAAGAACAAAACATAGACGCGTTCACCGAAGCCGTGAAGACTTACGACAGTATATCCCGACTGGACCAGTGGTACACCACGATGCTCGTTCGCATCAAGAAACAGATCAACGACAACCCCGACCTGCGTTGAGTCGCCCGCGTGTCTATGCCCGACGCCGTTATCGCCGCGTGAGTCTATGGTACAGATGAAATACGTTTTGTCTATACCCAATTGTGTTTAATTTTGTTATTTAATTTCGATTGGTGCAAAATATATTGTTACTTAACGTTGTGTTGTATTGGTAATAATAACAATTCTAAATTAGTTTACTTTTTAGAATTATTCGTAGTTTAATAAATAGTAAAATATCAATTTTTGCAGCGAACTTGTTTATAGGAATTCTATTATTTTATTTTATTAAACGTGTAAGACGGTATTGTATGTGACAATGCAGAATTGTCATTGTAACTGTAACATTTGTTGTTGAAACGTAAATCATTTTTCTGTGGTAAATTACTTATTCATTTACTCATGTGTCTGTAATATACATAATTTTTAACATTCGTTGTCTAAAAACATATAGTATTCTAAATGACACGCTTCAATGTGATGGTATTACAATTTTACATTAATTATTGAACATATTAGCACGCCTAATAAAAAACTAAATTAATTGAAAAATTACTCTTGGAAATTCAACGTTAATACTATTGAATTAACGTTTAAAGTCGATTTACCTTTTTTAATAATGCTGTTTATTTTAAAGTACGTAATATGCAGAGCATACCAAGTTTTGTACATGATTCCATTACATGTATAAAACTATTTCATATTATATACATGTCCCTTAACACAGTTTCCTTTGTAAAATATGTCGTACATGATTGTAAATTACTTACACATCGTGTTTAATGAAATATATATTATAAATTGGACATGTATAGTTTATACATGCAATTAATTGTATAAAACATCTGTTGATGTAAATATTTAGAATTCCGTTCCAATAAGTTTTAACTGAAAACAAAATTATACCAAAGCACAAATATATAATGACTTTTCAAACAATTAGCTCTCTTTCTGCTTTTATTTTTATTAATTTGTGGAAAATCATCACCAAGATCATCTTGGGGAGCAGCGTGGGATATGTGGCGATTTTGCCATTAAAAAAGACGTACCTTATCAACTCCGACGGAGATGGTTACCTAGTAGTTGTTACTTAAAATAGTCTATGATTACATCCATATCTTTTCTCTAGTACATTATTATAACTAATGCAAAGCAGTTAATTGTCAATATACATAAATGTGGGACAACGGCGTCGGTTAATCCAATTCTTTTTAACTATGTAGTATATTCGTATGCCTATTTCAATATAACGGTTAGGCGCATTATAAATTCATGTTACACTATTGTTCGAAGTGATATTTAAAACATAAGATTAAATACTTTATTATATAGAGCAGTTGCTAACGATTCTCATTTGTTACAATCGATGTTCAGCGATTCTACAGTGAACTAGTGAACATGTCGTCGTAATTACGATACGGCGACTATCGGCGCAGTTTTGATTCCTCTCACGATACAAACATTTGTATTCATGAATATGATTGTTAGAAATGTTTTACAAAAAAATGTATTTAAGTGTTTTGTTATGATTGGGACTAGATGGCGCTGTGTGCATTGTTTTGATATTATTACTATTAAAATCGATGGGTTTACGATTATGAACAACTCATTTGAGTTATAGTTATAATTAGTTAACTGTACGGTTTTTAGTTACTATTGAAAAATGGTACCAATACCAAGCAAAAGCCACAATACTCATAAACTAAACCATTATCACAATTAAATAAAATGGATATCTGGAAATGAAAGGAATTTTAACGTTTCATACTAAATTCTTCACATGATCGTGCAGTTTTAAAATTATGATGGTTTTAAAATGATTTTTACTTTGCTACTTGGATGTGTTAGTTCAGTTTCATGAATATTTCACTTGGTTTTTGGTTTGGTTTACTCTTTACAACTCATATTGTATAATCACTAAACTATAATTTATTTCATGGAATAGTTAGCAACGGCGGTTCATAATAAAGCCTTAAAACATAGAACTATCAATGCCTTTTATCCGTGCTCACGAAATGTCAGTCACATCAGTCTGATACTTGGGTCATTTCATGATTTGTTTGTTTGTTTATCATTTCATGGTAATATGACAAAGTGGCCAGGTAAATATAAAATGAAATGACCTCACGATCAACAAATTGGAATACAATAAATAATATGTAATTTAAACATTTCGTTTGTCGTAATTTATTTATTCTTTTGTAAAATATTGTAATTAGGTATCATTAGCATCGACTTGTTAGTACGTGTATCATATATTGTTTTGTTGAAATATTTAGTGAGTACTTCGCGTTAATAATTTTGTATGAAGGGTCATGGTAGACTTAAACATGAATATCCATGATATGCGCTATCATTGTTTAGACGTGTTGTTTCACATGTTTATGTGTTACTTGACGTGTGATAAGCAAACAAAATGGTAGTGTAATATACATTTTGGGTCTTACTAGATTAAATGTTTATAGTTTTACATATTACATCATGTTTTTTGTCTATGTACCTCTTTTATTAATCCAAAATCTTCTTTAATGCCTCGTCAATGGTGTAACATGGACATTTAGTATTCAATATTAGGTAGTATAAATCTAGCAATTAAGTTGGGATATAATCGAAGTTTTTTAATAAATTCGTATTGGTACACTGCGAACGTTCCATATATATAGGTATGTATTGTTATGTTAAGTACACTCATTTGAGTCCAAAGGTACTCTACACTATTTAATTTATATTCATTGTTTTTGTAATTAAAATCGCCTCTATGTGACTTCTTTTGTATTGTATATGACAGTATATTTATTATTTAAAACTATATTTAGTCATAAACAAAGCGATCCCCATTCCACTACAAAATGGCGGCTGACGTCGGCCATTTTGTTTTCTTGTTTTGAAAACTCTTGTTGTTGTCGTGGAACGGGGCCTATTCTCTCATTTATATTTAAATGTTAATAACATTTAAGTTGTTGTAAATATTATTCTGTTTCGTTTGAATAAATTTTATATTTTAATTTTATTTTTGTTTGTTTCCTTTCACACTATTTTATTGATACTATTGTTGCTATTACTATAGTTTTCAATTATCATTAGTAATAAGCAGCTTCTGGTACATTAATTGAACTAAGGTAGCTTACACACGTGCGTCATTCCCATCGTAGGTGTGTACGTGCTCTTAGATTGTAATTGTATGTCGAATAAGGTGAAATTACACAATTACTGTATGCAAACTATATTGATATTGTCTAAGATACATTCGCCTTAATATTAGGCTTAACAGTTTTTGGTATTTTCGTAGTTAATACATGCGACATCTTCAAGGGGTTGAGTCATACAAAAATTTCTTTACGTCGCTCCCTGTAGAGGTAATCTCGCGACAGTTGACATTTTCATATATTTTACTATAAAATAATGATTGAGGTTTGAGTCTGAATCAATCAAATAATATCCTGATAATTATTTCTTCGAGTATAGAAAATCTTTGTAAATGAATCTATATTTTTAGTAATTTTTATCGCTGTGTTAAACATAATGTTTCAAAGTGTGGGATCTTAAATATTATGCAAGTCGTCTTTTCTTGTTTTTAGATTGTAAACTTTGATGTTTTATTAATAAGGTTTCCTTTCAGATGCATTATGAAGGCAATTAAAAGCATGTAATAAGCTGGCCTACCAAGAATTAACCTCGAACGCGGTTCGAAAGGATGTCAACCTGATATGATATATTCACCCGAAATTTATAGTTTAGTACATATTATTATAATTATGGACGATCTCATTTGAAAAGAGTAGAGAAGAATTTCTTGTCTGTTCTCTGTTCAAATTGCATTCCAAACTGACGGTAGATTGCACTAAATATAAGTCTGTAATAGATCTACATGAATATTCTATTTTCTTTATATTAGACTAGATTTTAGAATTTGATATGTTGCTAGGAATAGAGATACTAACAATCCGTTCGAGAATTTGTCCTGGAAAACTTATTTGCTCAATCATGTCACGATATCCGCCATTTATTTAAACAACAGGTGTAAATACTGGAGAATTTGAATATCATTTCAGTACCTACGCAATAATTTTAGCTACAAAATTTATCGCGCCATTTTTATTGTTTATGCTTTCATTAAGTTCAAGGTGTGGCATAGTTAGTCAAAAACACTTTACACACAATAATTGTTTTCTTTTGCGTAAAGAATGCGCGTGTGTGTGTGCACATTCCATTTTTTGTTATCTTAGTGTTAGTTCCATGTTTTTTGTCATAATTTACCCCTATTTTTCATGTGATTAAGTAGGTAATAAATGATTTGTAAATTAAGACTGTTAAAAATGTTTTTATTTTTATTCTGAGAATATGACATCATGTTCTATGTAGAAAATATGACGTACCTTTTCTGTAACTATAACTATTTTGTGGACAAAATAGTTGTACTTCTGTTTGTATAGAAGTTGTGTATTAATTTGTACATCATTGCTAGTTGTATAAAATACATACTTTTGTACAAATGCACACAGATTTCGTTATGTTTTATCATGATTCCTATATATCAACTAATATAAGCCCGTGGCAGTACCTACATTTGAATAGACCAAGATGTCGCATGTATATTACAGTCTAGTGTTAATGTTTTCTATTAATAACCATAAGTAACCATAGCAACGGCAGTTCAATACATTGTATCAGCACAGTGATATTCGTTTCAATGTAAAATAAAGTGTTAATAATAATATTGTTGTATTTATTTCAAATTATACCTTACAATTTATATGTTACTAGCTGTGTCCGCGGTTTCACCTGCTAAAACCACGGGCACAGCTAATGCGTAACCCTTTCCACTCCAAGCCTTTTTTTTTATTCCACCCGCTCCACGCTAAAATTGCGTTTTTTAAGTTTTAGGCGTTTTTTCGTATTTTGTAAATAAAATTGATTTTTTCTTATATGATAAACTTTGAGTAATTACAGGATACTATATTATAATTCTTAATTCTAATCTCGATAATCCCTTTTGGTATGGTATTTTTCAAAACAATTCCAGGAATGAAGCGAAGGGTTTTGCTTCACATGTTTTGCAAAAATAGCATGTTTCTTTTCTCAAATTTTTATTATATATAATAAATGTAGAGAAAATAGAAATTATAAATAATCTATTTAACGATTCATTGCACAAATACAAGCACGATAATACACAGAAATAAATTGTTTACGACGCGGTGCGTATCACAATGCAATAACAACTATAGCAGAATTATTATAACAGTGCAATTGGTGACAGTTGTAGAAATCAGAGCTGATGCCACATTTCGTAGTAAGTGTGAGATGGCTTCATCAAAAATTTTGGTAGAAAAGTCCCACCTTTTTTTAAATTGTCCGCAAGAAGAAGTATTATACTATGTCGAGTGTCACTCGACAGTGGAGCTGGTGGAACAAAATCAATGTCGAGTGAGACTCGACATTGGAGTGGAAAGGATTCAACAAATATTACATTTAATATTACTAAATGGCTTCTTACATTCTTTCCTTTCAATCCTTTGCTACTCCTTTGTTACTCTTATAAATTCCATCCAGGTGAGTTCTACCTGTCTCCTCGAAGACTTTATTCAAAGGAGACGCATCTACCGGTACTCTATTTTTCTTGAAGTTACGTGATTGGTAGTTTTTTATTTTTGATACACCGTTATCCAAAGACTGTTGGTTCATGATTCTATCTCTAATGCTGTTAAAGAGCTCCAGGATTCGCTCGCTTAATTTAACTTCTCCTTGCACTTTAATTGCGAATTGTCGCGATGACGGAAATTCTAAAATATGTATGTATTTTCTATTACTTAGTATGGACTATGTGTCAAGTTACTTTAAAATGCGTCCAGGCGTGTAGGCATGACCTCAGTCACGTTACTCATAATGTATCTACATAAAATAAATTGTCATAAATTGATATTATTAAGAAATGGGATTGGATATGCCGAGTGTATGGTTTTATTGAAGAAAACTTTGTGCTATTATCTATACTTTGTACAAAATCGTCTGAAAAGTGGATACCCTGATACAAGTATCTCTTTATTAATAAGATATCATGAACTAACATTTTTTTTTTAAAACTTGATAATTTGTAAACTTACAAGATAGAGCAATAAACATTATTAAAAGCATTTTGTTGTGTCTATTCTCAAAATGTACAATATGTTCTTACATATATACTCGCACGCACGTAGTTATATCAATACCTACGTATAATCATAAATATATACCTACAGTAGGTACATACTTAACGAATGAGATGATGAATAATTAAATTGCTTGTTTTAATTATCAATAAAATTAATAATTGGTTATAAATGTTATTATTTTAATTAGAAAGTATTGGATAGGTACCGTAAAAAAGGCGTATTACTACATCGATGGTACCTACTTATTGTTTATTGTTTATCATGATTTCATACACCGGGTACGTTTGAGATAAACTGTAAAAAGTCGTTTGCGGTCTTTCCCTCAGTCTCTCTTATTCATCCGCCAAACACCTTTTTTATAGGCAGTGTTATCTTCACTATCTGGAGTAGTAACTTATAAGTGCTTATCCTTAGTAGGTAGGTACTGTGCAGACCATATAATTGAACATTAGATAATATTATTTCACTGTTTAATCGTAGTCTACAACCGAACCACAGCATCAAACATTCGAATTAAAACACACTTTAATTAAAAAAGGTGGAAATTAATTGCGTAAAATTTCATTCTTAAATATTATAAGTAGACGTATCTATCTATATATACGTAGGTACTTATTTAGAACATTACCTAAATAAAAATAGAATAGGATTACAGAATACAGATGTAACAATGAACATTATCATACGATCTCTCTAAGAAATCACATTGAGCATCTACCTACGTAGAGACATGCCTTGTTATTAGAGCAGTATGAGGATGGAATCACAGAGTACTACAAATGTACAGAACGAAAAATTTTTCTACGAATACTTATTCTGAATTGTTTTGGCAAACAAGCTAAAGGCCCAATTGATGGCAAGTGGCGACTATACACATAAAAAACGTATACATAATTTTTACGTATCACTGGTACTTCTTTAATTTTGGCGGAAATGGATTTTTTGTTGTCTGGTCGAGTTCCACGTAGTCTTGGAAACCATAATAGTTAATTCCATTTGTATTCGCCATGATGAACTAACTTCATGCTCATGCTTCTATTCTCCACTGCTGTGCCCTGTGCCCTGCTAGCGGATGCACCATTCCATAATATTTATAGTAGAAAGAATGGATTTGTTTGTGTATAGTCTGTGTGAATGCACAAAAACAATATTGTATGTTATGTGTTACATTAACCAACATGCACATATAGTATCTATTGGATACACTATTGTATTGGGCTTAGGCCTATAATAATAGTTGTGTAAATAGATAAATAAATTATTATCAGTTAAAAAAAATGTTAATTGTATTACCTACCATTTATTTATATACCTATCATAATAAAACCTCATCTCAAAGGTCATCTCAGTTCTTGTATTATGCGCCTTCCGTGTACGAATATAGACGGGATTGTAGAAAGTTTTCTGATAATGCATCGCGGAGCTGATATTTCTTTCAGTACACCACATATATACCTACCTGGCATAATAAGTTTCGGGTTCAGAGGTGATTCGTTGCGTTATTCATGTCACAGTGAGTAATGGGAGCGATACAGTTTAAACAACAATTTTTACGCACTACATCATTATTATATATAAGTACTTTCCAGATATGGGCATATTTGCTTGTAACTTGATGGAGTTTCGTAGGATGGCAGTAGATTATTTATGTAGTATGTAAAATATATATATTTTTTTTATTTTTTTTTCTTGTATAATTAGTGTGTATGTATTAATAACTTGTGTTTATAAGTGTATCTATATGTATACACTCTATCCTGAGGAGATGGAAACCATTGCTCCTAAGAATGTCCTTTAATTCTTGTTCCTTACTGGCCTAGGCAACAGACTAAAAAAGCTTTTTTTTGCACTGAGTAACAGACCAAACCCCAATAAAATATATTCCATGTAGAAAAAACATGGTGTGTATTATACATGAAGGCGATTCGATTGATATTTTTCTTATTGGCAGATAATAAATTGTCCCCGTGCTGTGCTAACGTTATAGGCTGGTGGGCCTCCAATGATGAATTCACCAGATATTAACTATGAGGATTTCCAAGAGGACAGCATAGAGGTCCACTTGTCATGGTACCAATAGTGATGCGGGGCGGATTTTAGCGAGAGGGGGAGTGGATTGTTACTAATGGACATTATTGGCCCTATTGCTAGTAATATATATACCATGTCAGGTTGACCTCCCCCTGATACTTCCTCTATAAAAATATTTTGATTAATTCTTATGGAAATTGATACGATGACTGACTTCATGCTCTTCTTTCTATCTATGATTCTCCACTGGTTCCCTCTGCCAGTGTATACAGTTCTTTATATAATTTTGATTCAAAAATTGTTTAATTCCATTAGAATGGTAATTAATATTTACCATATGTATTTACCACTCTTAGTCTTCTTTCTGCTGCGATTTGTTAAGCATGTACCGGTCCATCATCCATACAAAATAAATAGTTGTTTTGTAAACTATTGGTAATTGTATATCCTATAAGATCACTTCCACGCACAAGCATTGACCGTTTATTGGTCACAATGGGCTGGATGATCTGACTTCATTCTCCACTTTTTTTTAATATAAAATGTTGCAGAACCTTTGAGGCATGTAAACTTCCATGCTAAAATACAGACTTCTGGAGAACTGGTGCATGTACTAGGTATCCGAAGAACCTGTGTCATGGGTCACCAGGTCCCCCCACTAGATCTTACGTGCTAAAATTTCTATGTAAATTTAGAAGAAGGATACGGCTACTATATTCACCACTGGCATCGACGTGTACCTACAGGCGGCTGCACCATTCTACCTGTATATGCATAATTTTTTTTCCTAATAATGATTTTCATTGAATTATATACCAAAATACTTGAAATTGGGTCTGTTATTCCATACGTATTATATACCTAATCAATAATCAGACGTTTTCGTCAAAGGTTCAAAATGTTAGTTGATCGGTAACTTGCATAAATACATACAAATGTATTTTAACAACGTGAACTGTGGTAATTGTAATACTGTATTCTTAGTATCCGGTGGACTTCCATGACCGTGGCAGTAAAAAAATTGCATTTTCATAACCTTCCGAATATTACAAATATATATATTAAAAATATATATACATAATTAGACATATATTACGCTGTAAAATATTGACAAAATGCATCAAGAAAGCGAATTAGCCTCGAAAATTGAGACAAACAAATTTGAGTCGTCTTTGCGTGAGTTGCAGAAGAAAACGTTTGTGTCTGTGGCCGATATTGCCAGTTATGGTAAATATAATTACAATTCGTAATATTATCTTATCTGTGTTATTAGAAACTACTGGTCCGCCCTGTCTTGTTGTTGCCTATAATTTTGCTTAAGTTTTCTGTGAATTTTCGGAATTTTTAATTCTGTAGTTCTACAAATGATTAGAAAACATTATAAAAAAAGAGATGAATAATATCAGCCGTAGCTTTAGTTATAAACATTTGTTCTCCGTTTGATTCCCTGTTCAGGGAACGATTATAGGAACCGGAACTTTTAAAAATTGCTTCGATTGCTTCTGCACTTAAGTACATTGAAAGTAAAATTTTATTTATTTAGTTTTATAGGTTTATCGAAAACGGTATGAAAGTCTGGCCGCGCCAAATTTAAGCAATAGTACTCATAATACTCCTTACGTTCCCATGTTTACTATAAATACACAACAATAAAACAAAAAAATATTTTAATGTTTAAATACAAATAGCATCGTTACAAAGTCAATTTAGTATGAAATGTAGGTTTTAGTATAGATATAGATACAGATAAAACCTATTGTTCTTCTTCATACCAACATATACACCCACTGACCGATCCGCCGCTAAATAATAATTCATAACTTAGGAGAAAGCGAAGTCACTGAAGAATATAAAAAAGCTTACCGGCGCTCCCTCGACGACCCGGAAGGTTTCTGGGGGGAAATCGGACAAGAATTGGAATGGACGAAGCCCTGGGACCGTGTTTTGGACAACACAAATCCTCCTTTCACCAAATGGTAAGATATATGACTTTTTATTTTTTTTTTCTGCCAGGTTTTAAGTTCTTTTTTTGTTATTTATTTATACTAATGGACTATATTATAAATACCTTATAGATATATACATAAAAAAAATATAAATATAAAGAGTCCGTGACCTCGGCACTGACGACGGCAATCTGCCATGGTAGCGCCGTTACACAATCCTTTCGCATAGTAGACCTCCTTCCTGAAGGTGAATAAATAATAATACATGTGTGTTTATACCGTGAGAGGAGAGATGGACTCTGTAACGATAAGAAGTAAACCGCTAAACAACCGAAGATATAATTTTTTTATTATTTTTTTACACATCTAAAGGTGGGTGGGTGGAGAGATGTCAGTATGCCACAACGCAGTAGATCGTCATGTGGCGAATGGACGTGGAGACAATATAGCACTTGTCCATGACTCGCCCCTCACAGACACCGTGCGAAGAATAACATATACGGAACTCCAGGATCAGGTGAATTCTTATGAAGATTTTGTCAACTTCGTACTTTAGGAAACCATACCATTTTATATGCAGTGGGTGTTCCGTATTCCGAACCTCCTTAGTGTAAGTAAGTTGTATCACCGGCTTGCTTACTGGAGCAAAAGGCGCTCGGTAATACTGGCCACATATAAAAACATGTGGCCACTTAAATTTCGAAAAAAGAATAATAAAAACAATTGAAAATAAGAACTGGAATTAAAAGGACGCTCCGTATTTTTATATATATAAAACAAGATAATTAATTATTTATTTAACACAGTATAATTGTTTTTGATGAAAATATACACTGTAGAGTGCGTGGCCACTAAACAGTACTACACATCGGGACGTTCCTGAGCAAAGGTGAGTAAGTTGGTGTTACATTGCTTACTTGGGGGTGTTCGGAGTGTGGAAGACGTTCTTCCAGGTCGAAATCGTATTTCTACTTCCTTTTCCATTAATTATTTTCTTTTCAATAAATACAGTCCACTCTCTCTTTTATATATTAATTTATAAGGATTCGTAATCCAACAGTGGGACACAATTCAAAACATACAGTCATATGTATGAGGTTGTTGTGAGAACATTTATGTTATCTTATTCTATGAGCTTGATTTATACGCTGTATTCTTGTGAGAAAGGTGAGATACTGTAGTGAAATTGTAGGATATTTAGCGTGACAATGAATCTTAGGAAAGGCAACACGTTCACAAAACAAATTTCGCAGTTTTATTCGCGTATATAGCATATAGCCCATCTGATGGTAAATGGTTACCATTACTAATTCATTAGAGTTAGAATATTAAAAACACACTTAAGTTGTTAAGTAACGAAATGAGATAAGATCAGTCGTAGTGATCAGAGCAGACAAGCAGCACTCGTTCATGAGTATGACCGATGAGCCAAACATCACTCGACCTTATTTTAAGAAGCCTAATGAACATGATTATTTCGCTCTATTTTATAATGTTAATGCAATCCAGGTGTCGCGTATAGCAGGCAAGTTGGCATCACTTGGAGTCACTCGGGGCTCCCGCGTGCTTATTTACATGCCTTTAATCCCAGAAGCCATTATTGCAATGCTGGCCACTAACAGAATTGGCGCCATACACTCTGTTGTCTTTGGTGGTACGTATTTTTTTATAGACATGAAATCAAACCAAAATGTCTTTTTACCTATTCTAGTAGGTCTATTATAGAGACTTTTGTTAAGAGAAAACTACATTCTGAAAGGAGGTCGAGCCAAAAATTTATAAGAAACTTAGGCCTTAGATGTAAAATGCATTTCAAGATAGTACATCTTGAAATGCATTTTACATCATTATTAAAACTTAGTTTTATGATGAATGCAGTAACCATTAGCATATGGTATTAAATAATTTATTATTTAATATTATATTTATTATATTTATTTCTATATATTTAAACATATTTATGCTTAATTTGTTTCCGTTTGTACTTTATATTTTTTTGGACAATAGATCAATATCTGAAGTCTTAATAAATTAAAAACATTCAGATTTAGAGTAAGCGTAGACTAGGCTGTATGGTCTAAGGATCTTTGCCTGTTCCATCACTAAAAGGAGATGGACGAATATGGGGAAAAAAAATTAATAGGAAAAAGTTGCAGTTACGTGACACAGGGATGAAGCACTATGGAAATCTATATGACAGATGATAGATGCAGTTTTGAATACTGAAATAGAAATATGAACTGTAAAAATATTCTTCTCAGGTTTCGCAGCACGGGAGCTAATGACAAGAATAGAGCATGCTGAACCCACGGTAATAATTGCAGCCAGCTGCGGTGTGGAGCCCAACAAAATCGTTAGGTTTGAAAAACAAATATTTTTTATTATAATATAAATTAATAATGAATTAATTCCTAATTAGTCAAAATGTTTGCACCGTGCGTGGAATTGAACTTGCGACCATCGAAAGTAAAGCGGTGTGTTAAACCACCTGACCACCGAGGCCGTCATGCTACCGCTAGACCACTGAGACTGGAAAAAAACTATAATCTGCATTACTAGTCAATTATATAATGTAGGAGACAGTTATGACTTACTATCAGGATGATCTTAGGGTTATTTGCCATTTGTTTTACATAAAAAATGCAATAGAAAATAATATTATGTTGATTCGTTCGTAAATGACTACATAAATCAATTAATATTATTGATATTTAGTATGTTTATTATTGTTTAATTGTCGGTCCATTCAGATATAAAGATATTCTCGATGAAGCCCTCTGTCAAAGTTCTCATCAACCACGTCGCTGCATCATTTATCAACGGAGGCGGGTACTTGAGTGCACTCTGGAAACAGGAAGAGACATCTCCTGGCAGGAAGCACTAGAAACAGACCCAGTTCCATGTGTTTCCGTGGAAGCTAACGAGCCACTTTACATATTATATACATCGGGTAAGTAAATTAGTCTTATCTTATTAATATTATATATGCGAAAGTTTGTGATTATAGTATAGTATGTAATATAAATAAAAAAAAACACACCTATTCAAACAATCTTATTCACGAATACAAATGTTTGTACCCTGCTAGGAATCGGACCTGTGACCATCGGAAACAAATTAAGGTATGCAACTCGTGTACACAATAAGATATATACAACCAGTAAATGGCACCATTAGATGGCGCTGGTGTCTATCCAAAGACTACAAAATAACGGCTAGATAATTGTTATCTAATTTTAGTTTAGATTAAATTTAATGGAGCCATAAAGTTGTCTCAATTCGCCAGTTTTCGCATGTGATCTAAATTTGTAAGAACATTTTTTACAACAAACTGCCTAAAAAAAGATGCAGACAAATGTCGTATAAAACACTTTCTTATTTGTAAAAAAGCTTATTATAAGATTGAAGAGATTGAAAATGACAAAAATGTAAAAAAAAAATTAAAATTCATATGCTGATAATATTACTTGAATGAGTCAGTAGCGGTTGCTATGTTGTTTATCGCATGCCTTCTACTTGTTACTGTGTTATTTTATTTTTTTAATTAATAATACCATTTATTAAAAAGAGAAACACGAACGTCTCTTGCTCGTTCTTCTTATGATCGGACTGCGTTCGGAATTAGTAGTAGAATAAAAAAATTATGACTATATCCAAAAGTACTTATATTGAGTTTATTTGAATAAAGATTATTTCTATTTCTATTTTATAAATAAAATACACTTTCCCATTCTATTATTTTGAATATATCTATATATTTTATTACGTTCTAAATCATTATGCACTGTAATGTTTATTTAATGTAATTAATATGTACAATTATTTATTTTGATCAACCATAGAGTAATAAAGTAATAGATCGCAAGTGGGCTAGACTAACTAAATACGTTATACAAACTATTTCAAAGTAACTAGTTTTGAATTGGAACAATGACCCTATAGAGCGGTGTAGATGTTTAATATTCCACTATCGAATTGAAATTTCAAATACAATGTAATTCTAATTAACGTACATTCAAATGATGTATGATCACGTGAGAGCAACGTGATCATTATTATGTGACTATTATGTAATACTGTAATAGTTTTAATATTTTTTTATATTGTCTTCAAAATTAGTAGAAAATCCAATCCAGCAAAAGAAATCGGTTGAGCGTGTGCCGACAACACAACCGATTTCTTTTGCTATTTTTAATTAAGTATCCTTTAAAATTATTTGATTGTCAGCAATAAATTATTTTTATTCTTAATACAAGCTGTGCCTTCGTCCGCGATGAATTAAAATAAGTAAAATTTAATTTAATTTAAATGAAAGTAGCTAAGTTAACGGTTCAAATGAGTGGACAGAAGTACCCGTGCAGTCGAGTTTGCACGAAATTTCTTTCAATATTAGTTCAAATCCAATTTAAAGTTACTAGTCATTTTTATTATTTATTAATATACTATATAGTTGATAACCGCGACTTCGTCGAGGAATATACCTCCTTTTTAAAATTAAAATAAATAACATTTCTAAAATAAAGGTACCCTAAGTTACTCCTTATAACATTAGCTATATATCTGCGAGTATGAGTCCCATCAAAATCGGTCCCGCATTAGCATGAACAAAAAGACAGACACATAGATTTCTTTAAAAATAGTTTTTAATTATTTTTTATTGATGTACTATATATACTTTTATATGTATTAATTTGTATTCACACATTTCAACTTAAAATGCAAACTTATAACAATTATTTAAAAGAGCAATAAGCAAGTATTTTTTCGTTCTTCTTATGATGATATAGATTTTCGAGTGAGCGGTAGATTAAAAAAATAAATATGACTGTTCAAAAATGCTTAAATTTAAGTGTTATGGAATAAAAAATATATTATTCTATTGTATTTTGGCATATCGGTCTGTTTATAGACCTTTTAATTTTATACGTCCTTACTAATATTATAAATGTGAACGTTTGTTACGCTTTCACCGATCATCATGAAATTTTGTACACATGTTCTTGGAGGTATTAGAATATATATTACTTTTTATTAAAAAAAATATATATTTTTACTAAAAAACAAAAATATAAAATATCAACATTTTGCTACTTCAGCGCAGCAGGTAATGAATTTATTTAATGGATTCAATGCAAGCGAAGCCGCGAGTAAAAGCTAGTTTATATATATTTTTGATTATGTTTAGGCACAACTGCTGATCCAAAAGGCGTCCAAAGGCCCTGCGGTCACGCCGCTGTAGTTTGCTGGTCAATGCATGCTATATACGGATTGAATCGAGGCGTCTGGTGGGCGGCGTCAGATCTGGGATGGGTTGTTGGTCATTCCTACATCTGCTACGGACCGTTACTGGCTGGGTTAACTTCTGTGTTGTATGAAGGCAAGCCGGATAGAACTCCGGACCCTGGGCAGTATTTCAGGTAATTAATTTATACTTAATATCTACTATATTGTCTACCACAGTGGTTCCTTTCAAATGAATCGATTCCAAAATGACCCGCCAATTTCTGGAACGATTTTGGCGGGGCTAGAAATAAATGCTTTATATTTTATTTAAGTTGAGATGACCGAAGTGATTTTTTTTGCTCCTTGTTCCTGACGCAGTACAGAATCAAGCTATGTCCATCACCCAATCATTAATAATAATCATATCAAGGTAGAATAATATATGAGTATGGTTTCAGGATTATAGAACAGCACCGTGTGAATGCCTTATTCACCATACCGACAGCATTCCGTGTATTGAAACGGGCTGATCCAGCTGCAAAGTTTGCCAGAAGATATTGTGGAAAATCGCTAAAGACTGTGTTCGTAGCTGGTGAACATTGTGACCAGGATACGAGGGTAAGTTTAGCTAAGTCTACTATATATCTACTATACAGCGGTAGATTTAAAAAAATGTTGACTATTCAAAAGTGCTTAAATGAAGTTTATTTGAATAAATGATTTTCTATTCTATTCTATTATATATATTAGTTACAGTCTTTTTTTACGTATGTAAAAATCTTCAAAAGACCGTCCCCCGCTGAAGGGGTGACTAGGGGTGTGTGGATTTTTACCCACTAAAAAACCTCACGTTGTATCTATGAGCGTCATAAAAATCATACTGTTTAGTGTTTACTACGACTGTCATTCTACCACGGCTCCGGCGGCGTTAATATGAAATCTTATATTTAATTCCACAGATTTTTAATTCCAAAGACACGTTTAAGTCTTATAAATTATCAATAACTCTACAATTATGTCTTTGCTCCGTAGTCAGATGTCCGCCATTTTGCAATGACAATTAGTTATTACAAAAAGGCGCTAAAGCACGCATGATTGAAAGACGCGGGAATGTGCGAACTATCGGCGCGCGCGGTCTTTCTCTTTCTCATGGTCTGCATTTACGTTCATATTCTATCCTCCATGAAAGCCTATTCGTACTTGAAATAGAGTACGTGTAAAGTCTTTGACATTTTTATTTCACTAATGTAAGTTCATAAGTGCAGTGTCTCAAGACGAAGGTTTACGACCAATGTGTGTTGCCAGTGATGACTTAAGGCACAGAGACGTGGTCGCTAACTATGGGCCTCATGAACAAGCTCGGAGTCAGAGGGCAATGGAGAGGGCTATGATCGGAGTTTCTCTGCGTGATCATAAATGAGGAGATCCGCAAAAGAACCAGAGTGACCGATATAGCCCGAAGAATTGCGATACTGAAGTGGCAATGGGCAGGGCACATAGCTCGTAGGACAGATGGCCGTTGGGGCAATAAAGTCCTCGAGTGGCGACCACGGACCGGACGCAACGTGGGAAGGCCTCCAGCAAGGTGGACCGACGATCTGGTCAAGATCGCTGGAAGGCATTGGATGCGAGCAGCGCAGGACCGATCGTCATGGAGATCTTTGGGGGAGGCTTATGTCCAGCAGTGGACGTCTTCCGGGCTGCGATGATGATGATGATGATGAAGTTCATAAAACTCTACATAGTGGAATTAATAATGTTTATTTTACAGCAATGGGCTGAAAGAGTATTTGGCGTCCCGATATTAAACCACTGGTGGCAGACTGAGACGGGTTCGGCCATCACTGCTGCGTGTATCGGTTATGGAGTTAAATTTGTACCTCCACATTCTGCGGGTTATCCCATCCCTGGATATGATAGTAAGGATATAATAAAATTAGACGATCTTGCGATTCAGCACTAGCATAACTTTTTTCTTTTTATACCGATTGGAATAAAACAAACACAAAATTTCGAAAATCCATTAGGCTGGTTGTGAGATTAACGCACTCAAATGCACACACATTGTCATTTAAAGATGCTCCTACGCTTCGAATAAAGGGTGAGATATGGTAGTAATTGCAGGATATCGAGCAAAATATTTTAGTCTCCCGATAATTTGGCAGTCGGTAGTGCTGGCCTGTATGGGCTGTCTATAGGTGTTAGCTTGATTGCCATTCCAGTCAAGTACATAGAAAAGTGATTTGTAAGCGTATATATTTAAGTCTCTAAATGATTGTCTGCAAGTTCCAAACAATTGATGAAAGCATATTAGAGAAACAAGATAGTCGGTTGAAATTTGTAAATTTAATGTTCTCGTAAAAAGTATGCTAATAGTTGGTACCGATTACATAGTCATTGTGCACACCACATTCCTCGCAATTGAACGTTTCATTTTAATTATTTTTCTTTTCTTTTCTTTTCTTTTCTTTCCTTCCTTTTCTTCCTTTCCTTTCCTTTCCTTTCATTTTATCCTAATTAATTTTATATAACGGTTGTTTACGAGTCTCTTAAACAAAAAAATAAGTTGTTACTACAACTTATTTTACTGTATATAATTACAAATCTTCAATAGAATATACATCAGTGAAATTTACATTCTTCTTCTTTGCGTTAGTTCGTACACTCAGAGAAGATGGTGAAGAATGTGAAGTGGGAGAAGTTGGTAGATTAGCTGCGAAACTACCGCTGCCACCAGGATTTGCCTCAACACTATGGCAAGCTGATGAACGGTTCAAGAAAACATATTTTGAAGCTTATCCGGTGAGACAAATAATTCTGCATAAACTAAATAGAGATATTATCATTGTATGATAAAGTTAAAAAGTAAATCTAGATAATACATTATGTATAATATTCATAATATGACATAAACATTTGAAAATGTCTCTGACTACCTCATCTGGTATACAGTCGTGATGTTATTATTATTACTTGTAGGCCACAACACTTTTTAATGGTTGATAATAGAATGGTGCACCCGTCTGCGCTAACGGTATACGCTGGCGGAGCACCAGTTGATGATGATAAGATGAACATGAGGAAAGGTCAGTTAACCATCGGGATAAATTCACTAGAAATTTATCAGGATGGTTTCTCGGGGGTACAGAGTGGATGTCAACCTGATATGGTACTTCGCTAGCTATGGAGTTACTAACAATCCTATTCCCTCAATCTATGTTATTTGTAATATATATTAATATCAATAATGTTTGCTAAATAAATGTATATTATTATTAAATATTTCAAAGGGTTATTACGATACCCAAGACGCAGGCTGGATAAGCGCTGATGGGGCGGTGTGGGTCGTGGCCCGAGCTGATGATGTAATAAACGTCGCTGGTCACCGGCTCTCCACCGCTGCCCTTGAGGATGTGGTACTTAAACATGCGAGGGTGGCTGATGCAGTGGTTGTCGGAGCTCCAGACCCCACAAAAGGAGATGTACCACTTTGCTTGTATGTGATGAGACCTCCTCAAGATGGTACGTATAGTGTTCTTGTTTTGAAGAATGGTTACAGCTACAGTAATTTGATTAGTGTTGGTATTTATCAATTTTAGAAGTCGTAAATATACATTCTTTAACATGTTAAAAAATTAATTTGAGAAATCAATGAGATACAGGATTTGTATTAAAATTGATAATTTATTTTTAAAAAAGTTGTAGTATATTGCTATCTATGTCATCAAATGGCTTAAAAAATTCAATAATTAGTTAGAATAATAATAACAGTGAACAATACACATAGCGACATCTATTATTCCAAAATTAAGCAGAGCTTGTGTTATGGGTACTAGACAACTGATATAAGTACTTTTTTTTTGTAAATACTTACTTAATATGCACCCAGACGATTACAAACATACGTATATATACGTGAATACAAATGTTAGCTCCGAGCGAGGATTGAACCTGCGACAACCGGCGGTAAGACGTTATGCTAAACCGCTAGATCAACGAAGCCGATAAAGTGATGAGGATGAAGTCTCGATAATTTAAGATAGCAGTTTTATTTCAGTTTGATATATTGTTAAAAATAAAAACAACAGTCCTTATAACAATAGGAACTTAAAAAGTGTTTATGTAATAATAATTTTCGTAACACTTCCCTTAAACAAACTTACTATGTATCTTTAATCAGCAACAATTAATGTAATTAACATAATTATCTTTCAAACAGATGAAGAAATAGTGGCAGAAAGTACAGTAACGCAAGAATTAATAGCTCTGGTTCGCCATCTCATCGGTCCTATTGCAGCTTTTAGAAAAGCAGTTGCTGTACCTGCATTACCTCGGACTCGATCGGGAAAGGCTCTCAGAGGAGCCATTGCTAAACTAGCCAGATCTCAGCTAGTGAAACTACCCGCTACGATTGAAGATTCCAGCGTGTTCGCGGAAATAAAGATCGCATTGCAAAAATTTGGTTACGCCATCGATGCACCTGACCCTGAAGTGTGAATGATGATGAAAATCAAGGCAGATTAAAAAGAATCTTTAAGATCCTACATATAGTATCTTTATAGTTATATAGTTGATCTTGAACGTAATTAGATTAAGTTAATATTAATTAGATGAGTAACCTACTCAATAAATTGGTTTTATATTTACATATATTTAATACAGTATACAATAGTCAGAGCTTCATTCTCTAATACAGTTGCAAATAATAGATTGTGATATGGTCCATATATACCTAATTGCAGTACCTACAATTGTCTACCTTAGAAAGTGGAGCCAAATTTATCTAACTCATAATGGTGAATATATAATAATTTAAATTGATTTATTATGGGTATTTCATCATTACGCAAAAATGATTTTTAAATATTCAAATGAGAATTGTTAGCAACCGACCGACCGACGAATGAGAATAGTTACCTGAGGCGGGACATCAATATGTAACGGTTGCTAACAATTCTAGCAACCGTTACGTATTGAAGTCCCGCCTCAGGTATGTCCACAGATTAGACAAACTATAGATGGAATGCTGTCTATAAAACGTCATTTCAGTAATGGTTTCACGTTTTTTCCAGGGCCCCAAAATAAAAAATAAAGACAAACTAGAGTGATTGATCTGAGATCAGTGGCGTAGCTAGGCTAGGCAGGGCAGTGCCCCGGGGCCGTCAAGCTCAGGGGTCCCTCGAACCCTTACCAGAAAATCTCGATCGACGGAACTTTTGAAAATTTCTTCCATTTTCAAAATAAACATGACAGGTTGCAACCCCACTTTAATCATGGCAACTCAGTTGAGAGAAATTCGAAAGTTATACATTCGGAATTCCCCTAAATTCTTTCTTGTTTTTGGTTACTCTACGTTAATGGTATACCGATAGTGATGCGCTTGTAACGGATAGAAGGATGAGAATAAATTGAGATCACTTATCCTCTCATCTGCGAAGGAGCCAATTACTGGAGTCAGCCACTATAGCTCCATCTGTGGAGTGTCCTCCATTAAGTTTTGATAACTCTGTTTCAAAATTATTGGATGTTCCACAAAAACTCTCATCTGTGAGAAGTCCTGTATTGGTTTCACAGATGAAGCGTTAATGTCATTTTGACAGCTAACAATAATAATAACAAAAAGGTTATGTTGCTTGAGAGGGGTAGTTATATATTTTTTTCTTTCGTGATATTTTTCTTTTATCAAGGTCGTTAACAAAGAAATGACACGTATATTGTTTATTTAACAAGTTTTAATTTTTTTCTGAAAACGTGCTACTTTAGATGAATTTCTTCAGAAAGAAGAAGAGATGGCCTATATCTTTTTGGTGAATTCTGTAGTTCTCCTATACTTTCATCAAAATTTAACGCATACTATGATTTCGTTTTTTTATTTCAATGAAGTAGCTTAACCTTCTATCCTCTTTAAGAACCTATTGTAGATATTTATTATGTCATTTTGAAGTTTATACTTAATCTTATACTGGTATTTTGATGTTTGTTACATGTATAAATAATTTTAAGATTAAATAGGTACTTATTTAAAGTAAAGCTATGTAGGTATTTGTTCTTTTTTTTTACTTTAGGTAATATTATTAAAAAATCGATAAGTGATACTTATTTCTAAGTGCAAAGAGCAAGTGCTCTTTAAATGTTTTGTTTTATTGATATCTAAATAAAATATATAAAATTTATAATTATTTTTATTATTTCTTGAGTTTGTCTGAATAAGTAAAAAATGCATATATTTTTATTTATAAAACAAATTGAAATACATACATATTTTATTGTTTTTATAATACAATAGGGTTATTAATTCTAAATGAAAACTCTGATTATATAGGGTAGTTACCTACTTCATACATTAAAAAACAACATTCTAAAATCCGTTGCATAATTTAAAAAATATAAGCGAACCGATAGTGGAAGCGACTTCATTGTATTCTATGTAAAAAGATATATGATAAAATCATATACCATTATATTCTAGCATCACCAACTTTTTCCCGTTCCTCCTCTACCTAAAGGTAGGCTTATGTAATCTCTTCCTGTCTGGAATAATAAGCGACAATACCGCCTTTTGCTGGTACAATAAAGAGTATAAATAAGTAAATATCGAAACCATAGACACTGTCACACATTATATCCATGGCCAAAAATATAAGAACGTATCTGCTGTCATTGTCAACTTTTAATGTCAGTTATCGGTAATTGACATCTTGGTGACGCATCGTAGGGCAGGTCGTTCGCCTCAATTATTTTGTTATTGAGTTTTTGTAAATAAAATTCAACCTTATCCTATTAGTATAAATTTCCCAAAAAAAGATTAAATAAATATAATTTTACGAAGTAATTTTGTTGTCTTTATTATTATATAAGTCAAATAAAATTAAGTGAAAGTGTTGTGGGATAACCGGCACACATAGAAATTCAGAGTAAGTATTCTTTCGTATATTCTCAAGATTTCACCTCAATCAAGTAAAAATTTTTAGATATATGTGTGCTTAAATACAATCTACAAACATTGATTATTTCGTAATTTTGCATAATAGATATTTTATCTTATTACTTTATAATTGATTTTTAAAATGATGTTAATGAAATTATTGATAGCTTTTGAAAAACAAACTGCATTTAATACATTTACTTGGACGTGAGATCTTTCAACTCCTATCCTGGACTCCTCATTAGCTCCCAAGGCATCAAGTTTAAATTAAACACTTATTTGTATAGTGTTATCTTAATCAAATATCAACACAATAATAGATATAACACTGTTTTATCATAAAAGATAGTGTAAAATTATACAGCAACGTTAGTTGTATAACACTATTTGTTAACTCTGGCAGTATGGTAATATTTTGTTATAAAATTTTATTTATCTTCAATGAGTGTATGTGTAACATGAAAACATATTTTTATAAAAGATGATAATGTGTTTTATCTAAATTTATTTTGGGAAGGGATGATAATGGAATGTTGCAATCATCTGTGGTAACGGTATACACTGGTGGGGCACCAGTGGAGGATGATAAGATGTGTATGAGGTCAGGTTAGTTAGCCAATTGTGTCAAATTCACCAGGAATTTAAAATGATTTCCAGGGGGAACATGGAGGTATATTGCTAACAATTATGTTATTAATCTAAATTACTAACAATCCTATTCCCACTCATTAAAGCATAATTTTTATGTAATTGGAATAGTAAATAAGTTCATAGCCCACCTGATAAGTTGGCTATCAAATTGTGTTGTCTTAATTTACAATTGTAAGTGGTGCATATACACATACAGTACTAAAATACAAAATTAAAAAATAATTTATTCATGTAGCACATTTTAGCTGCTTATGAATGTATATTTTTTATATTATAATTTTTCCCTACCATCCTTCAGTATATATTCAATTGAGAAGAACTGGCAAGAAACTCAATTGAATTACTTATTTTCTTTTAAAAGCCAGTTTATTTACAATGTATATAGTGTACAATCTATGAGTAACATTAAATGAAAATGCCATGCATGAACAACTATTGCCAAGCACCCTCATCATTCACTATGACCATCACATCATTGTGCGAGGTCCATAATGCCTAGGTCCTACAGTGCAGAGCACCATAAAGTTTACAAACATAGACTTCATCACAATTTTAATATTTTATTATATGTAAAGTAGATTCCACCAAATTATTATGAATATGTCATCGTTCTTATTCTGTTATGTCTATATAATATTTCAATATATATATTAATTTCAATATTTTCCTGAACTTATTTATATCTACTTAGTTTCATAAGTTATATGTCAGATTAGTTAAAGAGTAGTGTATATATATTAATAACCTATTATATAGTATGTTAGGTCCTATTTCTTATTATTAGATTTGTATTTCTAAATTTATTACTAATCTTTTTGCTGTTTTGTTTTTTCTCTTTTGCTATGTCTCTGAAAACTTGTTATTGGCTTTCTCTAGAATACATTTCTAGTGTTGATTTATTGTATTGGAATCTTCTCAGCATACAATCTATCTTCACATAAATTTCCTAGTTATGAAAAGGTAACAAACAGATCAATATGCAGACGCGGATTGCTAGTATAATATAATAATACTATACTAGTGACCCGGCTATGTACACATTCTTTACAAATCTTTGAATTTCTCTAAAATTCTAAACATTTCTTGTTCTATACTATAACACACATATATTATACATATAAACCTTCCTCTTGAATCACTTTATCTATTGTTGAATACAGCATTAAAATCCGTTGCATAATTTAAAAGATATAACCAAACAGACAGTAGCGCTGACTTTTATACTATGTAAAGATATTACTAATACTTTTGTAATTAATGTAGTTTATTTCTGGAAATAGATGTGGAAAGCATCAACAGATGTGGCGCCACCTGCTCCGGCAGAGGCTGATGATTGGGAGACAGATCCCGACTTCATCAATGATGTTACAGAGCATGAGCAGCGATGGGGTCCAGGTGGAAGGAATGTGGAGGCCATTGAGTGAGTGGCAACAGTATAAAGATAGGATACAGGTTTTTTTATATGATTGGAATAGCAAAGAAGGTTACAGCTTATGGTAGACTACCTAACGGTGATGGTCTACCATCATATTTAGACTTGAATACTATCATATATATATAGATATCACTATGAGTTCCTCTCCACAATTAATTTCATAAAATAATTTTATGCTTCTATTATGTATTATCTATATTACATAAGTGTATATATTATAATAATTAACAAAGAAAACTTAATTAATGTGGACAATTGACACAGCACCATCTAGTCTCAACCTAAGCTGAGCTTGTGTTATGAGTACTAGGGAATTGATAGAAATATTCTCCAAAAATAATTGTTTTTTGTAATCTACATAATATACAAAGTAAACCAACCAGACCAATAAAAACGCATGAATAAAAAAGTTTACATTGTGCAAAGAATTGAACCGGCGACCATTGGAATTTGATGTGCTAAATTAAATAGTATAATATATATTAAATAACAGAAAATCTTAAGCAGTGTAACTTTCTTGTGGTATAAAATTTTCAGATTCATAACTAGAAATACGAAAAAAAAAATTATTGATGATATTTGGAATATAGCATCAGACTGCGCTACCGGTTTACACTGGCGTGGCACTAGTGGAGGATGATAATATGAGCGTGAGGTTAGACCAGTTAGCCCATCGTTGCAAATTCAAATTCACCATGTGGAATTTATCATGATATCCAAGGTGAACCGGGCAGAGGTCAACCTGATGTAGTATGTGGCAATGGGGTTATTAGCAAAGCCACATTAACAACAATCCCCCTTTCCTTTCACTATTAATAAACTTGAATTTATTTATTTATAAGAATATTTGTGCTTTATAGTATGGCGAAGTTGAGGGAGGAAGTTTTAGAAGCAGATAAATTGGATAAGCAGAAGAAATATGAACAAGGACCGAAGTCGTCATATGGGTAATATAATCTTTGATATTATACTCTAGTTTGACTCTAGTTGTTGAGTTGTCCATGAATACTATAAATTGAAACAGGACTCCTAAGTCTCATTACTAACAACTCCATCTACCCCGCATATCTCCATTTTTTTAATAGATCAAAATATAAGCTAGGATGGACCCAGTGGACGACGATAGGATGGATGAGTACGAAGTCGGATTAGTTAGTCCATTGTGGCGAATAGCCGCTTGAATATTGTTCCTATGAATGGTCCTGTTACAGGAGAACACATAAACTATTTATTTAAAAAAACTGATATAATTGTAATAAATGTGTATAATTCCCAAAATGGTCACAAAGAAGTAGTTAAAAGTGACATATAAAAACAGATATCAAAATAATACAATATTTACAAAAAGAATGGTGAACAAGCTGCTTGCAACTGTGCTCATTACTCACATACCACTCCCGCTCCACTACGTTTGCTATAAATTTTGTATTTACAGTTATGGCGGTAAATTCGGTGTACAAAGCGACCGAATGGACAGTTCAGCAGTGGGGCACGATTATATTGGCAAGACAGAGAAGCACGTCTCACAGAAGGACTATGCACAGGGTAAGTAAAATTAACATTATTTCTTTACAGTTTGCTTAAATTATTTAATTAACCTGTATATTTAATTACTTTGGAGTTGTCTATGACCTAACTAGAGGGACTCGTATTTGTGGTCAACAAAGTTAAGTCACAATATTTAAAAAAAGGACTAGGAGAACTATTATCTCGATTTGTGTTGCCTTTACATGTAGTGATATCGATTTTAACACAATTAATTTGGTATTTGTGAACCCTATCAGTGGCTTAGTGTGTTTTTTATTGATTTAATTATTAAATAATTATTAAAGGAAAACCAAGGCTAACTATACACATGTATAGTTAGCCTTGGTTTTCCTTTAATAATTAAATAAGAACTATTATAGAGTTTGAAGTGATCTGAACTTAGATAGAGCAGTCTAAGAAAGGCTAGTTTTAGGTGGTCAATTTCAGCTAAAATCAGTTACATCGAATACTTGCAAAACTAGACAAAAGGATTAATTGATATAAATCTATTTATTTACTGGCATTTATTGTTTACTATAGTGTAGTGAATGTAAACCATAATTTACAAACTTGGCAGAGTAGATCAATAAAAATTGAGTCTTATAAGTTATACAATAAGGTATTATATTGCAGGCTTTGGTGGTAAGTTTGGCGTGCAAACGGATCGTATGGACAAGAGTGCAGTCGGGCATGACTACGTCGGTAAAGTTGAGAAGCACGTGTCGCAGACTGACTACGCGCAAGGATTCGGCGGTAAATTTGGAGTACAGACCGACAGGGTTGATAAGGTGAGTTTACAATTTGTAATAATATTACTATAAGTAATAAAAATATTCTAAAATAACACACACAGCGCCATCTATTTCTAAGCTAAGTAGAGGTTGTTTTATGGCTACTAGACAAATGTTATAAATAAATACTAACATTTTTTGTAAATGCATACTTAATATACATAGAAAAAACCCAGACCGATACAAACTATCATACTCAAGAATACAAATGTTTGTACCGTGCGAGGAAACGTACCGAACGAAACGAAACGAAACGACCATCGAAATTAGAATGGTGTGCTAAACCTATATGTGTAATTTGTGTAGGCTATATTAGTGTAAAGTTTCATTAAAATTCATTCCGTAGTTTTTGCTTGAAAGAGTAACAAATATACCATACATCCACACATACTAATAAACTTTCGCATTTTTATTATATTTAGTATATTTAAACATTTATATATAGTATATGTAAATGTTTGTTTTTTTCTGTTAGAACAATAAAGAATTTTCATTTCATTTCAAATATAATAAAGCTTCTTGTTCACACAGAGTGCAGCCGGTTGGGAACACCGAGAGGAGGTGGAGAAACACTCGTCACAAAAGGACTACTCGGTCGGCTTCGGGGGTAAGTTCGGTGTACAGACGGACAGGAAGGACGCGTCCGCTGTAGGCTGGGACCATCGGGAGGACACCCAGCATCATAACTCGCAGAAAGGTTGTTTTTTGTTTCCTTTTCTTTATCTATTTGCGATGAGCCAATTAGCTTTTATTTATTTATAATTCTTTATTGCACTAGTATTAAAAGCAGGTACATAAAAATACAATTCATTAAAGAAAGAAGAAGGCGGTCTTATCGCTAACGCAATCTCTTCCAGATAACCTTAGGAAAGAGAGTATTAAATAGAAATAAAGTAAAAAGGCGGTACATGAGTGGAAATAATATAACAATTTTATTAGATTTTATAGCTTTCGTTATCTGTCGCTTTGAGTTACCACATCCAGTAATATGGTTTTATATACATCTGTGGTAAATCGTAGTCAAACGTTATGTATGTATTTAAAAAAAATATCTAAGTAATTATATCAGTCTAGTATCCAAAGAAACAAGTTCTGCTTAGCTTGCTATATGCTTAGAATAGATGGCGCTATGTGAATTGCCCTGGGTTATGATTCTGCTATCCTTACAGATTATGCTATTGGTTTTGGCGGAAAGTACGGCGTACAGACGGACAGACAAGATGCGTCTGCAGTTGGTTGGGACCACCAAGAAAAGACCCCAGCACATGCCAGCCAAGTGGACCACAAGAAGGTATGTCTCTAAATCTAGCTATCCTAACTTATAAGTCCAAAGATCGTGAGTTTGAGTTTGTCCGATGCAAAAATTGCTCTGTTTTTTATTATTTCTAACTCTTTGATGATGGAGATATCAATAACAAACTATATTAATCCGGAACGGCGCTAAATGTGGCGCTTCCTGTTATGTTGAAAGCATGTGAAATTTCGCATTTACCGCGACGTCATTTGACTGTTAACAATACTTCTGAATACTGCATTTGGTTTTACAGTCAGTATGATTGTTTGTATAGGTCTAAACCTATGTAACCTTTTCAAGAAGGGTATATTAACGTTTCTTAAGGCATCGTGTATGTGACACCCCTGGTGACTCAGGCGTCCATAGGCTACAGTAACCATTTACGATTAATAAAAAGAAACGAAGTATTTTTATCAGTTATCTGGTAATATAATATAAGATAACATAAGCTCTGCTTAGTTTGGGGCTAGATGGCGTTGTGTGAATTGTCCAAGGTTATTTTATTATCATATTTTTTGTCTCGTTTCTTATGAAGATAGCATTGTGTAATGTGTTTAGAATTATTATTTTTGTTTTTTAGGGTTTCGGTGGCAAGTTCGGAATCGAAGTCGATCGTGTAGACAAATCTGCACATAGATTCGATGAGGTGGAGAAAGTGGGTACCAACTATACGAAACAGAAGCCAGACATTGGGGGCGCCAAGCCGTCCTCACTACGAGCCAAGTTTGAGAACATGGCTAAAGAGAAGGAACAGGTATGTCTTGCATGCAACGTTATATTATATCAGGAACAGAAGCCTGTTATTTTTCTACTACTATATAACTTTACTTGCAGAAGAAATACTTGTTGTTAATTTAAATTAAGTATGTTGCCAGTTTTTGAAATTCTTAAATAATGTTGGAGTTCTATCGGTAATTAATATTAATTCCCATGTTTTATACATTATATTGAGATAATGTTTAATGATACAAACTTCAAAATTTATATTAATAAATATAGGGTTGTTGTATAAAATATTTCACTAAAACAAAAACTAACTTCTTTTGCAAAATAAATTATATCCTGGTCCCATTTTATTTTGATATTTGTTTTGTTTTGGATAATATCCTAAATTATGTATATTGTTATTAGGAGGCGATGCAGTCAGTGCAGAAAATAAGACAACAAAGGCAACAGTCAGACAAAGATCTCACAGAGAAGGTAAGTTTTTAAAACATGGTTTTAATAGAAACATTCAAAAGTTTGAATACCGGCCCCGAGTAACGAAGAGGCGAAGATAAAGAAAAAGATTTATAAATATATTATAGCTATTAGATGTATTGATACGTGAAGCAAATACTTTGTACCCTCTCCGATTTTACAAAACTTGCGCGGACAGAGAAGTATGAAACTCCGCACACTTATAGTTTATATAGGAGTGAAGATTGCAGATATATATTTTTTAATTATCGATAAAAAATATATTAAATCAATAAAAAACACACATTACCATATATTTAAAACACACAAGCACACAAACTCTTTTGTTTATTGCCTGTGCGACTGCCAGTGTATATAATTATAGAAGTACTAGCTGTCCCGGCAAACTTTGTTTTACATTAAAATAAAAAAAAAATTTAGGCCCTACCCCTAATATAAAAAAAAAGATGTTATTTTTCATCCCCCTAAATGGGGGCCGATTGGACTACTCAATACGCACCCCTAACATTTAGGGGGATGAAAAATAGATGTTATTTTTCATCCCCCTAAATGTTAGGGGCCGATTCTCAGACCTACTCAATACGCTCACAAAATTTCATGAGAATCGGTCAAGCCGTTTCGGAGGAGTAAAGGAACGAAAACTGTGACACGAGAATTTTATATATAAGAAGATAGTCTTTGACATTAGACCCTTAACGAAATTCAAACTTATATATATTAATTCATGGTCGTATTTCGACTACAAGGCGGCTACTAGTACATTTAAATGTGTGTTGTTTTATCTGAGAAGCCTGAAATAAGACATTGAAATATGACCCTTATTATCAACAGGAAAAAGAACGTGTATCTAAAGAACCAAAGGAACTCGAATCGCCACCAGAAGTGGTCCCGCAATCACCCGTCGCGGCGGTGAAGAAAGAACCCGCGTTCATCCCCGCCCCCGCCCCCGTGCCTGAACCAGAAGTCGAACCCACACCTGCACCCGTAGAAGAACCTAAGCTATCGAATTTACCCGACGTTACCCTAGTGGGAGAGCCGAAGGAAGAAAGAGAAGAGGTAAGTAAATAAAATACAATATTAACACGTTGATGGAGGGGGAAATTGGACTAGTTAGTAATGTGGACTAATAACCAGATTGCTTGCAATTAATAGATACATTGACTTTCACGTGGTTCACCCTGAAAACGATCGAGATAAATTCATTGTGACTTTACCACGATGGGCTGACTGACCTGACCTCATCTTATCATCCTCCACTGGTGCCCCGCCAGCGTAAACCGTTAGAGCAGGCTGGTGCACCAATCCATTAACATCAATGAAGAAAAAAAAACACGTTGACGGACACTTGCGTCTATAGCCGTCAAAGCGAAGTTCATTATGTGGCATGACGGCGATAGCCCTTTAAAGCGAAAGGGTCGGTTTTGAACACTCCGGCTATAGCGGCAGAAATATGCATTACCGGCGTACAAGTAGAAGCCTAGTGTTGTCTTTTGGAAACAAATTTTTAGGTTGAATTTTGTTTTCCACCTGTTACACTACTTGTGGCTTCAGTACGCACGTGGTTGTGAAGAGATCGTTTCTCTTGAATTGTGTCAAAATTAAGTTTACTTCAGCAGAAAAAGTAAAACTGTACGTCTAATATTCTAAAAATTACAAAAATGTAGTGTTTTTGTAATTTTCGAACTTCATTTGTTCCTACTGTCCGTCAATGTGTTAAGAATAATAAAATCTATCTTAAATAATAAAAAATCTACCTTGGTGGTGATATATATCATTTTATATTCGTTTGTATATTTTAAAGATGAGTTTGTAACATTGTAACGGTTGTAAAGAAGACTTCCGGTGGCGCCACCATCTAGTATAAAAAAAAAACTATTGTCACAAAAGACAAAACTATGGATGATTACATTCCATTACATAGTTATAAAATATTAATGCGTTTTAAAAATAATATAGTTGTTTAGATTCCGATGGTTGCGGGTTAGATTCCTCGCACGGCACAAAAAATTGTATTAATGTGTATGGTTGTTTGTATTGTCTGGGTGTTTTCTACGTATAATTTGTATGTATATACGGAAAAATATATATCTATGTATTTGTATCAGTTATCTAGTACCCAACACTAGCTTTAGCTAGCTTAATTTGGGTCTAGATGGCGCTGTATGAATTGTCCAGGGATATTATTAACTGATTAATAAAGAAAACTTGAAATTATTTAGCAACTGACCCGGCAGCCCACCATCGTGGTATCGCCGGTAGGATGGGAAGGTGCAACCGGTGGTGCGGGTGATGATGATGATGAAGAAGACGCGTACACAGCGCGCGCTCTCTACGACTACCAGGCGGCCGCGCCCGACGAGATCTCCTTCGACCCGGATGACATCATCACCAACATTGTCATGGTTAGTGCTCATTTAGTAAATCAAATCAAAATATCTTTATTCCTGTAGTTCTATGACTCTTATGATATGTCAAATCTACCGTCAATTCGGAATGCTTTCAAGAGAAGAACTGACAAGAAACTTAACTTGTATTCTTTTCAAATGAATGTTTACAATAATACAGATTCAGTTTTAAATTCAAATTTGGTTAACTAGAGTGACCACCAGAATATGCTATTGCAATTTTGTCAAAAAGCAAATAGTCTAATTAATATTTGTAACCTAAGAGTATGACGTATGAGCTAGACATCATAGGACTCAACCATATTAGAGGGAGCACATTACCCGGCCCACCACGCCGCCACAAGTTTGAACTTCAAAGCGAGCAGTACTGTTTCAAAGTTCACTACGTGATTTACAACATAGGCTGTAACAATCGCAGTTTAAATAACAATAACGAATTTCTAGTAAGCCATATGGACGTTTTTTTTATTATTTAGAGACTTTTACACTCTTACCGCCGCACTCAGAGACGTTAAATGGTTACTTAAGCAGTTGCTTAATGTAGATTTAAAAAATGTCTACATAGAGACAGCTGATGGTTGATTAGCAACAGATACAAATTATGACAATTAACTTTAATAACTGTCATCAAAGTTAATTGTATTTATTACACTTTGAGGGGGGCAGAGGAAGTGGACAAAGTTAGTCAGCCTCAAAAATATTTGCTTTGTTTTATATAGTTTATACAATGTTTTTTTTGTGGAAAAAATAAATATTATTATTATTATTAAAGTATAACAATATGTGACAAAGGCAGAGAGGAGGGTCCTAAATTTCGTGACTTCACATTTAAAATTCTAATATAACTATAAATTGTCATCTTTCTTTGTATAAGGTTTAAATTGTTTTGTAGAGTTTACACACTGTTTACTAGTTTTTTTTTAAACTATGATGTACTATGTAGTAAATATACCTTCGGCCCATCTGACCGTGAACGGTTATGGTAGACTGAAATATAACGTTTAAAATAGCAAAAGGTGTGATTTCATATCCCTAGTGTGTGTGCGTATTCCACAAATGAAACTCACCACACCAAAAAATCACCAGGACAATGCGTTTCTGGGAGGAGCTTGGCTGCTTTAATAGTCTCTGCTCTATACGCATGAAGGCCCAGATGAGATGCTAAATGCATGAGAATAGAGTCCATATTACATTACACACAACAAAACATGACGTTCGCGTAATATATTTATGGATGGACCTTAAAGTGTTGTATAAAATGTCTTTTTTTTATTTAGATCGATGAAGGATGGTGGCAAGGCTTATGTAAAGGTGCGTACGGACTATTCCCCGCCAACTACGTGCAACTACAGGACAAATAAACTAGCGTGTGAACGCACCCTATCATTCCTATATTTTATAGATGGAAAATATTACTTTCATATCTACGAAACAGATTAGACTTAAATCAAATCTATTCACAATAGATTTGAATATTTTCAAAGACATTTTGATATAATTAATTCGTTCCTTAATTTCTGACATTTATTTGTTTTTTTTTTTAATCTGTCTATTAGGTTAATGTGTTACCATACAGCTGTTATATGATAGTTGTATGAATAGCGTTAAAGTAGTTATTAGGATTTTAATATGTTCCAAAGTATAACTAATATGTTAGAATTTAAGGTACGAATTACATATTTAGTTTACTGACCTTTAGGCTATTAATACTTCAGAGAATTGTAGTGGAGAATAGAGAGATTTATATGAAGATACTATAACGCGTTTTTTGCCATTAGTAAATATAATGATTTTCATTATTATATTTACTAGTGGCAAAAACGCGACCCTAATAATAAAAAAGAGTAATTACATTTAGGACATACTACTTTAACGTTTTTTATGTTTACCCGGGACTAAGGAACTTTACCATAATGCCTAAGTGGCGCCAGCAGATAATAATATTTTTGTTACATAATGAACAAACTCAAGAAAGACAATTTCTGCATCTGTAACTCTCCGATTATATCTACTATAATCATATTTATGACCTTGTGATATGCAGCGACTATGACTATATGATTGTTTTGAATAAGCACTGTGGTTGTGGTCACTGCATTATAGACCTAGGTCTATAGTTTAAGTGATGTACTTATGAAAATGACACGAAATTTAAATGTACTATTAAATTGACTATAATGTAGCGAAATGCCTAATAATTAGATTATTATCTAAAATGAGGTTAGTAACGCAATTGTTAACTCATATGAAATTAGAGCTGATTATGTAAAGATCAATTGACAGTTGCAATTGCAATTAGAACAACTCCGCGTAGCTTGTAACTGCAACTTTCATACTTGTTGTAAAAACAACAAGTTTTCTTAAATCTATTACAATAATACTTGATCATCATATCTTTTTATTGAAATCTATTAGACTGTGTATCAAAAAAAATAAATAACGGAGATCGAAATTACGATGACCTCAGCCAAGATTCGAACCCCTTGCTGTGCCCTCAGACTGAAGTCGTATCCATCAGACGAGAGTTGGCCTTCAGCTGCTCCATAAGTCGTTCTACTGGTTTGGAGTGCCATCTGCATTCTCCCCCTATTGTTCGATGAACCTGTGACGGCTAGCTGCGGCCAACAGCAGAAAAATTCAAAGTAACTTAATTGTACTTCATGATTAAATAGTTTGTGAAATAGAAAAGTGGCAGCCCCTACCATTTCTAAAATTATTTTAGTGGTTTGTTTACATAGTTGTGTCAGTCAGATTTGATATCAGGTCAATTAGCCTATCGTGATAAATTCACCAGGAACTTATGATGATGGTTTCCAGGGGAACCACGTGGAGGTCAATCTGACATGGTACATTGCTAGTAATGGGGTTATCAGTCCACATTACTAAGAATCCCATTCCCCCAGTAAGATGGTATTGATGGTACTATGTTTTAATGTTAATTAATATTTCTACTTATTTTATAAGGTTTTCTGTTTATCATGACATTTCTACGAGTCTTTAGATTTATTGTTATGAATGTATTCATTATTAAACGTATTTTCTTAATTTAAATTGATTATGCTTTTGTATCATCAATATATGGAAAAAAGTATTATGCAGCGTAATTTTAAGTTAAGTTAACAAGTTTATTTTATCATTATAAATATATTAAATTAATCATATTAATCAATTTAATTAATTATTGTGACAAATACAATGATGTACTTGTATTATGAACGCGTAAAATATTTTGAGGCAAAACTAAAATTAATGAATTTTCTACTTTAAACACAACAGTTCACGGACTATATTCGGTTATAATTTTATCATTCACTTTATAACTGACATTGTACTTTAAAATAAAGTGATTAAGATTGTAAATGCAGTGAACATAGAACTACACATTTGACATTTTACGCGATTACCATTTTCTTATCATATCTGTTAGTTTCATTATGCTACCATATATCAATGTTCAAATATGAGGAATGTATAAAAGACATAATTATTTTTACCTTTTAGTTACTAAAGTACCGGACATATTTCAATTAAATTTATTAGAATTGGCAGAGTATTTTAATAATGAATAACTGGTTTACTCTGGAAATGAATTCCGATCCAATGATTTGATAATACGATGTTCCGAAACTTCTTTTTATTCGCTTATATTATACACTAGCTCAGTTTCGGTATAGGAGCGGGAGCAAATACTTTCAAGAAGACCATCGTTTAGCAGCGTCTTTAAGTTTGCGTTTAAAAAAAAAAAGAAATTGATAATTTTTTTACAAATTTTTATGAACTAATTTTATTTATTTTTTATATAGTTTGCTATATACAAAATAAAAAAAATACTTTTTATAATATATATTATATTATGTCGTCTTCAATGAAAGATTGACATTGTTATTGATTTAATAATTTGTCTTTATTGCGTTTCAAAAGAGCAGTTTTTTATATACTACGATGGTGGCAAACAAGCATATGGCATATTTGACAGTAAACAGTTACTGTAGCCTATGGACGCCTGAGACACCAGGAGCGTAATTGCGCGTGGCCAACCCTTAAGAAACCTCAATATCCCCTTGAAAAACCCCAAGCTGTATTCTCGTGAGAAAACTTCGTTAGGTAGTTCATTCCACAATCTAAGTGTACGCGGGAGGAAACTCCTCTGAAAACACTGTCCGAGATCATTTAGGTTCCAGCGTGTGGATCCCCACACCGGAATTCGGATGAATTCCCTGTCGATGGCGAGCGGTGTGGTATAAAAAACACTTCGGATTGAAATTGATATTGTTATTAAACTACAGAGTTGCCCTGCAGGAAGATCGGTTATTATTATATTACACGAAAGCTAAGTCAAAATTTAAGAACTAGTTAATTATAGTCATTATTGATATAATTTATGATATAAGATAGAAAAAAAAATATGAGGTCCTCCAAATTATATGAAAATGTAGGTTTAATTAAGTGAAACGTATAAAATTATTTTTTCATTAATAACAATAGTTTGGTAATATATTTCTTTCAGTGTTTAATTTGTATAATTTGTTTTATGTAGCATTCTCAATGTTTGTTTTTGATATAGAGATACAGATAGTTTATTTTTAAATTATTTCTTTACCACGGCTTTGGATACGTTAGTTTTCGGATGTCTTTTTAGTGCGTGCCTACATATGCATCGCCTTTTTAAAGTATCATACCTAATTATAATAATTATAGATATTATTTTAATTGCCATCTTACTTTTTAGTATACTATAATATTACAAATAAATGTGTATATAAGTACGAATATTACATTAAAATGACGAACTATACACGTACCAAAATCAGGGGCAATATATGAACAGTGATACACCTCAGATTTCAACGTAGATCGCCTCTTGTGTAGCGAAATCAAGCATGATAGGTCTATCGAGCTAATATTACCCATACTAGCACAGTTCCTATGGAAGTTGCAATGCACTACTGGATATAGGCCTTTCTCAAGGCACGAACATGAGCCTTTCTCATCCAGTCTTTACCCGCTACCCTACGCATGTCGCTAAATATTGCCAATCCTATATTGCAACTGATTTTAGGGTCGTGTGTAGATCGTTTAAGTATCCTGTTTCTAATCGAGAATTTAACAAATGTTGAATGTAGAATTATATATAATATGGCCCACACTACGTCACAGTATATATATGTATGTTGTAATATATTATGATACAACCACAATTCCACTTTTCCATAATAATGTTTTGTTAACCCAAATTTAGTTACTGACGAGCTCAGCCAAAGTTAAGCCATGGCATCAACAGGCAATGAATGTGGTTTGGATATACATAATTTGGAAGCCTAGTGCTGACGACTGACTGACTGATGACCAGTGTAAGGTCGCCGAACAGTCACTGAATATTTGTGGTCTCACACATGCAAATAGTAGCGAAATTAAACAAAATGCAAATTCATTCAGCAATATATGTGAATATTCTTACAGATTAAATCTTACAGGTTTACTAGACGTTTGTGTCATGTAAATTATTATATATACTTAATCGACGGCCTCGGTGATCTAGCGATTTAACATGCCGCTTTATTTTCGATGGTCGCGGATTCCTCGCATGGTACAATCATTTGTATGCATGAGTATGATTGTTGTATCGATCTAGATGTTTTCTACGTATGTTATGTATGTATTTACAAAAATCTAAGTGTTTATATCTGTTGTCCTTCATTCCTTTAACACAAGTTCTGCTTGCCGTGGGACTAGATTGCGCTGTGTTAATTGTCCTGGGTTATATAATCATTCATACGTTTTTTTGTAACGCACTATAAGTGGCTCAGTTTGTAACAGAGTGCGCAGTGTGGGCATACGAACAATAACAAAATAATTGTAATGTACGGTATGTAATGCCAAACTATGTTTTATATAAAGCGATTTATTGTTTATAAAATAAATGATTATTTTATAGTGACTAATTTGTTTCATTCTTACCCGATAACCGATTTATAGTTGTAGCTCTAATTTTAGCGGTAGTGTATATAATATTGTATAGACAGAAATATAACCAACATAGGTATTCACCAGGTAGCTGATATAATAAGGAGTAACTTAGGCTACTTTTAATTTAGAAAAATTTTCTAATAATCTTTTTTTCTAAATTCCACGCGGACGAAGTCGCGAGTGCAGCAAATCAAATCAATAAGCTATTTTGTATTAAATTTTTTTTTCATTAGGTATGTACGTGAAGGACAAAGGAGTGCATGAGTATGAACATCTGTCTCAACTATTTCTGCCAGTAACTTACTTGTATGCTATATTACTATAATATTTTACTTATACAACATTCAGTACCTATGTTTTTTATAACTGGTCTCGATGGTCTAGCAGTTTAGGACACTACATTACTTCTAATGGTCGCGGGTTCGATTCCTAGCAGGATACGAATATTTGTGTTCATGAGTATCGCTCTGGGTGTTTTCTATGTATTGATATATTATATATGTAATTACAAAAAAATATGCACTGTCTTAATTGTCCTGGGTTGTTAACATTTTACTCAAAAAAAAGAACAATAATTTACTAAAATTATAATAATCAAACACAAGATATCACTTCTGAGACAACTCGCCAAATTTCTATCGATCCAATCATGATACTCTGACACTCTTGTAAACAAAGTCGTTAAATCAAAATTTTTACCACTAACCACACCTACCAATAAACCATTCGAGCCATTCTCTGTAGGATCTAAAGTCCCTCGACACACTAAAGGTCCTCCAGAGTCGCCTTCCGCGACATCCGTTAAAGCGGAATCTGTACATATGAAGCTGTCCATATTTATCTCCCACAGTTTCGAGCATGCTCTCTGAGATAGAACTGATATCTTTGCCATTAGCAACACGGGTGAAATTGAGTCTATCACATTACTCTTTGTCTTGCCGTATCCGCTTGCTACACATTTCGCGTCATAATCTGTCCTCCATCTGGCCGTGATAATGTAATCAACGTTACTATTGAAAACCCAAATTTTATCAACAAAGCACAAAGCTATATCATTTGTAGGGAAATAGAAATGTCTGTGTATTATTATTTTTGCTATTCTACGCCACTGTGTGTTTTTAGTGGTCACCGTTTCACCGGAATGTATTAAGTCTGTATGTAGATTTCCAGCGACGGCCCGTATCGGTTTAGGATTTCGGAGATAGTAAAAATTGTGAGATTCAAAACAATGCGCTGCCGTGAGCACTTTTGACTCGCTTATAATACTTCCACCGCAGAAGCTGACCCATTTTTTTATAGAATCAGTTATTCTCTGAATAGGTTCCTTTAAAGAAACCAAGTAAGGAAATTCGTTAGGTCTCGCTGGTTCCCCGTTCACAACTGTTGGCTTTACGTAGTATCTTGAGAACCTCAGCGTGGTTATCACTCGTCTGTCTCTTTCAGATGCAACGATTAGAGTTAATGCAAGAAGAACTGCAACATAACTTTTTAAGAACATTAATTGTTTTTCACATTGGAATTTTTGTTATTAAATCAACGGCAAAAAACCGAAGATTTTTAGATGGCGCTGACAATTGACTATTTGACATTCAGCCACAGATAAAATTAATTTAAAACTTCTTAGCGAATTGCTCTAGACACAGAGCAAATATTATGTTTGTATCTATATACCTACAGATTCATAAAAACTAAAATCAAAGTAAAATTTCTAACGAAACTGTTACAGTGTTTTATTATTTTATTTCAATTCGAACTTTCGACACTAGCTTCTAATGATTTAGCCGACCGCCTTACTTGTGATGGTCGCGGATTCGTTTCCTCACGATGCAAATACGAGTATTTGTGACTATTTGTCATGGTCTCTATATTTTCAATGTTAATGTACATAATGGACGTATTTGCCAAAAAAAACGTATATAAATATTTTTTTTCGCTTGTAAATTCATAACACTATCTTTACTGAACTTAGAACTAGATGGACCTGTATGAATTGTCTAAAGCAATTGTTATTATATTGGTTTAATGAAAAACCAAATTAGAAGAAAATAATTGTAGTTGGTGCTCTATCAAAACTAGGATCACAATCTACGACGAGCTTTATAATAATGAATGAGAATAACAATATGTCAAAAAAGGTATATACAAAAAAGAAACAAAATTATGTACGAGTTATATCGTTAAACTTCGACGAAGTGAGGTTAGATCGATAGTTGCCAATTGCGGTGTTCCCCGAATTGGAAATGCCAAAAGGGCGCAACGCAGGTACGCAAAGTCCAAACTTTTATACCTATGGGTCAGCAAGTCTCTTTCACCAATTCTCAAGGGACAAGACCTATCTAACTAGATCATGCGTACTTACTATAGTTTTAAATTTTCGGGTACTTCCGGTCTGGTATAGTTTGGAGGCCCTGGCTTAATCGAAATACCTATTATGTCTGATCATGATATTATATATACACTAGTCTCGTTCGAGGCTTCGCACTAATGGACTTTTTTTTACACCTTAGGTTACATTATTGAAGTTTGACCCACATTTTGGTATTGGTGGCCGTGATTATGACATTTGTAACATTTTTTTTTTATGGATGATAATAGAATAGTGCGCCCGCCTGCGCTAACGGTTTACGCTGGCAGGGCACCAGTGGGGGATGATAAGATGAGCATGAGGTCAGGTCAGTTAGCCCATCGTAACAAATTTACCAGGAATTTATCACGATGGTTTCCAGGGGGAACCACATGGAGGTCAACCTGACGTAGTACATTGCTAGCAATGGGGTCATCAGTCCACATTACTAACAATCCCCTTCCCCCCCCATTTGTAACATTAATTGGAGCCTGTTTTAAGTTAATGTTTTTGTAATTAAGGATTTCTGATTCCTGCGACACAAGCATTGAGCTTAGTGCAGGGATTGCTGTTAATTGTCTTGTCTACAACCATTGATGTAATGTGTACAAATAAATAAATAAATAAAATTAGTTGTTGGTGTTAGACCAACAATGAGATTGACTGGCAGTTTTGTATTATATATTCGTCTATATTTAAAATAGTATTCTTTTTACCTATTGTTTTTATATACACTACTGTCACAGCGCTGTGCTGTATTAAACGTCTAAATGCATCTTTTCTTCATTTATTCTTCATTCTGGCAAGTGTAGTTAGTCGCTTTCCAGATCTAGACATATTTACTTGTAATTTACTGGAGTTTTGTCGGATGGCAGTAGACTGTTTAGGTAGTACCTATGTTAAATTAAGATTAGGTATTATTATTATTTATTTTTCTTTTTCGTTTCCTTGTGTAATTAGTGTTTATAATTGTGTGTATTTGTATATTATCTTCCTAAGTGGGAGACTGTGAAGCTCACTTTGCATGACGTAAATCAATAAATAAATAAATTTATTATATTATTAGATTCCATTGGCGACCGACCGCTGCGAATTCCTTTGTAATTTTCTTTCTTTTTTAATTTATAATTCTAGAATTTTAGACTTTTTATACGTCATATTTTTATATATCAAAATCCAATATATTAATATTACCGTGGCCTGTAGTTAAAACGTGTGTAATATAAAATAATATAGAAATGTACGTGTTTTCATTCATTTTTTTTTTTTGCCATGCTTTATGTTGATAGATTAGTCGTCATTGAGTCAGTACAAATTTCTTTACAAGTACTTACACTTGATTTGGGTTGGTACTAATCATGTTTATTTGTCCATCCGACATGTTTTCGTGGTTGGAGCCTTCTAATTAGCAATCATAGAGCGTGTACTATTTGGCAGATTTAATAACCGACCGTCGACGCCCGCTCTTTAATTATAAACTTCTTTATCAGTCGTTTGTCTCAATTTCCTTCAACAAGACCCTCATTGCATAAGTATTAAAATTCTAACCATTTTCAAGATGAATTCTCTCTATTATGAATATTTAGTTAAAATGAAACGCAGTAGTATTTTCACTGGTGTGAGGACAAAATTGCGATGTTAATTAAGGTAATATGTAATTCTGTATATACATTTATCAAAAAATATGTAGAAATAATAAATAATTGTTATAAATAATCAAAACTAGATTTTGAAGGGAATATGTTGTTATTTGCAAACACATTCAACCGTTTTCATCAACAACTGTAAGAGGTAGACTATAAGTAAGTATATGTATAAAGTCATAAATATTAATAAATTGTTAATGAAAGATAATGCAAGACATTCTATAGTTATATGTGTATGTATAGTGTATTCAAAATATGTAATTTGTAAAGTTTAACGTCTCTTCCCACTATATTGTTCTATCTATCAAGACCAAGATGGTTTTATCTTAATTAGACCTTCCATTGTACGTTACTACTATGATATTATAACTTAAAATATACCTGGGGTTGCTTTTATTTTATGCTAATAGGTATCGTATATTTCTATTAACTCATTCCTTCAAGAAGTCCTTTGAGATAAATTGAAAACTTGATGGCTTTCGTTTAACAAAGAGCAAAAAAGAGTCATATTGGAGCAATAAATTTATTCTGTCTTTGAGATATTGTACATATTAATGTTTAATATTAAAGTGGATTAGTAAAAGGTGTATTCAGTAAGCTATGTGTTGTGATAATAAATAGATAAAATATAGTCGATAAATATTCAGTTTTTGCAATTTTCTTGATTTTTAGTTCATTAAAAACATTCTAGAATGTATTAAAAAACAGTAATATTTTAAAATCAATGTAATGGAATCAAAATCACTCAATCACTTATTATTTACTGAATTAAATCGTTTAGGTCGTCCTCAAATTATGGCGTAACTTATGGAATATAAAATGTCTTATATATATCTACAATTCTTCCGTAGGTCGTATGTTTGTAACCCAAGATTTCGTTAAAATGTCTAATCGATTAAAAGTAACTTTTTTAAAATTTACAACTGGATTTCATTAATCTTAAAATGTAACTGTTTTTACAGTTACATTCTAAGATGCATGAAATCGAATACCCACTTTGTAGAATGGTCTTAGTGAACTAAAAATAAAGAAAATTGTATAATATTAGAATATTTATCGACATTGTTTTGTTTAGAAAGGTAGTTTTTTATTAATTAAGTACTGATATTTATATAATTACATAGTACTATATTGCTTTTATCGTATTGTATACTTGTAAATATTAATTCTATGACCTCACCTCCTTATAATCTGCGACCCCGTGGAGACTGGAAGTGATCTAAATGTAATTTTATGATGATATGTAGTTACGGGACACGAGAGTTGATATTTAAATAAAACTATGAATACTTAATTTATATATACAGTACGAAATAGTAAATCTGTACCTATATTTTGCATATATATGTTATATATACTTGTTAAGTTTATTGGTATTGATGGTCTAGCGGTTTAGCACACAGTATTACTTTCGATGGTCGCAAATTTGAATCTAGCATGATGCAAACATTTGTAATGATTAGTAGTTGTTTGTATTGCTCTGGGTGTTTTCTATGTATATTATGTACGCATTTAAGGTAAGTTTATTATCAATATATAAAATAAATATAAAAAAAACTCTCTCTGTCTCTTATATATGTATCCACAAGACAGATTTTTTTTATAAATTTTATCAAGATCTGACGATTATTTCTTATGTTACTTTTGTTATGCGATTAATGTCAGTTTTTTATATATATTTATTTATTTATTTACACACAAAATTGTATGCATGGCGACATAATGCCTGATGGCATTCTCTACCAGTCAACCGTCGCTCTGACCCGATATAATATTAGTAGCATTAAACCCATCTTTTGTTATATTTTTAGATATTTTAAGCTAAAGAATTTTAAGCAATATAATAATATAAAGTTACGTATACATATTATACATAGAAAACACCCAGACCGACACAAACAATCGTATTCGCATACAAATGTTTGTGCTAAATCGAACCCGCGACCATCGGTCATAAAGCGGTGTGCTAGACCACTAGACCACCGTTAAGATCGGATACCTACAATACCTACATACATCAATCGCTTATTGAACCGTCTCTCGCGTCTGAGATATTTAATATAACAAATATTTGACACGCTCACAGTATCATTTTATTGCAAATACTTCGATATGAAAATACCGTATTTAATTCTTCCCACGTTACTATGTTGCAATGTATTGGAAGTACTTACATTTATGATCAAGATTTTGCGTCGGCGCCAATTGTATAATCGTACTTTTCTTAGTACCTTCTTTTTTATTTAACTAGCTGTTATGTAATAAATGTATATAGATATTTATGACATATGTTATTTTAATATTAGGACTAATTGACAAATACAAATGTAAAATCTTCATAAACCTGCTATACCGGAGTAGTGCTGTGATATCGAGTCGTTGAATCGTATTTTTTTATTTTAGATGATTAGATTTAACGTTTTTTATGAAGTTTTTAAAAGATATTTATAATTTACTATATTACGCTAGTACATGATTGTTTCCGATACTGTCTTTGAATTAAACAATACAAAAATACATTTTTTCAAAAGTTTCAAAGATGAACTATTAATGTAGTTATTTCTAAATCAGTATAA